CTGCTTGTGAGGGGGGGAGGGGGGGGGGGGGGGGGGGGGGGGGGGGGGGGGGGGGGGGGCGTGGGACAACGGCAACGAGCAAAGTGTGGTGACCAGGAAAGGGGACTGTTTTCTTTGGGTACGAAGTTCTGCTCTCACGCGAGTTGTGGTCCGGCGGGCGCCACGAACACGAGACGCACGACTCGTCCATACGAACTCTGTGCCGCAACAGCATCCACACACTGTGGGTTTCGTAAGCCTGTTGTAGGAGACCTCCTCTAATAGTAAGGGTCCAGAGGACATCAGCTGCCTGCAGAAGTAATGCCTTTCGCTCCCTACTGCAGACAGCTGTCAGGTCTCGATGCCTTGCCTCGAGGAGCGCATCGGCGAAGACGAAATTGATAGACCCCCTCCCCCTGCTCGAATTTCTTCTCGATTTTTCCCCCCTTCCTTATTTCCCTGATCTCGGTTCTCATCGCGGGAGCCACATGACACTGTACCACCCTATACCCGTCATTTCCTCCGCGGCACTCCTATACTCCTTGCGTTCCCCTGTATTTTCAGCGGCACTATGCGGGGTCTTTTGAGCTTGTTCGACATGGAGTGGAATGATGCTTGTTGATGTTCTGGTCCCGAAGGTCGACACTCGACAGTCTTCCATATGACGCCAACCTGGAGACAGACCCAAGCCAAATTATTTGTGATGAATAGATGAGTTGTGAATTCAGGAGAATGCCAGTCCCCCGATCATCATCAGGGCAATAACCGCGCTCCAAGGGTTGATCCAAAGGCTGAAAGTGGTCTCTACATATCCGTATTCTCCTAAACTTTGAAGGCGCAACTTGGCAGCCTGGCTGTGACAACATCGAGCGGGCTTTGGTACCAGGGGCGACTGCTAGTGGTTCCGCTGAGAATGCTGAGTAGATACTGACTGTGGCACGTCCAACATGATGAATGTACGTGTCTCGCATCACGATGTGCATTTCGTTTCTCTCCTGATCCCGAGCTGATACAAAGAGCACAACACCAGACTTCTGCCCAACAGGTGTTCGCCTGGCATCGGACCGTAAAATCGTAGGCGGGAGGTGTGACCGGGTCGAAACAACAGTTCAAGGTCCGCTCCGCCGGAACTCTGTCCAACAACCCCTAAACCTTGTGGTGGCTGTTAGCGGACGAATATGGTGCGGTGGCGCCCCAACATTGCGCTGATCCGCCAATGCCGGAACCTTGGGCTGAGGTCTCATCAGCAACACCCAGCGTCGGCTAGGGTTGGCAAAGTGGCAAGCTGCTGCTGCGGTGCCTGCTGGCGTCGGGGCGCCATGACGGATGATCTCACACTCGACGGCGCCGTATTACTCACTGCCACTTGGACGTTGGCGCTGGCCGACGGTTTCCAGCGCGCCGCTAGACTCTCGTCCCGTTAGGCGCAGCAAAAGGACGGCGAGGATTGGGTGCCAGGCATCCATGTCAGCCATCGGAGCGCTGATATATTTTGCCATGGAAGAAGGAAACAAGCACAAGCAGGTACCCGAGAACCATATAGACCGAATCCGCTGAGACCGTTGCGTTCCAGCGCCCAGTGCCTGAAAATCGTCCTTTCTGGTGTCCTCGGATCCTGTGGTGGCGTTCATGGCCAAGGGAGAGCAAACGGGTTAATCGGGATGCGACTCTGGCCGGGCGAGATTGGCTGATCGGTCCGGAAATGTTGTCATCAATATTGCTGTTGACCCGGCGTCTTGGGGAATGCTGAGTGTAATTACGTCTCATCCCTATTCTGGGACAATCAGGTTCGGGCCTGGCAGAAGTCTTTGTTTATACGGTTGTGGCTGGGTGTGTTCCCGTATGGGACGCAATGGCCTGTGTCCGCACGCCGGGCAGCACAGTGGGTAAGGTAGGTGGTTTGAGTTTGGATATCGAGCATGATGCATGATTTACGAAGCGGACAGGCAGGCTTGTTCTGCGGTTCATCCGTGATGATCCATGGGTGGTGATGTTAGGATGGCAGGCGGCAGGCGGCAGGCGGTCCAAGCCGCGGATGTCCCTGGTGGTCCGGGGCATGGCAGGCTTGGAGGATGCGGGCTGATTACCTCGAATAGTCGTCGTCTCAATGAGAAAAGAGAATTGTGGACGTGTAGATGGGACGGAAGGCACTTCGGAGGGGTACTTCCAGGCACAGTGCGTACCTTAACTACAGTGCGGGCTAATTGTGCAGCCGCGTTCCCCGGTGCGTGGGTGAGGTGCTGACGGATCCGAAGGAACGTATCTTGGTCATTCAAGATGGCACTAACGACGCTAACTCATAGTCTCATACTGGCAACTACTCCGTACAGCCTTGACTCTTGACTCCTGACTCTTGGACGTTGTACATGCAGGGCGACATTCGACGGGGTTGAAGAACCACCAGAGAAAATTTGGCATAGGAAGGAAAAGAAGAAGAAGAAGAAGAGAAAAAAAAAAAAGGGGAGGGGAATGCAGATTGCAGAAGCAGACCGAGGAGCATGGGGATTAATCGATTGGGTCTGGAAGCAGCCGGCGAGTTCCCACCGGCCGCTAAAAGGTCCAAAAAAAGACCTGCAGGCTGCAGCACATGATAATGGGGCTCACCATGGTGTAGTGTAGTGGGCATGCCGCATACCAAAGGTGGTATTAGCGTATCCATAAATCAAGGTAAAGCAGAAAACCCTGTGTTTGGCGGGTTGGCGGGAACATAAAAATTGCACATGAGAGGGAAAAAAAAGAATAATGCGGCTTTCGAGGGCACAGCCTCATGCCGAGACCCCGGCAGGCACTTGCAAGCTACCAACCACATTGCCACAACAATGCTACCAGCAACTCACTCTCTATATCCGTACAGCCAAGCGAAATCCAACCCCCTCCTCTTTCCCCGCTGGCCAATGGCTCAGGTTCCATGATCATGCTGTCAGCATTGAGCAGACACGAAGTTTCCAGGTCGCGGTCGCACTCACACCCGGCATCGCGGCTCCGCTTGAGGTGGCCCTGTCAGCGGCAATTGCAATTGGCAGTCCAATCGAGACGACAACAAAGATCAAACGCGCCCTCGATACGAACAACACCCGGGAGCACCGCCTTTCCAGCAGCTGCACCCGCCACCAAATATTCGGAGGAGCACAGCACTACTAGTGTACACAACGGCTGTTGCGCTGCGGCACGCCGTCATGTCAAATTGTTGGAATCCTGCTTGCCGTTCCTCTGCGCTTGGAATACAGTCAATACACCCGCACTCGCATCGGCCGGTACTGCCTCTCTCAGCAGTGAGCAGCAGTGAGCAGCAGTGGCAGCAGTGGCAGCAGTGGCACCTCCCACGGTGCGATCGGATGGGTGGGCCGACTCTCGTCTCCATGGCTCGTATTTGTTCCAAGAAAAGGACCGCCCCCGGCCAGATCTACAGTCTTGCTGGCCTAGCCGGGGCTTTCGTTGGCCACCACAGGATGCGCGACTGACCACTGTGGACTCGTGGAGACGGGCTTGGGCCCTTTCCAGCTGGGTCCTGATCACCGGGGGTGGTTGGCACTTGGATCCACGTCGTTTTGCCCTTGGGTTCGAATCTGGTATTGGCCGTGTTGCATGTTGCACCTCTGTCTCTGTGTCGGGATGAAGCCAAACTTCGTCCTGCGCAGCTGTCGGGGATTTCATACTGAGGTCGAGGCGTTGCCACATCTCACTCGAGCTCGTCAGCTCCAGCCTCAAAGTCGGCGTCCGCCGTAAATTGTGAGAGAAAAAAAACAAAAAACACACACACAAGCGGCTCGTCTGAACGAGCTTCGAGAAGCTGGAGCATGTATTCAGTGCGATATTCTTACAGTGCGAAGCCGCCCTCAACCTTCCCCAGGGGGATGGCTGCTCCAGGTATTCCACGGTGGTGCAAGGTACATGCTGTCTAGGCTAAGTTTCTGTTTAGGGACCCGAGCTTTACGGCAACGTCGCCAGGGTTCCCCTTCCAATGACAAAATTTTGGCCGGGGGTCTCTGGACTGAGACTATGCGTCTTTGGTCCGACTCGCCCGCCCCAGTTCAGGGGTCAAGACAAGGAAGCCAAAGGAAAAGAAGAAGAAGGGAAGGGAAGGAGAGGAACAATGCCCACGCACCCAGACACACGCGAATCCGTACTGTATTTTTGGACATGCTCTAAGAGCTACAGGACTGGTGGTGTGTGTGGTGTGTTGTTGATGATCCCTCGACTCAGGTATCTATTCCTACTGTGTTCGTGAGGGTGGTACCTCGGACAAGACGAGTAAGCAAAAGAAGCTCCAAGCATCTGCTATCCATCTTTACGAGACCCACGCTCCAGGTCCTGTGTGTTCTGCTGCCCGCCGCCTGTGCCTTCAGCTAGGTACCTTAGCTAGTAGCGGACGCTCGTTTGCCAGCTCGTTTGCCAGGCACTCAGGTCGGGAGAGAGCGAGCCCATAGAGAAAATAGGTCATTCTCTATCTCTGGTCCTCATCCGGCGTCTCCCCCCTTTCGCTCGCCACTTTCTTCTTACTCGACTATCACCTTTGGAAGTGCCCGAGAGACTGTTCAGCCTTCTTCCTCTCAAACCTTTTTCCTACACAGACGCCTCACTCGTTTTGGTGGTCTGGCTACTCGATCGCTAATTTGTTACATCCTCTTCCTTTGAGTTACCTTTGCTTGTTGATCGCTGTGTTTGCGTATTGCAAGAGAGGAGAAAGAAAGGGAGAGAGTCCAACTGCAGCTTCATCCGACACACCACCAACCGCGTTGCTCAGTCGACAAATCGTGCAGGAAATACGCCTCTTTTTTCTCTACCAATCTCAACTACTACTACTACTACTACTACCTTAATCATCACGCCCTTCCAGATTCACTCGCTTCGTCCAACGACTTACTCCTCGACTCTTCCCACTGACGAGTTTTCGTTCGTTCCCGAGACCTCGTCGTCTTGTTTACCTAGATCCCAGCTAGACGACATCACCGACTCCGAATAGCGTCTCGTCCTTCGACGTGTTTGTCCGCGCCGGACATCACGAACCCAATCCCATCACCATGGCGAGCGGTCGAATGTCCATGTACTCGGTGGCCTCCGAGGGCATGGGAGGTCCTCGTTCCGGCCAGCAACCCTCGCAATTTTCCACCACGACCCTCCTCAATGCCATTCACAACATCTACCTGTCCCAACAACCCTTCAACCTGGACGCTGGCACCAGCCTCGTCGTCAACACATGGCTTACCGCAGCACAGACCGGACCGGACGGGAGAACAGGAGGCACCATAGATCCTGCCCTCGGTGCCAGAGCATGGGAACATGCTCGCCGTCGTGCTGAGGATGGCTGCATTATCCTCGGGTACGATTTCAAACAAATTTTGATGTGATGACAATTGCTAAACCTTCACAGCTCCCTTCACACGTCGAGTCCCTCGGTCCTCACGCCCTTCCTATCATCTCTCCCGCTCTCTATCCCGTCATCCGTCTACAGGTCACTTGAGGCCATCCAACCTTTCCTGAGATGCTCTACCCCCTACAACCCCTCCACTCCTAGACAGTCTGCCCTCGGCGTCACCTTGACCCTTGACCTGGCCGGTAACTTCCAAGGAGCCGCCATCGCCCTATCCCAGGGTGGCATCGATACTGCCAAGGGCCTGCTCAACATCCCCTCTGAGCCAGGATACCGCGCCTTTGACGTTTTCTACTACCTGTTGACCTCGGTCTCGACTCCCGCCGAGAGAGAGTTCCTGGGTCTCAAACCCGCCTCCAGCTATGCGTTGCTGGCGAGATCCGGCACATACGACCCGCCATCCTACCTCCCCACCGCTGATGATGCCGCCTCGGCCGATGATTTCAGGACCGCCCTCAAGGACATTGGCATTAAGGGCTCTGCTTACCGTAACCTCATTTCCACCCTTGCCGGCTTGCTCAAGCTCGGGGACACGCTCGACTACAATCTGGACGAGGACGTCTTTGACGAAATCTGCGAGGATGTCAGCGGCTTGCTGGGAATGGATCCTGAGACTCTCGCCACGCAGTGTACAACGCAGGACAGGTCAACGCTGGTTGGCGGTCTTTACGAGGCATTGGTCGATTGGGTCATCTCCAAGGCCAACGAGGCGATTTCAGCGCAGATGACGCGTATCAGAGATGGGACTGAGTCAATCGCAGGTGGTGCTCGCACACCTACTTCCCACGGCGATGGCGACACCGTCTGTGTCACCATCTTGGATGTTCCTGACCCAACCCTGGGTAAGGCGTTGGCCATGCGTGGTATCTTTGACGACACCGTGGGCATCAACTCCGAGATGATCGCTGACGGCGTGGAGGCTTCTCCCGCCGGCAGCACCGTTGTGCGTGAGATGCAGACAGCCATTGCGGAAGTTGGCCATGAGCTTGGCATCATGACCGGTGCTGCCGGCAAGGACCGTCAACACGCGCTGGAGAAGCGCGAAGAGGTCCTCGAAAAGATTGGACACTCTGCTGACGATGACGCATTCCTCAAGAAGCTGCTCTTCCCGGTCGCCGGCCAGGGCATTAACCTGGGGCTTGTTGGACGTCTTGAGCTCTCGTCCCTTCTCGGCTCCAGCCGTGTGTGGTACCACCTTTCCATCCACCCAACTGACGACTCTCCGGCCAGCTTAGCCGCTCTGCCCTCTGTGAACTCTGCCTGGTCTGCCGGCACAGTGTCTCGCCAGCTGCGTTCCTGGAGGTTGCCAGAGTGGGCCAACAGGCGGAACAAGAACCTGGACTTTACCGCCGACTTTGATATCGACGAGTTCGTCCAGCGATATGCCGCTCTAGGCTGCCAAGATGGCCGCGAGGGCATCGAAACGTGGATTCTTGAACGCGGATGGACCAACGGTGAAGTCGTCGTCGGCAAGGAGCGTGTGTGGACACGTGAGAGCGCCTGGTGGGAGGCGGAGAGCATGCTCGACATGAAACCCCTCGACAACAACCTCCCTGGCATGGGCAATGTCCTGGCAGTAAACAACCTCGAATCCGGCTACTCAGCAAACGGCAGCGGTTACTTCCCGACGCCCATCCTGGACACGACTCCCAACGGTAGCCGCGATCACCTCATTGCGCACCAGCGCAACGCCAGCCAGGGTAACCTCTCCCAGCACACCCTCGCTCACAACGCTGCGATGCGTGCCCCGTCCGTGGCTCCTTCGGGCATGCGCACCGTCCAGAATGGAGACTACGGTCTCGGCACCAAGGGTGATACCTACAAGGGTCAAGTCTTTTACAACAACGATGGCGAGTTTGTTGGTCAGATGGACCCCGAGATTGCTGACGGCAAGCACGTCGAGGAGAAGACGATAGACAAGGACCGCCGCCTCTGGGTTGCCATTGTCTGGTTCTGGACCTTTTGGATCCCGTCCCCGGCGTTGCGCATCATCGGCCGCATGAAGCGTCCCGATGTGCGCATGGCCTGGCGTGAAAAGCTCACCCTCGTCTGGTTCATCGTCCTCATCAACGCCTGCATCGTCTTCTGGATTATCGCCTTCGGCAAGCTCCTGTGCCCCAACTTTGACAAGGCCTGGGATAGCACCGAAGTCGGCAAGCACCAAGGTGAGAATGATTACTACGTCAGCTTCCGCGGCGGTGTCTACGATGTCTCCAAGTTCTGGAAGACGCAACACTCCGATACCAACATTGAGACGACCAAGGACAACATGATCCAATTCGCCGGTTTGAACATGGATGACTACTTCCCGCCCCCTCTTACTCTGGTGTGCCCCGGTCTCGGTATCGCTACGACCACCACACTCCTGGCCAACAACACCCCCGAGTTCACCATCGGCGTCCACAAGTCAGGCCCTTTGGCAGACGACCGTACGAGCGCGCTCGGTGACATTGATTGGTACAGCAAGAAGCTGTTGCCCCGCATGAAGGAATTCTACAAGGGCGACCTCGTCTGGGACAAGGGGCACGTCGAGTCGGATGGACAAGACAATAGCCACATGTGGGTGATGTACAACGGCGGAGTCTATGATTTTACCAACTACTACCACACCCAGAGCGTTTTCAAGCAGGTCGACACGTACAAGTTCCTCAACACCAAGATGATGAGCGCTGTCGAGAATAACCCTGGCGAAGACATAACGGACAACTGGAACACCATCATCAAAGCCGCCGCTAGCAACACAACCGAAAACGCAAGCGTCCAGAACAGTCTCAACTGCGCTAAGAATCTCTTCTACGTGGGCATTCCAGACTTCCGCAACTCCGCCAGGTGCCAGACCAACAACTACATCATGTTGGCAATGACCATTATTCTTTGCGCCGTCATTCTCATCAAGTTCTTGGCCGCCTTGCAGTTTGGTTCCAAACGTCGTCCCGCTCCGCAAGACAAGTTTGTCATTTGCCAAGTACCAGCCTATACCGAAGGCGAAGACTCGCTGCGGAAAGCGCTCGACTCCCTGACGGCCCTCCAGTACGACAACAAGCGCAAGCTTATCTGCGTCATTTGCGATGGTGTCATTGTCGGTGAAGGCAACGACCGTCCTACTCCCAAGATTGTCCTGGATATCCTCGGCGTTGACCCCAAGGTTGACCCGCCAGCGCTACCCTTTAAGTCTGTTGGCACGGGCAGTGAGCAACTCAACTACGGCAAGGTGTACTCTGGTCTGTATGAGTTTGAAGGCAACGTCGTCCCCTACCTCGTCATCGTCAAGTGTGGAAAGGAATCGGAGCAGAGCAAGGCCAAGCCCGGTAATAGAGGCAAGCGTGACTCCCAGATCTTGCTGATGAGCTTCCTCAACCGCGTCCACCATCGTTCCCCCATGTCACCGCTCGAGTTGGAAATGTTCCACCAGATCAACAACATCATCGGCGTGGACCCCGAGCTGTACGAATACTTGATGATGATTGACGCCGATACTTGTGTCAGAGAAGACTCGCTCAACAGACTGGTTTCCGCCTGCGCCAACGACGCCAAGATTGCCGGTATTTGTGGCGAGACTGGTTTGCAAAACGACGACAAGTCCTGGTGGACTATGATCCAAGTCTACGAGTATTTCATCTCCCACAACCTGGCCAAGGCTTTCGAATCTCTCTTCGGATCCGTCACCTGTTTGCCTGGATGGTACGTGACCCTGAACTCCTGATTATAAATACCTAGCTAACCAGCACAGTTTCACCATGTACCGTCTGCGCACCGTCGACAAGGGCAGGCCACTCATCATCTCTGACAACATCATCCGTGACTACTCTGTGTGTGATGTGGATACGCTCCACAAGAAGAACCTTTTGTCACTTGGTGAGGATCGTTACCTGACTACGCTGATGACAAAGTTCTTCCCGTCCATGAAGTACAAGTTCATCCCCGACGCGTACTGCCAGACTGCCGCCCCCGAGTCGTGGAGCGTTCTGCTGTCCCAACGTCGTCGATGGATCAACTCAACCATCCACAACTTGTTCGAATTGATGCAACTCAAGGAAATGTGTGGTTTCTGCTGCTTCAGCATGCGCTTCATCGTCTTCGTTGATCTCTTTGGCACCATCATTCTCCCGGCGACAACCATCTATATTGTCTACCTAATCTACCTCGTGGCCAGTGGCACCGGACAATTCCCCATCATCTCGATTATTATGATTGCCGCGTCGTACGGCCTTCAAGCTCTCATCTTCATCCTGAAACGACAGTGGCAGCACATCGGATGGATGGTCATCTACATCTTGGCCTTCCCCATCTACAACTTTGCTCTCCCCATCTACTCCTTCTGGAACCAAGATAACTTCTCGTGGGGTAACACCCGTATTGTCATTGGAGAAAAGGGTATGAAGAAGCTCGTCGCCGTGGACGACGAAGGCTTCGACCCCCGCAGCATTCCCCTGCAACGCTGGGACGACTACGCCATGATGAACAACCTCCCCGGTCGCCGCGGCGGCTACATGGAGAAGGCTGACATGGGCTACGACGACCAGTACGAGATGGATGAGATCCGCTCCGTCTACTCGTCCGTCCGCCAGGGTTCTGTCCTCACCGGCATGAACCGTAACAACCACTACGTGCCGCCCCAGTCCCCCGCCCCCTTTGGCGGCATGGCGAGGGCGTCGGGCGCTACGAGCCCCTACCACCACGACCAGGCCATGGCCAACAGGCAATCGATGGCGTCGCTGGGCACCCATGACATCAATCGCGGGCATACGCCCTTCCAGGACTTCCCCAGCAGCCGCCCGAGCGTCTCTAACCTTCGGGGCCAGGCCAACATCTCGCCCGGGCTTGGCGCCAACCGCTCGCAGTCGGCGCTGGGCCTGAACCGCCAGGCGGGCGCCGCGCAGTCGACGTCGTCGTTTGACTTCCAGCGCGGCAACATGCAAGGGCCCGATGACGGTATGATTATCGATGCTATCCAGGGCGTCCTCCGCGAGGTCGACCTTGACACCGTGACGAAGAAGCAGGTACGCGCCCTGGTCGAGCAGAGGCTGCAGACTGGTCTCGTCGGCGAGAGGAGGACGTTCATGGACAGACAGATTGACAACGAGCTGGCCAACATGTGAGAGAAGCTGCATTAACCAAGGCAATCGTACATACCACACGGCCACTTTTTATCTCTGTCGTATAATGAAGAAATTTCTTTTTGCAAAAGGTTCAAAAAAACTGGGGGCGTTGCGATCGGTCTTTGTGTGACTATTGTCCAAATCTAGGATATGTCTTGGATTACAACCTCGTTTACATGTTTCTTTCTCTTATTGATTGGGGACATAGTCAGGTTATTGGCAACACGTTGCGGATGACTTTCCACCGGATAATACATCTCCTAGTAGTTCAAATTAATTTGTACGAGACACGGAATTTTGGTAATCATGAATTGTGTGCCCAATCGTTTTATTTATACTGCTATTTGACCTACCGAGTGTGACGACTGTGCCTAGTCGTGAACCTATGCAAACAAACCTAGGCGGTCCTACGCTCCTGAATCTTGCCAACGCCGTTGAGCCGTAGATAGACGTCCGTCCCCCAGCCGTACAAGCTCTGGACGGCAATCCCACCGCCAAAGTACTCGGCGTACGCACGACTCAGCGGTAGACCATATCCGAGACCCGCAATCGAGCTCCCGCCAGCACTCGCGCTGGAAATCACGTTGAGGCCGCCGTCATCGGAGCCGGGGAACTCGTCGTCGTCGGAAAAAGTGGTGAAGGAGTAGGACCAGATGTTGGGCAGCACCTCGGGGGAGATGCCGCCGCCGCGGTCCCGGATCCGAATCGTGACGCCGGGAACGTTATCCTCCAGCGGCTTGATGGCGTCGCTCCTGAACTCGCCCCTCGTCTCTTTGGGCACCTCGATCTTGAGATGCTGGTTCGGGCGGGGCGGCTCCGGGGCGATGGTGACCACGATGGGCTCCTTATTGTCCCTGGCTTCCACGGTCGCCCTGAAGGCATTCTTGAGCAGCTCGGTGACGATGTACTCCAGGTGCATCGGTATAAAGGCAAAGGTGGTGTCAGGCTCGCCATCAATGACGAGCTGCGGCCGCACGCCGTACCGCAGCTCGCAAATGTCGGCGACGAAGCCGGCGCAGGACTCAATAATATGCGCCGGCTTCAGGGCGGTGTCGATGACCCCTATATAGCTGGGCTGCTCCGGGCAAGGGGTCGGGCTGGCTCCTGGGTCAAAGTGCGGCTGAGAGCTGTAGTGCAGGGCAATGTGCTGTTCTGCGACGAGGCGGGTGCCAATGCGGGCGCGGAGGTGCTCGTCAAGGAAGCGAGTGACTTCCTGAGGGGAGATGTAGCGGCGACACTCGAGGAAGCCGCGGGCGAGGATGGGGATGGTGTCGGTGTGGGTTGCAACGAGCTCGGCGAGGACTTCTGTGAAGCGGATCTCATCGTCGAGGGTGCGGACGGCGCTGTCACCGCCCTTGGTCCACCAGGGGAGGAGGGTAGAGAGGGAGTGGACATAGTTGTTGTAGATGCGGCTGATGTTTGGGTTGGAGACGACAATATAGGGGAGGTTGCGGAGGGCCTGGATGCGGTGGGCGAGGCGGATCGGGAGGAGGGAGAGGGTGAAGTTGGCCGAGGAGAGCAGGGACTTTTCGCTGAGAGGAGGGCGGCCGTGTCTTTTGAATGTTAGTACATCATTTGAGGTAGTGGTTGGGGATTCGTACTTGACCAGGTCGGTCAGGCTCAAGGGATGCTGTGTCTTGTTTGCGAGCTGGACAAACTCGTGGTCGTCGACACGCGACAGGTGGTGGGACGAGCCATGGCGGTGACTGTGGCCGTGTCGAGAGGAAGAGAGCAGACGGGTGTGGAAAGGGCTGTGGAGTTGTGCGAGTATCCTCTGGGGCCTTTTGGGCCTCAATGGTCTCGCGATGGGTATCATGGCGGCATTGTCGAGGTTGCAAACGAGGCGTTGCGGTCAAGGGGAATTCCGTTGGGGAGGTTCCTGATGCAACACGCTGCGGCAGTAGCAGCAGTAGCAGAGCATGAGATCATACGCTTTGGGATTCGCTTGACTCAGATCTTAGCACGGCTTGTGCACTGTTCTTTTTGTGGGGGGAGGTGGTTACCGACGGCCCCTGGGTGAGGTAGGTGGTCCGGGCTCTCTTGTAGCCCCGCGCCGGGGTGGTAAGACACTTCGACCTCAGGCGGCGGGGGCCGATCCCAAGCGCCATTACTGCTGCCGGTGCTGGCCCTGGCAGCGGGATGAGGACCTTGGTGGCTTCCAGTTTGCAGGGCATGTCTGTCTGGCTAAAGGGGGATTCTGCTGCGCTGACAATAGTGATTATTTCATGCACTATCTAGGACTGGCAGACGTGGGAAGAGTAAAGCGTCAAATCATTAAGAATCTCGCGAGTCTAAGGTATGTAGTGGATCAAGTACAGCTTGCCAGCCCCTCGCCCGGGATACAATCCTCTATTGTGTCTTGACCTCCTGGTCCTTCTCGACGTGCTTGACATGCTCGTGGCTCTCGAGGGTCGAGATCTGGTCCTCGGGGAACTCGACGCTGGCAGGGTTATAAAGTCAGTCGAATGCGACCATACGAATGAAGGGAGGGGAGGGACATACGAGAAACCCTTAATCAGGCTGTACTCGTGGCCAATCTTTCCACCTTGGTCGGTGGCGTGCTTCTTGGCGCTGGCTTGCTATTAGAATCCCCAGCGACTCTTGATCTATATGATCGTGTTAGAAATGGGCGACTTACGCCGCGACCTGATCGGCGGAGGCATCCTCCTTGCAGGTGACCTTGGGGGACATTAGCTTGCTATGCAATCAAGACGGTATCCCCACTGAAGGGAGGATGATACTGACAATGTAGGTAGGCATTCTGAAGAATTTGGCGATGGGATTTGTACGTTGAAAGTTGCGGCTCGTGGTTGTGAAAGGTTGAAGTTGAATTCGTCCAAACACCAGGTTGGATGGAGGCTGGCTGACTCTCTTTATAACCAAACCGACAGGTCTCATGCGTGCCCGATTTGGTGAGGGATGTGCTACCTTAGAGACGGGACAGACCAGTGAAAGTGACGGGATGGGTGTGGGAACTTGAGGTGGGCTACAGGCCGGGAACTAACAGTGACGCGGAAAGGTTCGTGGGTGACCCAGCGAGGGGAAGGTCCATGCAACCACAGCAGGTAGGTAATCACGTACTGTACACGAGTTGCGTGGGTGTGGACGCCTATGTGGTACGTAAGGCATTGGATGGCACCAGCATCTGCTTGCTCCCACTGCTTGCTACTTACCTACCTGAATGTACACGCAATACGTCATCCCACCTTTGCGCATGTCTCGAGCCGAGATGGTCGCCTCCATCTGCTACTAGACATGAACAAGTTATCCATTAAGGACATCTTTGGCGCATAGAGCGCATCCACAACAACACGTCCGACATGCACAGCCGAGATAAGGCGCGAGAGAAAGAGAGCTCTCCTGGCCAGATCTGGTTACTCATGCATCTTGTTTCTTCACGCATCATCCTGCGGCCTGCTGTTGTGCGCGTAGATGATTGCGGAGCCTTGGATTGTCTTGTGACTCGGCCCAGAAACCAATCAATGCGTCGCCGGCCATCTATCATCGTCTCCCAGCGCCGGGCTCGTCATCGGCAATGCCGTCATTGCTGACCTAATTCATCCCTCCAAGGTACTTTACTTGCCTGTGTCTAAGTAACTCTGTTCCTCTTACGAGCTCTTACAAGCTCTTACGAGTTTCTCCATTGAGAGGTGCGTTGAGTACTGCCACTTTCGCATCCAGCGTGTGCCTTGGCGTTGACCTAGAAGACGAACAATTGGATACAAGAGGACATTTTAGTAAAGTAGTCATAAGGGTACCATAGGATGAAGATAATAGACCAGTGTGATTGTATTCCATCACTTCATCCATCACCGTCGTGGGGTTGTCGGCTCAACGACGATCACCGAGTGAGGGGCACAGAGGGGTAAGGTAACACAAAGGAGTGGGGGCCGTGTGTTTTCTTATCGATAATCAGATTAGATAAGACGAAATGGACCCGCAACAAATTTTTGACTGCTCGATAAGGTAGCAGTCGAATCGCGAACCGCTGAGACGAGAAAAAAAAAGTAGCCCAGGCTTGTCTTTCGTTGTGTAGTTGCAGGACCTCCCAACATCTTTGGGCAACACCGTCATGGAGGACCAAGTGCACAAGCCTCATCGCAAGGCGAAGGATAAGAAGGGAAAGCAGCACACCGGAGGTGAGCTGGCCATTTACCCACGATTGCCCACTAATTCGCACGACTGACGATTGCGCAGAGAAGAACCCCAAGGCCTTTGCCTTTTCTAACCCCGGAAAGCTTGCAAGGTCGGCCGCGAGATCTTCAGATGTACGGCTATTTCCCACGGATATAGCAGACAAAATGACTGACGTGTGACTGGACAGATCAAAGAAAGACGCTTCCATGTTCCCCAAGTCGACCGCCTCCCCGATGAGCCGCCACCGAGGCTGGTCACCATCGTGGGACCGCCCGGTGTCGGCAAAACGACCCTTCTCAAGTCCCTGATCCGACGATACGCGAAGGAGACGCTTTCCGATCCCCAAGGCCCCATAACCGTCGTCACCTCCAAGAAGCAGCGATTGACCTTTGTCGAGTGCCCCAATGAGCTCGAGGCCATGGTCGACATGGCCAAGATCGCCGACATTGTCCTCCTCATGATCGACGGCAACTACGGATTCGAGATGGAGACAATGGAGTTCCTCAACATCCTTGCCGCCACCGGTATGCCCGGCAACGTCTTCGGCATCCTCACCCATCTCGACCTGTTTCGGAAACCCCAGGCGCTCAGGGACGCCAAGAAGCGACTCAAGAGAAGGCTTTGGAGCGAGCTGTACCAGGGCGCGCACCTCTTCTACCTCTCCGGAGTCATGAACGGCCGCTATCCCGACCGAGAAATCCACAACCTCTCGCGCTTCCTGTCCGTCATGAAGAACCCCCGCCCCCTGATCTGGAGAAACTCCCACCCGTACACCATCATCGACAGCTACCGAGACATCACCCATCCCACCAAGATTGAAGAAGACCCCATGTGCGACCGTTCGATTGTGCTGTCGGGATACTTGCGCGGCACCAACATGACACAACAGGGGCAAAGAATTCATGTCCCGGGACTGGGCGACTTTACCGTGGCGAACCTCGAGGTCATGCCCGACCCTTGCCCCACCCCGGCCATGGAGCAAGCCATCGCCAAGGTGACCGGCAAGACGACGCGGCGACGCCTCGACGAGAAGGAAAAGAAGCTCCATGCGCCCATGTCCGACCGCAGCGGTCTCAAGATTGACGGCGACGCGATCTGGATCACGAGGGAAAAGGGCTTCACTTTTGACAGGGACGCGGAGGACGGCGAGAGGGGCGAGGGCGAGGAGCTCATTATCGGCCTCCAGGGCGAGCGAAAGCTGCTGGGCCAGACCGAGGAAGGCGTGCAGCTCTTCAAGGGAGGCGAGCAGCTGAAGCAAGTGGCCGAGGAGGAAGACAGCGGCAGGAAGACGCAGCGTCACGCGCGTTTCGCGGACCGCGACGAGGAATCCGACGCCGAAATCGATGACGAGGGCTTCGTCAGCGGCGAAGACGAGGGCGAGTCCGACGTCGAAGAGGAGTTCAACGAGGGCAAGCTAGGCAAGATGTTCCGGAAGAACGCCGACAAGGACGCTCAAGAAGACGACATTGCCTTTGCTGACAGTGACTCGGATCTCGGCTCAATATCGGGGCTTGAAGACGAGGACTCGGACGAGGACATGGACGACGAAGACTTTGATTCGGACGAGGAGGCAGCGGCCATGAAATGGAAGGAGAACATGGCAGACCGCGCAAAGAAGCTTCACGGCAAGCGACGCTCGTATCACACACCGGACCTGGCCAGGTTCATGTACGACGAGTCCTTGTCTCCCGACGAAGCGCTGCAGAAGTGGCGCGGCGAGGACCAACAGGAGGAGGACATTGAAGCAGAAGAGGACGACGACTTTTTCCAAAAATCCAAGCAGGACAAGGAAGACAAGGTCGAGGACAGATCGATACCCCTGTACGACTACGAAGACCTGGCGGCGAAATGGTCACAGGCGGCCGCTGTCGAAGCTCTTAGGAAGCGCTTCACCACGGCGGGCGTGCGTGACGACGATGGAGACGACGACGAGGGTGGTGATGACGACGACGAGTTTGACGGCATCGACGATGACGAGGACGACGAAGGCGACGGCGTCTTTGAGGACCTCGAGACCGGCGAACAGCACGGAGGGGACGTCGAAGAGCCCACAGAGGCAGAAGTGTTCGAGACGGAGCGTGAAAAGAATGCGAAGCGCAAGGAGGAGCTCAAGCTACGGTTCGAGGAGGAAGACCGCGAGGGTTTCATGAACGACAAGGCCAATGCCCGGCGAGAGGGCGGAGAGCAAGAGTTTGGCGAGGACGACTGGTACGAGGCGCAAAAGGCCGTCATCCAGAAACAGCTCGACATCAACAAGGCGGAATTCGAGACCCTGGACGAGAGGCAAAGAGCCGCCGTCGAGGGCTACCGGGCCGGCAAGTACGCCAAGATTGTGCTCGAGGGCGTCCCCGCCGAGTTTGTCGAAAAGTTCAACCCGCGCAACCCCATCATCATCGGCGGCCTGTCGCCTACCGAGGACCGCTTCGGCTTCGTCCAGGTCCGCATCAAGAAGCACCGCTGGCACAAGAAGATCCTCAAGACCAACGACCCCCTCATTTTCTCCCTCGGCTGGCGGCGGTTCCAGACCATGCCCATCTACAGCACCTCCGACTCGCGGACGAGGAACCGGATGCTCAAGTACACCCCGGAGCACACTCACTGCTTCGCTACCGTGTACGGCCCACTCATCGCGCCCAGCACGGGCTTCGTGTGCTTCAACTCCTTCTCGCCTGAGAATCCGGGCTTCCGGATCGCCGCGACGGGCACGGTGCTCAGCGTCGACGAGTCGACCGAGATTGTCAAGAAGCTCAAGCTCACGGGTACGGCCGACAAGATCCACAAGAACACGGCCTTTATCAAGGGCATGTTCAACACGGCGCTCGAGATTGCAAAGTTCGAGGGCGCCTCCATCAAGACGGTCTCGGGTGTCCGCGGCCAGATCAAGCGTGCCCTCTCTAAACCCGAGGGCCACTTCCGCGCCACGTTCGAGGACAAGATCCTGTACAGCGACATTGTCTTCCTCCGCGCGTGGTACCCGATCAAACCCCACCGCTTCTACAACCCGGTGACGAACCTTGTCGGGTGGCAGGCGATGCGCCTGACGGGCCAGGTGCGCCGCGACCAAGGCATCGACACGCCGCTCGAGAAGAACAGCCAGTACCGCAAGATTGAGCGCGAGACGCGCCACTTCAACCCGCTGCGCGTGCCCCGCGCCCTCGCGGCCGAGCTGCCGTTCAAGTCGCAGATTGTGCAGGCGCGCAAGCAGAAGAAGGAGACGTACATGCAGAAGCGCGCTGTGGTGCTCAACAAGGAGGAGAAGACGGCGCGCAACCTGCTGCAGCAGCTGTCGACGATCCGCAACGATAAAGTGGCCAAGCGCGCCGCCAAGAAGGAGGAGAAGCGCGCAGAGTACCGCAAGAAGGTGGCCGACTCGGACGAGAAGAAGGAGGCGAGGGAGAAGAAGGAGAGCAAGGAGTTTTGGCGCAAAAACGGTCGCAAACGCCAGGCGCCGGATGAAGGCGGCGGCGGAGGCGGCGGTCAGAAGCGCAGCAGGAAGTAAATATCTCGGGCATGGATTACATGGAAAACAGGCGGGAGACTTAAAAGCAACTACTGTTGGTCGCGCGAGAGAGTGTGTGTGTGTAATCAAGGGCGCTTGGCTGTCATTTGCATTAGACGGCGCAGGCTGTGAAGCCTCTCAGTAGGGTATCTAACATCAAAATCATTTCCTTGATAAATGCACCTCATTTGTATGTCTAGCCTTGTTGCGCCTCTTTTTGTTCTGCACTCAACTTCATCTTCTGCGAACCCCTGATGGCTGTCAAGAGTCTGATCAAGGACTTGACATTGGTTACAAAGCGACTTGCTGCTCGGCGCGCGATGCTCGCTGTGCTCGTCAGTAGACCCTTGGCAACCTCGTACAGGTCCTCCCGCCGATAAGTTGTGCCGAATGCTCCGACTTCGGTTGTGATTTGGCCAGGACTCGACAATCATGCCATCTCTCTGTTTAAGACCAATTGGTATCATGATACGTGGCGGCTCAAACCGTCGCCATTCTCGTCTTGACCATGGCCAACTCGGAGCTCTTTGCCCATGTGCCGCTCGGCGTCTGCCGGTAGCACACAAGCTTTCCGTCGTCTCCAGTACTGGCTAGGATCTGGCCGTCGTCGTCAAACCCGACGCGCCAGACTGGCGTACGGTGGCTGTCGAGCTTGGCAACTTCCTTGAAGACGTGCTTTACCTGCCCCGGCTGCCCGGAAAAATGCCGTTCAACATGCGAGCCAGACTTGGCCAGGCTTGCGCTGAGTCCCGATTGGTGCTGCTGGTTGTCGTTTGTCTGCCCCCCTGCCTTTGACGATGCCTGTGCATAATGGTTTTCTTGCTTGGTTAGTTCGGTCGTGGCCCACGTCTTGCCATCGTCGGCCGAGTACGGCGTATCGATGCGGAATACGCGCACAGAGCCGTCCTGGCAGGCTGTCGCGATGGTGTCGTATCCTCTAATATTTCCTGTTGCCCACGCCACATCGCGTACGAGGCCACGGTGGACACCCACCTCGACGGCAAGATAGAACTCTCGTTGTGTCTGCGGTACGCCGTACGAAGTCGCAATCACGTCCCTTGAGCGATAGATCTTGACCGATGACATGCCCGCCACGACCAGTCCCAAAGAGTCGCTCGCCACGCCCGCCCTCAGGGCATTGTAGCACGGGTCGAGATTCGGATCGAAGCGAACCTTGAAGCTAATCTCCTCGCCGCGGCTTGGCTTGGGGCATATGCTCAATTCATCGATTTGTGTGTATTCAGACATGTTTTCGGGCTGTTCGTTCTCGTACACCACCAAACGGCCTTCGGAGGAGAGCAGGGCAAGATACGTATGCCGTGTCTCTTCATTGTGTTTCATTGAAAAGGAGCGGTAGGGGTATTTGGGAGAACGCATTTCGTAGGCAGCTTTGCTCGTCGTCGCACGGCTGCTGGCGCTGAAGCGGCGACCTGGTGCTGCGGAGGGGTCTTCCGCCCACAGTTTGAAGCGGCCTTCTATGCCGAGAGAGGCGATGAGGTTCGGGTAGACGGTCGGGGGAAGCCATTGGAGCTGGGCGGCGAGGCAAGGGTCAGCCAGGTTCGCTGCGGCTCAAGTGGGTGTTCATACCTCGAGGATCTCGCCGCCGTGGGCCCCCCAGGTATCGCAGTGGTGCCAGACGCCGTCTTTGTGCCGGTTAAAGACCTTGATCTTGCCATCTACGGACCCTGTCGCGCATCGGTCGCCGTAGGCGTTGAAAGCGACAGCTTGGACGAGGTCCTGGTGTCCGTGTTGTATGTTTAGGTCGAATCCTGTCTTTTCCTCGGCGATCGCAGGTACCTCACGAGGGTATGTCGCCATCTTGCTGTGTGTGTGAGCGGCTGGCGTGGTTAGAGAGGCGTGCGGTGCAGCCACAATACTCATACAGCGAGGTTGGCTTGGTGTTGTAGATGCGACCGAACGCAAGATCGAGCAGGGGAGCTCTCTGTAGATGCCCCGCGGAACTTGGCCTGGGTACGTACCGACTGATCGAGCACCGGCTTGACAACCTCAACTTTTACAGTCAACCATTATAAGAAAGACTTCAAGGCTCCTTGTAGACCAAATCACAATTTTCATGGCATTTGGTTTTTTTTCTTTAATTTTCAGGTATGCGACGGAGTCTTGAGCTGACAGAAACCCGATATTGACCGGCAATGGATCTCATGATACCCTTAACAATCAGTTTGGTGCTCCAACGCCAGACGACAACAAGAACCAACAGAGCTGATGGGGCCTATTGTACCTTTCTTAACCATTCGGCCGAATTTCAGAAATGACCCTTCAGTTCAAGCTAGGCTGTGCCTACTCTGCTATAACTCGAAGAGCGCCGAATCTAATCTAGTTCGTCCTGCAGCCAGGTTTTAATCACCCACTCAGTCCTCCTCAACTTTGATATGCAGCTCCTGTAGCTTTTCATAAAGGGCCGGTATGCCTTTCCCAAACGCAAGTGAATGGGGAACCTCCTCCAGAGGGTGGGCTGGTCCATAGCTGACATTCTCGACAGTGACCAGCAAGTTGCGCACAAAGTTGCCATCCCACAGATTTTCTCGCTGAGGGTAGTTTCGTAGTACATCTAGAGCTTTCCCTTGAATGACGGGGTCTTGGCAAGTGACAAGGATGAAGTAGAGAGGCGGTATGATACCAATGTCGAACGTAAATGATCGGGGGAGTGATCCCGTTTCCCGCTGCCTGGCAACTAGCCCTTGTTGCAGCAGGGTAGCCAAAGACACAAGTTCTGCGTAATGAGCAATGACGGCTCGCGACTGCTGCCTCTGGTGCGGTTTCTGATGCAATGTCTGGCATATGAGACGCGCGCACCTGTAGTGAAGCATATCGAGGCAGATGGAGTAATGCTCTTCGGTGCCGCTCGCGGGCGCTTGGGGCGTCTCCATGAACCGTTGGAAGAGACCAGTCAAGTGGTCGCCCCTTTCCATCAGAATCTCGTGCCGACGATGCGGCACCGGTTGAGCCCAGAACTCGTCATCGCCTTGCTGCTCCTTTGTCAGCCAGACGAGGGCAAATACATCGCGGGTGTATTGCACAATAGCCCGGTGCGCATCAGTAATAGTCTCGAACTCGTCCAGCGCTGTGCCGTCGAGTTCTCGCCCCTCATACAGCTTGATAGCGATGACGGGTTTGAAGTTCTCGGCGAAAAGCGCGCAAGAGACCTCCCAGGTGGCGAACAGTCTCAGGATGTAATCCATTGCCAAGGCATCTTCTGACGAGTCTGTGCTAGTATGAGCTGGTGCGGTTTCTCGCAGCTTGTTGAGCGTGCTCATGGGTAGACTTTCAACTATACGCAACCCATTTGACAGATGCGTCAGCGCCGGCCGCCAGTTATTCCGCAGTGACTCGATGCAGACAAACGATACGCAGCAGAGGAGGGTGACGGTAATTCGGTCCTTCATTGGGACGTGGGCATAGCTCGAGAGCTTGGACATGGCAGTGCCGTACTGTTGGATAGTGAAGATTTCGAGCTCGCGAGGGGGCAACCCTCCACCTCGAGGGAGGGCTGTCTGATAGATATGATACGCAGAGCCAAGGGCGACAATGGCATGCTTCACGGCCTCATCTGAATGGCTGAGCTGGGTTGCCATTCGACTCCAGAAATTGGTGAGGTTCGTGACGTGGTTGCAGAGGCCGGCTTCCGCCATGCGGCGGAAGCGATGGAAGTAGATGCGCTCCGTCTGTGTACCGTCAATGTCGGCGACGAGAGGACGCAGCATTCGAGGGTTTTGGCTGTGAGACCAGACTTGGATGAAAAGGTTCTGAGGAACCAGGGCAACACTGCTATCTCTCGGTCGAACCGGCATGGTCTTGTCATAGCCATCGCAAGCCCGCCCTGTTGACGTGCAGCGCGAACAAGCAGGCCGTTCCTCTCCGCATTTGATGCGTCTGATTCTAGGTGAGCATATTTATTAGTACCAGCGAAAGGCAAATCACAAGTCGAGGTCTTACTTGCTGCCACCAAGTCAGCTTTACATCAGTCTAAACAGTCCCAAGAGACTCACCAAGTCAGACAACCGGTTCGCACCTTGGGCTTACTCGCCCTTTTGCGTTTTGCTGTGATGGTCGCCTGCTCTAGTGCCGGCATGGCATTGCCGCTCTCACACGACGTAGATGCCATTGAACCATGAACAGGTTGCGTCTGGTTCTCGTTGGCAAACTTGGTTAGACCAGCTAGTCCTATGCCCTGCTGACGAATACTGAGCCTTGCTCCGTCCCTCCTACCAGCGAGATGTCCTGGGTCAAGATAAGCTTAAACAGATCGACAAAACCCAACTGTTCATGTCAATCACAGAGGCGTCTGGCAAAAAGCTCCTCCTCATCATCCATGCCCGATTGGGCAGCATCAGCGGCGTGCTTGATACCACAATGCCAACGTCGTGGCTAAGATTAAGGCGGACGACGCGCAAATTGTAATGTTGTCGACGGATGGGGCGAGCTCTCAAATTAGGTTGACTTGACTCGGGCGTTGCTGGCGTGGACTTCCTTCATTCCGTGCCCCACCAACCTCTCCGACCCTCCGTCAACAAAGGCCGGTGTTGGATACCCGAGCAATGGGATTAGAAGTATCCGGATGTGAGGAGTTGCGACCAGAGGTAGAGGAGATGTAGTTGTGTTCTCACTCGAAGCTCAGAGTCGAAGAAGAGAATCTATACATAGAAGGCCGCCGAGAGAGCTATTCCCGTTATGGTCTAGAAGGTTCTTTAGCCGTGCTGCCCACCCCGCAACTGACCCTGATCGTTTTGCAGTGATATTTAGCATTCAGTGATACTTTGTTTCTTCACGTCCGACTCAGTGTCACATCGTCTCGCAATAAACTCTTCGAGAGCCGGATTATGGGGTGTGCAACGAAGCTTTACCATTACCGACTGTGCTTTCTCTATGTACTGTCGGTTCCGTATTCACAATCTGATCATTATCATTACTCCACCCTTTTCTACGCACCCATGTCGCCCGGCCTCAACTGACTGGCCCGCTGCTTGGCCCGCTGCTGCTTCTTATTCTTCTTGATGTTCTTCCACTCCATGAATAAGGCGCACACCAGCGTCGCGAGAGACAGACCCATGCCAGCCAAAAAGATCCGCGTGCAGGCGTAATTGTATGCCTGGACCACCACGCCCAAGAACTGCGCCGGCACAACGGTGTGCAAGTTGGTGGCGCCAGTGTTGATAATAGCCTGCGCGGACAGGCCCGGAATGCCCGAGAGCTCCGACACGAGCAAATTGCTGAGGATGGACTGCCCGACCGAGACGAAGATGGCCGCTCCGAGTTGCTGGGCAAAGAAGCTGATCGAGACACCGGTTGACACATCCTCCTTGGGGAGGACCGCCTGCACCGCAAGCCCAACGGTCTGCATACCGAAGCCCAGGCCGAATCCAGTCAGGAATTGGTAGCCGATCCAATGCCCGGAGCTGATGCCTGGCTGGAAAGTGCTCATCAGGCCCAGGCCTACGGACATGATGCATGGGCAAAGAATCATGGACGGTACGTAATATCCGATCTTCTGTGTCGCGCCACCCGAGATGATGGAGGATACCACGATGCTGAGGACGAGAGGTATGGTGTAAATTCCCGAGTTGACGGGATTGGCCCCCTGCACGGCTTGGACTGGTGATTGGTGTCAGCGCTCTTCTTCACGACCAAGGTAATGGCATCACTTACACCAGATGGGCAGGTAGTATACTGCCAGCATCATTGAGCCGGCCAAAAATAGCATGAAGAACGCACCCGCCAGCATGGTTCTCTGCTTGATGATTCTGACAGGCACAGTGGCGGTCTTGGGCATGAGGACCTGGACGGCGGCGAACGCCATGAACGCAACCCCAAAGATGACAAACAACGCGATGATCCGGCCATCGTTCCACGCATACTTGGAGCCACCCCACTCCAGCGCCAGAAGAATACACACGACGGATGGGACGAAGAAGAGCGTACCCAAGGGATCCAGCCGCTTAATGTGCTGGAGCAAAGTCGCCGGCTCTTGGGGCTGCCGCCTAGGAGCCTTGAGCATGAAGAACAGGAAGACGAATGCCACGCCTCCAATGGGAAGGTTGATGTAGAAGCACCACCTGTTCATCGTTAGTCGCGCTACAACGTGAATGCTCCTGGGGTTCAGCATACCTCCATGTGACGTTGCTCGTAAAACCACCGCCAACCAAGGGTCCAATGACAGACGCCAGGCCAAAGACCATACCAAAGATGCCTTGGAACATGGGTCTCTTGTGCAAAGGAATCATGGGAATCATGACCATCATCGCTCCCGTGAAAATGCCAGCCGAACCGACGCCCGCAATGGCTCTGCCCGCAATGAGGACCGGCGAGCTCGGCGCAACACCGCAGATGAGCGAGCCGATTTCGAAGATGAGGATGCTGCTAAGAAATGCTCTGAACCATCATGTTAGACATGCCGGGTGGGAGCCGGGGGGAGTGGTACTGACCCTCTCAGATTGTAAAACTTGTAAATCCTACCAAAGACCAACTGCGACGCAGCAGTTGTGAGCATGTATGCCGAACCGTACCAGCCAATATCGCCCAGGCTCTGAAACTCATCAGTAATGCGAGGAATTGCCGTGGCAATGATTGTGCGATCCAGAGCAACGAGAAACATTGCGACAAAGTTGGACAAGATGACGAGCCAGAAGGTGATGGTTTTCGGTTTGAAGTTTTCCTCGGCTTCATCGAATACTGGCGATGGTCCCGTGGGTGGTCCTCCCTCGAGATCGGCCTTCTCATCGACGTCTTCGTCGATATCAGGCTGCTTCGACACATCGGCATGGCTTTCGTTTGCTGATATCGCCGAGGACTGGACTGTTGCTTTCTCTAGCGGCCTCTTACTCTCAATCTCAGACTCGATGGGTTTCTCCTCGGATGACTTGTCTTCCTGCCGCTCGTCGCTCTCTCGCGGAGTCAAGGTCCGAGTGGAGCTGTTTGATGTTTGCAGCTCGCGAGTCTTCTCAGAGGCGGCATCGCCCTCGACGGGCTTCGCAGCTACGTCGGCCATTGAAAGCTGTCGTGCAGTTTGACGAGCAACAGCGGCTGGAGGTTGAAAAAAAAAAAATCCCAATTTTTTTTTTTTTTTTTTTGAGTGAAGCTACGAGGTAAACAAAGATTGCAGCAACAAATCTTAGGCTTGGCAGCGGGAAAATGTTGATTAATGGAACTGGCGAGGAGCTAGAGGTTCGTCCGGACTTTCAAGCGCACGGTCAGATCTCAAGTTACAGATCACGTTCGGACCATGAGCTCGTCTGGCGGGAATAGAGCCACTAGGACGGGGTCCTGGAGCTAGAGCGAGTATCGCTATATATGGCGAGCCTGGCATCCTATCCTGTCTTGCCTTGCCTGCACGCAGACGCGGTGACCGGCCGCAAGTGACAGGCAAAGGAGCGCGCGACGCGAAGCCACGCACCGCCATCATAGCCCGCATAGGATGTCTCACAAGAAAAGTCATGACGAGATCCAGAAGCTGACTTGCCAAGGCCGATGGGGATGTCCAGAGGAGGATCATTTGCCCAGCTCGCCCTCCAGGCTCTGGGTCTTTGGTTGTGTACGGACATGGCGTTGCAGTTGCTCGGGCACCGGAGGTCGATGTTGTGTCCGGGTAATGCAGGGCTTGCCCACTTCTGGACTAGTGCCGGGTGCTCGGGTATCTCCTGGCAATTTCCAGCTTATCTAAGACCCTCTGTGACTTAATATAGCCGAGACGCTTGGGCCAGTTTCGACCCCTTGCAGACGCAGCCAACGGGGTCACCACGCGCCGATGCCACCTCTCTCGGTCCCGGGCAGGTAAGCTAGCTGACCGCAGTCCCCGCTCCCTCATCTCAGTTTTGCCCTTTACGGTCTCACCACGAGAGCAGCCGGGCCCAGGTTTGCAAAGAGTCTCAATTACTATCACCGGACCGGCGAGTTTACAGTAATGTCGTTCGTCTCATAGGCTGCGCGTCCCCGTATGTGGCCTTTGCAGACCCGTCTATCCGCCATACTCTCTATCATACTTTGATTGCTTTGTACGATTTGTGATCCGATCCGATCGCCACTGTCTGCATCTCTAAGCTCCTTCCTGCTCATTCCCAGTCTATCTACACTGCCTTGTCGCACTTCACCCGGCGGTTCTCATCTATCCCGGAAGCGTCTTATACACCATCATCTCAGTAGTGTCTCGGGCAACAATACAGCTTCCTTCGAAGACACGACGTGGATTCAATCTACCGAGGACCCTGGCAAGTACTTGGCGGCATCTGGAGGCCGCTCTTGCTTTTTCATTGGGCCTCTTACTCTTTAGACTCATATGCTGCATCCCGTCAACGTTTCGCCCGCAAAATCACCCCTCGGATCCGAGTTGGGAACAAGCCAGCCGACAAACACGTCTGCAAGGTGGCTGCCGTCACGTCCCTTTGCATCCCAAAGGCGAGCGGCATCCACATAATAAACCATGTCGGGAGAAGCCCAGCTCCCACCCCAGCCGAGGGCAGTTCCTCCACCCGAACCCGACCCCATGGCAGCGATGAAGCTTACTAGGGGGACCTCGTGTGTGCTGTGCCAGCAACGAAAAGTCCGCTGCGACAAGAACAAGCCGTGTGCCAACTGCGTCAAGGCCCGGGTAGAGTGTCGAGTGATACCACCGCAACCACCTAGGCGGCGGAAGAAGCGTCTTCAAGAACGGGATCTCGTCGACAGACTCAAAAAGTACGAGTCACTCTTGGCAGAGAATGGCGTCAAGTTCGACCCCATCGCCGCCGAGCTCAAGGCCGGCGATAGGAACTCGACACATATTGACGATGACCATATGCTTGACGAGGATGCCGACCTCGCCAACGACTTTGAAGGGCTCAAGACCTCTCCCGAGGGGAGCACATCCCCTTCCGTGGCAGGGAGCCGGAGATCGCAGTCCGATAAGTGCGGAGACCTACTACCCCTCCATGACACTTGATCATGGGCTAACTTAACCTTGACTAGACCATATAGTAAATGGTTCCCCTTTCACAAAGAGGTTTGCTTCCCTTGCCTGCTGACCTCGGAGCACGTCTAACTAGAATCACAGTTTCGAGCCAGCGAGGAGTTGCTGAGAGACTCATCGGAAGACGAAGTTGACGGCTCAACCATCCACCACGCTTTTGACAAGATGTACGACGACCAGGACGGCTTTCCGTTCATCGTGGGCAGTCGAAATGCCTCTGTGACGCATCTCCATCCATCTCCTATTCAAATCTTTCAACTTTGGCAGATCTACATTAACAATGTCAACCCCCTTTTGAAAATCACACATGTTCCAACGGTACAGGGCCTCATCATCGAAGCCAGCGCCAACCTAGAGAAGATCCCAAAGAGCGTCGAAACACTCATGTTCGCCATCTACCTGATGGCAATCACCTCTCTCGAAGATGTCGAGGTTATAAAGATGTTCAACGAGCCAAAGGCTACCGTCCTGTCAAGGTTTCATACAGCGCTTCAGCAAGCCTTGGTGAACGCAGGCTTCATGCGGACCAATGACACGATGGTCCTTCAAGCCTACATGCTCTACTTGGTACGTTGGGAATATTCCCCTGTTGGAGAAACAAGAGGCTGACAAGCTAGATTGCTGTTCGCATGTTCGTTGACCCGCGACAAATATTCTGTCTCGTGGGGATCGCCGTGAGGATAGCCCAACGGATGGGCCTCCACCGGGACGCCGCCGCGTTCGGCTTATCACCATACGAGGTCGAGCAACGCCGGCGACTGTGGTGGACCATTGTAGGCTACGACCGCCGCATAGGGGAGATGACGGGGTCGACCGTGACGGCCTTGTCCACAGTCGCCGACTGCAAGCTGCCCCTAAACATCAACGATACAGACCTCCACGTGAACGGCAAAGACGCGCCAACGCCGCATCAGGGCGTGACAGAAATGCTCTTTGTCCTCATCCGGACAGAGCTTGCCATGGCCATCAGCAGCGACACACTACGCGACGGCCAAAGACACGGCGACAAGGAGAAAGACGCCGGCTCCGGCCCGACGGCCCCGCCACGCCCCGTTTCGATTGTGCGCATGGCCGGGCAAGACCAAGTCTACACTCTCGACGGCTTCTTCGCGCACATTGAAGGCACGTACCTCAAGTGGTGCGATCCCAAGATACCGCTACACTTCTTCACCCTCACCATGACGCGGCAGTCGCTGTGCAAGATGCGCGTCATCTCGTTCCTCGTGCGCATGGGCAACGGCGAGGCGACGACGCTGGCGGACCACGAGCGCGACACGCTCTTCCTCGAGGCCATCCAAATGATTGAATACGACAACGTCGTCCAGGCCGCCGAAAGCCTGCAGGGGTACAAGTGGTACACGTACCTCCATTTCCCGTTCCCGGCGTACATGTTCTTGGTCACGGAGCTGCGCCACCGGCTGACGGGTATCATGACCGAGCGGGCTTGGGAAGCCATCGCCGAGAACCACGACCGGCGCGGGCTGATAAGCACGCTGCATAGCCCCATGCACATTGCCTTCGGGAACCTCTTCATCAAGGCCTGGGACGCGCACGAGGCCGGGCAAGAGCAGATTGGCAAACCGGTGGATGAACCCATGTGGATCACGAGGCTCCGGCAGCGGGCGGAGAAGATGGGCAAGAAGCAACACGGCGGTCGTCGGTCCGGGCCGAAGATGGGTAGCGGCGGCGGCAGCGGCGGCGGTGGCGTCTCGCAGCAGGCGTCCGCGGGCAGGGAGGCGCCGGTGAATAGCACGTCGCAGCTCGGCGGGCCTATGCAGCAGATGCCGCAGAACATGATGATGACGCCGCCGTCCGTGACTGCGGGCACGCCTGTCATGAACCCGCCGCCGTTGGAGGCCGCCGTCATCGACATGGACTGGAGCTACCTAATGCAAGGGTACGAAATGGACACGTACGGATCTTTTGTAGGGGGAGGAGGCTTCGGGGGCTTTCCAATGGGTGGGAACGGCATGGGTGGAGGGCCTCCCGACATGATGGGCAACGCGGACGGTAGCAACATGTTTGGAAATTAAAGGAGGTGTATGTGAATGGCCGGCTATTATCTATCTGAGCCTAAAGAAAAAAAAATCTTGATTACGACTCTATGATTCCATGTGCCCAGCGATAGCATTGTAAGTCAGCAGCTCAGCAACCACTGGTTCGTCCGACCCACGCATCGTTCGTGACCAACTTCTCCGTAGAATTACAGGCGGGCATCGTGAGCGTGCGGTTCCTCTCCTCGTAGATGTAGCCGCAGCTCTGGCGCCGTACGTAGACGTAGCTGATGTTCGAGCCACCGGGAAGCTCGACGTCGACGCTCCAAAGCGGGCGCTCGGCGGTGTATTCGGAAGCCGACAGGGGCTGTCCGTTGTCGACGTTCCAGGAGCCGAGCTCGGCAATGTTGCCGAGGAGAGAGATGCCTTCTCCATAGTACGTCGTGGCATTGACGAGGAACGTCACAGGCACGGTGCAGGAACCTGTGACGTTGGGCGCTCCCGCGGCGATGGCGGGGACGTAGGCGCCCGTCATCGACGAGGCGGCGCAGGTGGACGGGACCTTGGACGAGGCGGGCACCCAGCTAGGGGGTAACTGGCCGGCGCGGCGCTCGGCCATGGTGATGAAGGCGACATAGGACCAGGTGAGGTCGCGAGCCGAGGTCGGGGATCCGTCGTTCTTGTTGAACTGCTCGGCGAGGGAGCCGTTGGCGGGCGTGTACTTTTGCGCGACTTCGACAAAGGAGTCGGCGTAGGCGTTGACGGCCTTAATGACGCTGGCGTAATCCGTAGATGTGTTGCTGTTCTTTTGGTAGATTGTCTCCTTGGCGGTTGGGTACAGTTCCTTAAAGAAAGGGAGGGACGTCGCGTCGATCTTGATCTGGCCATGGGCGTTCCACTGTGCAACGGCATCGTAGAGGAACTCGGCGGCGCCGAGGGTGATGAGATACCTGGCGGTAGGTTAGCTCCCACGTCGTGACAGTCCGGAAGCGCGAAAATCTTGCCAAGGGTTGCCGTCAAAGTAGATGTCCTCGATATAGCGGCCAAGAGCAACACCCTTGCCTTGGGCGATTCCCTCGTTGATGGGGTAGAGCTTGGCGTTGCGGAAAGAGTCAACCCAAACCTTGAAGTTGCTCAAAGACTTGCTGTGGCACGGTTGGATGGACGGATCCTCGCAGGTAGCCGTGATGTCAAAGATGGCAATCGAGCCGAGCATGACGTTGGCGTCCTTGCCGGAGCGCTGCGTCTTGGTGTTGACGTTGGCAACGTAGTACCCGTCCTCGTCGTTCCAGTAAGTCTGGAGAAAGCACAAGACGTCCGGGGCCAGCTCGCATCCCGTGCACTTGACGCCGAGCGACTCCGCCAGTGCAGCACCCTCGACGAGAGCGCGATATTGGCTCTGGGTGGTGAAGAAGCTGGAACCATTGACCTCCTCCCACAGGTCAAAGCCGGTTGAGTTCCTATTGTTGTGTGAGCGTCATTCATGGAACGAGATGTGACCAAGAGCCTTGCTTACCAGTACTGGCCGGTATAGGATAGATCATTCGAGATAATTGGCCAAATGATATCCTTGGCCTTGGCCTGTTGTCCATTGTCAACGAGCCAGCGGGAGTAAGTGATGAGCGCGATGGCCCTCAGCGACGGACCGTCTCTCTGCGGGCGACCCCATTCATTGTTGAAGCGCGAGCCATCGACCAGATACTTGGGCTCGCCGAGGCCACGACCGGATGGGAGAAATGACCCGGAAGGGTTGCTGACGGTCTGTAGGACGGCCTGGGATTTGTAGTAGTCCTCGATGTGAACATGGAGCTCGTCGTGCCCAAGAATGAACTGGTCGACAATCATCTTCATTGTCAAGGCGGCATCACGAGTCCACGTGTAGAAGTCTGGAACAGGTCAGAAACGGAGCAAATTCTCATGGCTGAACGGACTTACAGTCGGGGTCGGCCTTGGACGGGCTGGCAACGACGATGCCAGCGCTGGCGCCTGCAACCGAAGCGCCGTCGGCTCCAATGTTGCTCAAAACGCCATTAAGCGCAATGGTTCTTTGACTGGAAATAAAGTCATTCATATCTGCGGCGGCAACATTGGCCACGTTGACAGCGAGGCCGACAGTACAGAGCAATCTCTTTATCAGACTCATGTTTGACACGTTGAGGATGACGACCTTGTACTTCCCAGGCCCTTGAAGTGTCCGTAAAAGTGCTGGGCTGGGCTTCTAAGGTCCACGACGGAGGTACAGGAGACTCTTATACCCCAAATGCATCCCCGAGACATGTTCGTATAGCAAAGTGCGGGTCGAGCTGGGCACAGAACAACAAGAGGAGCTCTCGAAGCTTATTGCTGGCATCATCGTGCTGTAGACCCCTGCGTGTTCATCCCAAGTCGAACGCGAACAGGGATGGTGTCTCTTGGGTAGCATTGGGAATAGGGGATCGTCGTGGATCCGTCATTTCCTTTCAGAGGCTGATGAGGGCTGCTATGGGGGAGTTTCTCGAACAAATGCGTGTAAAACTCAATTCAGTCATGGCAAACCAGTGTTACCATAGAGCTGGCAGCCACTAGCACACTACCTCTTTGCTGTGAACTTGCGAAGTGTGAAGGGGAAGAACATCGTTGCGGGCCGGTGGTCGTGCAGCATGCCGCTTTCCAGGCTCGGTTAGGCTGGTCGGCCGTGGGGAAGCAAGTCCGCTCCCCAGGTCTAGCCCAAAGGATGACAATTGTGCGGGGAGCGGCCAACTCACACAACCTCTTCTGACCATTGGCGTTGTCTCTGATAGTCACAATCACAACCTCGCCACCAGACCATTTGAGACGGTTTCCAGGTGATCGGTTCGAGTTACTGCAGGATTCCGTACGTGAATGCATAAAAACACTGCCAAGGACCGCCTACTGTAAGTCTTCAGCCTGCATGGCTCGGATGGCAGGAGTTCGAGGACACTCGCTTTCGGGATTTCCTTTACAAACGAGCTGTCAGCGACACCCTCCAATCATTCGACGATGTGGGCTTCGTTCCTGTGCGTCTTGGTCTGTTTATTCGGCCATGTCCACACATTGAACTCAACGAAGAAAGCCTGTATTGTCAACCTGCCTCTGCCATATATGCCAATCTACAAGCTAATCAGTTGGCTCACTGCCACGGCCTACGCCTCTAGCTTCTGGTTCCTCCCGACCCCTTTTCATACTGAGTCACTGTCTGACTAGCCAAGCTTCTGCACTCTCACCCAGAGGTCAGACTGGATGAATATGCCGGCCGAGAATGAGCTCCATGACTTGGCAGGGTCAACCAGGGCGAAGTCAAATCGTCGAAGAAGCTATACGTGGAATTAGACTCTTACATGCAACTTGGAAAAGTCATCGCTGCAACTCACCTCCACAAACACCTTGTTCAACTCCATGAGAGCGACCGTCTTGCCCAAGCACTGCCACTTGCCGTATTTGAAGACCAGTTCCCACTGCGCCGTCATTGCTTTCAGTTCGTCCTCGCCGGCTTCAAGCCACCGCTCCGGCCGAAACACGTCGGCATCCGGACCGTACACGGCCTCGGAGCGAAGCACGCCAAATGCCGTCCAGCCAATGTCGGTGCCTTCGGGGATGCTCATGCCGTGCATGAAATCGCCACCCGCGGGCACCGTCGTGGACATGAGACCTGTGACAGGAGGGAACACACGCAAGCCTTCCTTGATGACCGCCTGCAGGTATTGAAGGCCGCCCGCCTCTCGATTGGTCACGGGAGATGATATCGCGCCCGAATTGGCCGCCTCCCGCACCTCTTCGGCGAGGTTCGAGTAGCATGAAGGAGACGTCATCAGGTAGAGCATTGTAGTTCGAATGGCGGTCGCCGTGGTGTCAGACCCGGCTATGATCTGGACCAATGTCTCGCCTTCGGCCTCCTCTCGAGTCAGGCCGTGTGCGAGGAACGATCCAAGCATGTCTCGCCGCTTCGCCGTCTTGTCCGACATCAGTCTCTCCGCCACGACCTTCTTGGCAACACTAGCATCAGGCGAGATTGGTCAGCACTTGCATACGAAGACGACAGAAAGAGAAAGGGCTGCCCACGCAATGAACTTGCCGAATCCCACGCGGTCGTGCTCCGACGGCATGGCCCGGCGGAATAGGGGCGACTGCAGCAGCTTGGCCAGGTGTGGGAATACCGAGAGAATCATCATCACAGGCATGCTCTGTTCCGTCATCTGGATGTACTGGTGGACGTCGGCGTCTTGCTCGACGTACCCGAAATGGTAGCCAAAAGCCAGGGAGGTGATGATATCCAGCGTGAGATATTGGACCTTTTGGCAAATGTCCATCGGACGAAAGGCACCGGCAGTGGATACATATCGCTCCTCGATGAGTCTGATGAAAGCCTGTATCTGTACGTCGATGGCGTCTTCGAGACCTTCGTTCTCCTTGCCCGAGTACTAGGGCCAATGTGAGTATGGCGAGACGCAGGCGTTAACAAAGAGGTGTGAACTTACGCCAATGGCCATCTTGGCACGCAGCTCGTTATGCTCGTGATCATCTCTCATGGAGATGAGGTTGTCTCTCGTCGGGTCGAATCTGACAGCCTCGTAGAAAGCGCCCTTGCGGTATGGCGAGCGGACCGCCCACATGCGACGAAGGATTTCCGAGTCATTGGTTACCAAGTCGTTGGGTCCGATGCGGACGACCGAGCCTAAAGCATAAAACTCCCTGTCAGCAGCCTGTCGAAACAAACAAACACGCCGTTTGTTCTTGTTGTTCCCTGGCTGGCTTGCAGCGGCGGCATGTGTGTCTGAGACCCTATGGGCCACGGAACAAATTATCCGGCTGGCAACCAAAAGATGGACGTCCAGGTATCCAAGGCGTTCCTGGAATGAGAGGGATGGCAAGAGCTCACTTACCATACTCATCACAGGCTCGCTTGAGAGCGAGATGCATCTGCCCACCCAGTGTGTTACGTAGCATCCACCACTTGCTCAAGGCGGCACCTGGTGGCCCGGGGATGTGTCTGAGACGGTTCCATGAACGGTAGCTCAAGGATCCTAGATATAGGAGAAGGGCCGTAAGGAGCAGCAGAAGCGGGCTCCAGACGTGGCCCGAGAGCTCCTTGATGGCGGTCATAATGTCTCGGGTTGAAGACGATATGATTGTTTAGCGGTTGGCTGCGATGGTTGGTGAGTGAGTTTGTAAGATGAAAATAAAGAGAGAAATGATGTTGAGTGAGCCTGTGGAAGAAACCTGAAGGGGGGGAGGAAAGGTCGGTTCGCCCAGGCAGCTGGGTGGATCTGAACGATGCGGCAACCTCTACGGAGGGCAACAGCGTAGAAGTATGCGTAAGTCAGGCAGGCGGCGGGCGACGAAAGCGCCTTCCCTTTGTCTGATCCGATGTGCACCCACAGAAAAGCTTCTGTAGCGGAGGGCACCTAAACAGCAAGCAGCACGCAAAGAGAAGCTGCGGTTTTGGCAACCTGGGTAGGTAAACAGAGACGCCGTACCTACGCCCTTCTCCGATACCACCGCCGCCCTTGACCAAGTGAAGCTAACGTGGCCCAGGAGGCACCTCTTTGGTGCGAGATGGATCGAGGTATCAAATAAGACGACGAGAAGAGAAGGAGAGAGGTGCGGAGCGGCCCATAGCTTCCCCCATTCACCAAAACGACAACGTCTCGTGGCTCAAACCCATCTTCCACCCCAGTCTCTGCCTCCTTCTTTCCACCCGCTGCGTCCGTCGGTGATCTTCCTATTCTTCAAACGTTCTGGCCAAGGGAGAGAAATATGAGCCGTCATATGCAGCGTCCCGCTCCGCCCGCACGAGATCAGGTTCCGGCCAGAGGCGACTATTCACAGACATTTCGGTGAAGCAGACCGATGGCATCTCGACAACCCCCTTGTCCAGCCAAAGCCTGGTGTTTGCGGGGAGGGTGTATTCAATAGGATCCCAAGACTTGAACCCCTCGACTGGGCTGTCCATCCAGATTGGCGTCAACCAGTCATCATGTACTATCACCAGCCCAAGACTGCGGTAGATGGACAACATGGACAGGTTTTACCTTCTCAAGCTAAAATTCCTTCCTGCATCACTTAGACGATAAGTCACGTACAAGGGTGGTCACAGTCTATGTGAGATTCCCCGTGGGCCGTTTTCCCCATTACTACCCGAGGTCCCCTCCCGAGCCGGATTACAGCCACTCCAATTTGGTCACACCGGTGCTCAAAGAAAGCAATCAGCCCCGGCAATGCCCTCGACGTGGTTATCGATGCCTCTCTTCTACTATTCCACCAGCACTCTACCACCTACACCTCTCTGACGCACATGTCCAGCATCACGCTAGGAACTCCGACAGCTGACGGCGGCAACAAACCCGGTTGTATTTACCTGTCCACCCGATGGAATGCATGATTCCATGCAGGCATCCGGCCCTCGGCGAGACGGCCGATGACACGATGCAACACTTCCCGGCTTTCAAAACGCCGCAATGTCGGCCACAACCATGTTCGTTCCCTCCTGTGGAAGGTGTGATATCCTAACTGGGCATTGACAGCTTCTTCAGTGGACGCGCAAGTATGATCATGACAAACTCCGGCTGTGGCTGACGCAACAAGACTGGCTGCATGTGTTTTGTGTAAGGCACTGTTCACGCCAACACACACAGTGTTGTTACTGCCGCTACTGTATGTTTGTGCTGTTGATGACCAAAGCCACTTGCAGAAGGCGCCAAGAACCTGAAAGGCGTTGGATCAAGCTTTTCTGTTGGAGCAAGGTGCAGAACAGCTTGCTATCCAGGCCGGCGAGGCTCCCAATAGCAAATCAAACAGCCTCACGCACCTTTGACTGCTGACCGTGAAGTGCTGCGTGCTTCGTTGAGCCGACTAGGAGAGTATTATCGAAAGCACGCCGCCTCTGGTGACACGGAGCCGAAGGCTTGAATGACAAGCAAGCCGCTTGTTTGTGTCGCCTCGTCAGAATTACCCTATCCGAACAATCCCCTCGCTGGCGTGGGTGTCATCCGCCATCCTAGCTCGACTCTGTTCAAAAGACGTCTTGCGGCGGCAAAGAATATCAAGCTGATACCATATTTGATGCTGTAATTCCTGGTTCTGGAGTTTTCTATCTGTTCACTGGAACTGCGAAACACAACTCGACTGCAGACCATCGTGTTTCGTCGAGCGAGCCCATCACCATGGCCGAAAGAGAGCCTGATGCGATGCATCAAATAGACATCATTTTTCCGCATGGGACCAACATTGACCTGGAACCAGATGAGGTCAGCATTCGAGAACCGGGCGGGCCTGAGCGTTGGGATTCCGAGGGCATCTAACTAAAGTCTATCCCAGGATATTGACGACGCCGAAATGCAAAGCCTCGGGGGCAGTGATGTCGACTCTGCAATAGGAGAAGTATGCCATTCGGGGCGTGTACGAGGAAAGCCAACGCTTAAACAGACTGGCAGTCAGAGGCAGGGCCATCCTCAACCGCATCACTTCGTTCGAGTATAGTACGGGCACGCGAAGAAAACGGTCGGATTTATCACGGATACAAGGACGGGAAATACGTCTTGCCCACTGATCAGGTATGTTTTGTCTGTACAAGCCAGATGAGCTGTTCTAAGATCTGATTTAACTCGTTCCCGTCAAGCAGGAAGAACTCGACCGACAAGGTACGCCTATCTTCGGAGACAGCTTGGAATATGCCACTTTTGACTGCCCGCAACAGCATTTCAATATCAACTTTGCCAGTTGACATTTGAGAACAAGCTCAACTTTGCCCCTGTCCACCACCCCCACAGAGTTCTAGATGTTGGGTGCGGCATAGGGCTGTGGGCAATAGACTTTGGCGAGTAGCCCTCCACCTCTTTACCATGGCCACCCCAACATACCTGCTGACCGCAAGAAGGCGAGGAGCATCCCGAAGCCGAAGTCGTCGGCGTAGACCTCTCGCCCGTCCAACCCGGCTTGTGAGTCTCGGATGACAAGAAGAGCTTGAATCGAATCTGACCTCGCTAGCACACCGCCCAACGTGCATTACGAGATCGACGACCTCGAGGAGGAATGGAGCTTTTCTAGAAAGTTTGACTATGTTCACTGTATGATGATGACGGGCGCTTTTAGGGATTGGCAAAACTTCCATCAACAAACGTTTGAGTATGTTCTTCTCAGCCCAGCCCTGTAGACGCCCTCTCAGCTTACATGGTCTTCAGCAACCTAAATCCTGGAGGATGGTTCGAGATCCAAGACATCGACTTTCCCATGAGGTGTGACGATGGAACAATACCGCCAGACTGCGACCTCGGCAGATGGAATGAGCTCATGATGGAGGCCGGCCAAAGGTCGGGCTTCCTCCTGGATACCTGCGGCAGGGCGGCCGAGATGATGACCAACGTCGGATTCGTCGACATTGTGCGGATCCAATTCAAGTGGCCAATCAACCAGTGGCCGCGCGACGTCAAGCACAAGACTCTGGGCGTCTGGACAGAGGCCAATTTCAGCGTTGGGCTAGAATCCATGACGTTGGCACTTTTCACTCGCTTCATGGGCTGGAGGAAAGAGGAGGTCTGGGATTTTAGCGCGAATGTCATCGCGGAGTGGCGTGATGTACGTAGGCATGGGTATTTTGACGTGTATGTAACTTATGGAAGAAAACCATAATGATCCGGGGCCGGAGTGTCTCTCGCTTGAATGCAAAGAAGCCTTACAATGTCGTGTTTGCCGTCGACTGGCGCCAAGCCAGCTTTGCCATCTGCTTGCTTTCTCCCTCGACCGCCATGAACACGGTCGCGGCCGAGTGACCATGTGCATTCTGTCGCCAGGCGGTGGTGCCCTGACTCGACTAGGAAGCGTGCCGACACGAATGCTGTCAGACGTGCGCGTGCGCGTGTCCGTACTCCCAGCAAGTGAATACGCCGCACAACGTATGTGGTGTCACTAACGTGGTCACTAGCGTGAACCACAAGTTCAAGGGTACGAAAATTCGCACCGGGACGCCACAGCCTCGCCGCCACTTGCCACGGCTGCATTGCCTGAGCTGCTGCGGGCAATGGACCCTTGGGCTGGCTCCCGTTAAAGGAGGTGGTCATCTGAAGATGTGTGGGCGCGTTGAAATTGCAGCGTTCTCCTCAGGCGGGCGGCTTTTGGGCCCAGACGGAGATCCACGGAAGATATCCATGTATGCGTGTGTCGTGGAACGCCTTTCGGATGTCCTGTTCCATGGTATCGGCTTCCTGCTTGGTTAGGCCCAGCTGCGACCATTTGACGAGCACGGCGCGGACGAGCTGCCACAGCACATCTTTGCTCAGAAAGAGGCCAATCTCGCGCTGTTGGCGGTCCTTGGCCCACGGTCCAATGGGCAGCTTGAAGAACCGGTAGTGGATGTTGACAAATCCGGCCTCGCGTAAGATATCCGGCAGGATATCGGGAAACTCCAGGTCCCAGCCGTAGTGCGTCTTGAAGGTGCTGATGAACCTATCCATGAATTTGGCGGGTGCGTAGTCTTTGGGTAGCGTATTATCGTCGCACCCGATTCTGACGCCTGCGTCCTGGAACTCGATCCAGCCGCCTGGCCTGAGATTTCTATGAAGACCGTAAGAATTAGAAACTTGGCTAAGCGAGCGGGCGGGAATGACGAGGGGTCTTACTGGTACGCCGAATGGATGACCTTGACTGGTTGTCGCAGAGTCACGCAGACCGACCTCATGTGGATAAAGTCCAAGTTCGCGTACAGCGGTGACCAGGTTTCTTCAATGTCATCAATTCTCCAGTCAACGTTTTGCGGCGCGTAGCAGTTCTGGATGGGCGATATATCTACACCGATAACGTGTGCACTAGGGAACTTGTCCGCAACTTTGGTGAACGGGTCAGAGTTTGGGATTTCCAAACCGACATGAAGGCGAGGACTTACTGTCAACCGCCCAGAGACCGGTGCCGGTGCCGACGTCCATAATCTTTTGCGGGTTGCTGCCGATTGGTGAAAGGTAGTCGTTCTCGTCGAGAAGGCGCTTTATCAGCTGGTGCTTCATCTCTTCACGGAACTGCTCCGTCTCATCATTCGGAAGTGGATAGATGCCTTGTAGAAAGGACTGATAGCGTCTGGCGATACGCAAGACCTTTAGCTTCCTTATCCCAAGTCTAAGAGGGACTCAAGGCGTGGGCTACGCACCTTCCACCCTCGTGCGAGTGCTTCATCACACGGGAAGCGAGTGAGGTAAAGCCCGAAGACGCAAGGGACTCTCCATAGTCTGATCCTCCGTAGTCTGATCCCTGAAAGCCTTCTTCTTCGTCCAACGTGTCTGGTGGAGCAGGCTCTATGGGCTCGCTGTTGGTCATGTTCATGACGGCGACGCCTTTTTGGCTTTAGACACGATCCTCAAGGGAGACTAACGGCCGGCAGACCGGTGGGGGGTTGTATGACACCGCTCGCGTGAGACGGTTCACCAAGTTTTGAGGTGGGAATGCCTCCTTGGTAATGGGATAGGAAAGGCTTTGCGTCAACGGCCAAGGGCAATCTCTAAGTATCGGTGAGTATTAGGTGTGAGCCGCACGACGGTAGAGGAAGTCTGCTAGGTTTTGCGGCGCATTCCGAGCCTTCTCCACCGAATGAACCGACGATGGACGAAAAGGACAAGCTCGAGATGGTCCACAGCATTGCCAGTCTTGCAGACGACTCGGTTGGCAAGCCAGCTGGCTGCACGCAAGAGGAAGCACGAACAGTCGGCGTTGGGATGGGGGATAGAAGAAAGTATGGGCGGCGGGAAAAGGGTTGGGAGAACCCGGAGTTGAGGGACTGACAGTACCTGGTACTAGGGATCAGATTCGTACCAACAGGATGGTAAACCAATCACCAGCAACTCCTACCCCCTCTCTGCAGCTGTTGGTGCTGGTGCGAGTGTCCCAGATGCGTCCACCGGTGGTGGCACAGAGGTAAGCCGGTGCCAACGGGCTGGGGCGGTGTGAATGTCCGGTTCCAAGCCTGCGGAGAGCCAGAGACAGTGCCGCATGCGGTGCCGGCGGCGGTACAGGGCAGAAGGCCGTTGGAGACTGGGCTGGTCCAACGGCGAGGTTACAGCCGTCTGTGTGGGTAGGCGAGGACGTGAGCGAGGCAAGGTTATGTATGATGTATGATGTCGAGGGCGTCAGTAAAGCTTGGGGGGGGGGGCAGGGAATTCTGCAAATGCGGTTCCCAGTCAGTGTGATGGGGGCGGTCTCTCGCGAGCAGAAGCAGGGGATCGAAGCTTTGCCGTTTCGAGGAGGTCGCGCATAAGCAGCCTGCAGAGTCTGCTTCGGTCTCTTTGCGCAGGTAGGCAGAAGATGGCGGTCACCACATGAGCAAAGCGCGTCGGTACGAGCTGTGGTGAAGTGATGCGGGGTGCTAATGTGGGATGTGGCGTGAAGTCTACAGCGACGAACTGGGATTGTCTGGTGCGATCTATTTAGTAATCTGCAAGGTATCAAGGTATCATGCCTCGAGCAGACAAAAGACCGGACCACGCCAATCGCGGTTTCCGAGTACCTATAGCCCACGATGCTATCACGTAGCACCGAAGGGCGCCATTGGAAGCTACTTCGGACGACAACTCCGTTAACCCCGTATTGAAGGGCCGGCCCAGGCTCACGGATATGTAATGCGGAGTACCTATCCGTAACCAGTCATAGGCAACGAGAGGACGCTGAATAACGAATGTCCGCAGGATAGACTACCTAGGTAGCCGACCAAGTGGAGAGGTTATGGAGCGCCTGTGCCACTGGACTTGTCGGGTTGTATTTGCGAAACTTGGTAGATTGAGAGGCAAAGAGAAGAATACGATAATGCACGGAATGGATGAATAGAAAGTGGCATGGGCTTCCAATGCCATGGTCCATGTATCCGTACCTACCTAAGGTAATTGAGAACCCTAATGTCCTCGGCGGCGTTAGGACAGACGACAGCGAGTGGGGCTACGTTTTTCCATTGTCCCGCGATCGCTTGATCCGTGCACTCGGCCGGCGGCACGATCCACTTCTTCCCGTCGTTTTAACAGGTTCCCAGGCCAGCACGTCGCAAACAGCTAGTTAGCGTATCTAAACGCGTCGCTAAAGTCTGGCATACCGCGTTCGCGCGTCACTCCCACTTTGCACTCAATCACTCGACTCGGGCCTGGGCCACCACACAATACCTTGCCATTTTATTAACGTTCCCATGAGGTAGCCTTACTTACTGTTTGTTACCCACAGTCGACTCTTCTGCGCTTTTGATATACCCCACGCTAAAGAGTCGTCCCATTCAGCCCCCGAGCCTCAAACCTACGCTTCTCACGGCTCGCAGTCTTCACCTCTCGCTCCTCGATCACTCGCCGCGACTGTCACCGATCTCGTGCCCGGCGTCGGCCATTGTACCCGCCGCAGAGCCGCTCCGCCTCTCCCAGCCGCGTCTGTACGAGAGAAAAAAACCTCTGTAACCCATGAAGCCGCTCGATACACACCGTGGAAACGCGTCAAAATCCTCTTAGCCATGTATCTTCCACGGTCTCTAATATCCAAGCTTTACATGCACCTCCAAAACACGCGGCACCCGTTGTCTCCGCCTGTCCTCATCCTCGTCGCCCTCGAACCCGATGCTCTCTGCGCATGTCGAATCCTGACCCGCTTATTGAAGCACGACTATATTCCCCACAAGATTCAACCCGTCTCCGGATATGCCGACCTCGAACGCGCGGGTCGGGACTTGGTCCAGCCCATGATGGAAACGCAAGGAGGGAGTGGAGGAGTCGTTGTGTGCCTCGGCCTCGGCGGCATGGTCGATCTTGGAAGCCTACTCGGACTGGAACCTGAGGGAGAGGAGGTGACTTTTGGCGGTGTTGAGGTCTGGGTCATGGACTCACACCGTCCGTGGAACTTGGGCAACATATTTGGCGGCTTTCCACTGGAACCCGCTGTCGAAGAGGGGGCCTCGCTCCAGTCCCGGTCCCCGTCAGGCGTAGTGGCTGGTCGGATTGATCGCGCCTATAAGCCGGGCAAGGGGGGTATTGTCGTGTTCGATGATGGCGACATTGAGGATGAACTCGGTGCGGAAAAGGAAGCCTACCTAGCCTTGCTCGACATGCCCGAAGTCGATGATGACGGTGAGGATCTGGACGGTCACGAAGACGACGATGATGCCGAGGACGAGGACCTTTTTGAAGAACCAGCACATGCTGGTCAGAAGCGAAAAAGCTGGTCGGACCGAGACGAGGAGGACGAATCCAGCGACATAGACGACAGGCCGCATCAGCGGAGAAGAAGCAACTCTGTGAGTTTCGACGAGGCCTTTTCTTACCCAACAAACGCTAACAGACATCAGTCTTCTTCGATTCCCTCATCGCCAAGACGGCCAGTTCACCGAGGGCTCGTATCTCTCCGAGACGCCGGCGTAGTTCTCTCCAGCGACCCCCTGGAACCTCCATCGGCTGCCCAACCACCGCCCGCGCCGTCTGCGAGGGTCTTGCGGCGTCGCTTGTTACGTTTGCGGAGAGAGAAGGAGACCGTCCTCCGCAAATACTACAAGATCGGCGCTTCCTTCTCCGAGCCAATATCCTCAATGATGTACTCCCTCGCTTCGGAGCTCGGTCGGGATGACAATGACCTCTTGTGGCTCACCATCGTCGGCGTCACTTCCATGGAGTTGTACGGCAGGTCATCTGCAGGTATCGCGGTCCCTGTCCGCAACTCAGACCGGGGACAAGGGAATGGCTGGATGGGCGTCCGTGGCGCACGTATCCGCCAGCTGCTAAGAGATGAAGTTCGACGTCTGAATCCGCCCGAAGTCACCCGCGGCCGCCCGTCTGCCGCCGAGAACTCTGGTATCATTCCCACTACGGCCCGTAGCCCCGAGGACACAAGCATCAGGCTGTCGCCAGAGCCCAAGTTTCTTCTCATCAGACACTGGAGTCTCTACGACAGCATGCTGCACTCGCCATACCTCTTTGCCCGGCTCAAGACATGGAGCGATACTGGCCTGAAGAGGCTCCATAAACTGCTGGCCAAGATGGGTGTCAGTCTGGTCCAGTGTAAGCAGAGCTATACACACATGGACATGATGCTGAAGAGAGAGCTCCGGACAAAGCTGCTCAAGTACGCGTCTCTCTACAACTTGGACGACATGGTACCTTCGGTCGACACGGACGGAAGAGACCGCGCTGGCGCAAAGGATGGCTGGGGCTTTGTGCGGAGCTGGGGCTGGCGGGCAACTCTGAGCGCGCAAGACGTGGGCGTGGTCATTGGTGCTCTTCTGGAGGTGGGCAAGCACAACGATGTCGCCGAGCTCACGCAGGCACCAAAGGACCAATTCGAGGATGTGGACGACGAGGAGGTCGTCGTTGCGCAAGGAGAGGAGTGGGTTGCGCGTTTCTGGGAAGCATACGATGCTCTGGAGGAGTAAGTAATCCCAAGGCACTCCCAACTAGCCCCTACTGACAGCCGGCAGCATCGATGCTCTCAAAGCAGGGTTGCCGACCGCCCAATTTCTCCACCGTGCAATCTACCGCACGGGTACGTCACTCATCAACAAGAAACAGATCAAGCACCTGAGAGCATTCCGCATGTGCGTGGTCAAGGAAGGGCCCGACGTCCCAGTCTTTGGTCACCCAGCCGCGCTCACAAAGCTTGCCCTATGGGTCGGTGAGGCCCTCGTCGAACAAGAGAAGGATACCACGGGTCGTCTCTCCCACGGTGGACGCGGCACACCTCTTGTTGTCGCCAGTCTCAACGATAAGCGCGGCGTTTATCTGGTTGTCGGCACTGGGGGCGGCGGCGGCCCAGATACCACTTTTCTCGACCGCGAGGCCGCCAAGAAGCGACAGGCAGCCAAAGACGAGAAGGCCAAGCAGCGGGAAGAATCAAGACGCAACAAGCAAAAAGTCCGCGACGAGAAGCGGGCAGCCCGTCGGGCGGCGGGGGGTGATGATGCAGACTACGACGAGCTCGACACCGAGTCGGAGGCATCTGACGGCTCGGACTCGGATGACGACGAAGAGGAGGAGGAGGACGCCAAGGAGAGGGGTTACGGCCTCAACCGGTTCGGATCGGCGTTCCAGGAGGTCGTGGCGGAGACCAACGCTCGAGTCCGGATAGACAGCTTCGAGCACTGCGTGGTGGAGGTGAAGAAGGAGGATCTGGGAGGTTTCCTAGAGAGCCTCAGCATGAAGACTGTTGTCGGATAATGGATACAAAAGCATATGTGGGTGGTCCAGGTTGGTTTTCGTGGGTGCTTTCATCATATTGCGGGCAAGTGTCTCTTTGCTTTTTCTCTTTTCTTTTTTTCTTCTTTTTTTTTTTTTTGGCGATGATGGAGGCAGGCATCGAAGGGACTGGTTCTGGGAGGAAACAAGCTTCATGAGACATGGGCATCGAATCATTGTGCTTTTTCGTAATTACACCATTCTCGTTTGTTGCATGTAGGGTTGGGTGGGAACAAGTCAATTGTCTTGGCCGTGGCGTTTATATGGCAGGCTTAACGAATCACCACCGTCTTCACCTCCAATGGGCGTGACACAAAAGCATACACACAAACTATTGAATGCCTTGTCCTTTTTCTCTGTGCGAATCAGGATGCATTGGTGATAGGGACATTGTTGGAGCAGTACCGTCGTTACGTGAAATGTATTCAATGTATCAAGGTGTTAGAGAGAAAAATTTAGGGCCAACAACCCAACAGACAGTACGATGTGATAGCGAGGGCGAGCTGATAGGATGGGAATGCGAGCCGAGGTGTAAGCACCGGGGATAGAGGCCTTTTGTTTTGACCATCAAGAAAGACTTGTTGCCGCGTTGGGTGCTCTCGTCAGCACTCTGAATCCCTCCTCTCACCTTTCTTAAGAGCGCCGATGCTGGAGGATCTCTTGGTTGGTGTTGCGTATGCGCGCCTCCGCTATGGATGAGAGATTGGATGGGAAGGGCATTTGTTATACGTGGATAAGGCTCCTCGCCATCGCTATAAGATGAGACCCTCACCATCGGTCTTCGTCTGAGTAGGTGGCTCTCATCTGCCTCACATTACTCGATATCAAATCATGTCAGGACAAAAGCCTTGGGCCGACGGGCCTTTTCAGCTCATTAGCAGCACCCGCGCTGGATCCAAAGTAAGTGCTCTCGAGGCTCCCTCAAAGTCCCGACGAAAGCTCATCACCAACTACGAACAGAAAGGGGTCAAGACCACAGGGGTGAACCGCTTAGCTGAGGACATGACCATCGTTCACAACTTCATACTCCGGATCATCAACACTGTCTACTTGCAATGCATCAACGTGGAAAAGTCGCCCGACGACGTCCAGGACTTTGTGTCTTATGCGATGGAATGGGGCAAGATGGTGGAGGAGCACCATGAAACCGAGGAGACGGAGGTTTTCACCGAGATCGAGGAGTTGGCGGGCGTGCCGGGATTGATGCAGGCCAACGTCGCGCAGCACGAGGCTTTTCATGATGGTCTGCACGCATACATGAGCTACTTGGAGAAGGTCCAGAAGGGCGAGGAGGCGTACAACGGAGAGAAGCTCAAGCGCATCATCGACTCGTTCATGCACATCCTACGAGAGCACCTCAGCGACGAGATTGACACGCTGCTGAAGCTGGAAGAGTACGACCGCAACTGGGAAGAGTGGTATGAAAAACTCATGAAGAAGCTGCTCGGCAAGATGGGTGATGCCGAGCTCAAGGTAAGCAAACGGCCTCCTTCCCGATTAGCTTGTCCCTGCGAGAGATGTCTTGAGGATTCGATAGCGGAACTGGACTGACGTATTCTGGTACGGCAGACGACAATGATTCCTCTTCTTCTGACAAACCGAGACAAGACGTTTGAGGAAGGTGTTCATGCGTGGTGGCCTCCGGTGCCGTGGTTCGTGTTTCTGATGATGCGTTGGTTCTACATCCCAGCCCACAAGAGCTGGTGGCGGTTTTCTTCGTGCGATGACCGGGGCGCGCCAAAGGAGCTTCCTTTTGCGTGATGGGTCTTGGGGAATCGGGGGCGGCGTTGGTGGTGGAGTTTCTCGGTGACAGAGTGGGCGAGCCTCATCGATCTGACGAGGAGGGCCCCTTATGGTGCTGTCCAGGGCGCAAGGTAGTTCAGATTGGTGGGCTGGCTCTGCTGGTCTGTCTAGTCCAAACCTGGGGTGAAATCTGAGGATTCGCGGCAGGCTAGCTGACAAGGAGTCCCAAAGCCAATTTGGCATGTGGAGGTCGTCGTCTTGGAGGCGTGTTGGAGCTCGGGATCGTGATGTGGGCAAAGGCTGTGAGAGGCCTTTTAGAGAGACCGAGTGCCAGTGTCGGAGCACGTACTTAGGCGCCGGTTAGAAAGGTACACGACTTAAGGCAGGTAGGCACGGTAGGCACCTTACAATTGACACTTGGCAACGTCATGCGGGCACATATCCCAGTTGTTATCCACACCGTCGTGTATGACTATTCCGAGCAGAGAGGGAAAGTGAGCCCTGTGGTAATCGTGAAGTCCCGCCTAATGAAGCTCAGGTAGGTTCTCGGTTGGGGGCTGAGTTCAAGAGTCGACCTCCTAGTGGGCGAAGCGCCAAGCCCCTGCCTCTCAAGGTCGAGGTTGACGACCACTCACCGTCCGGGAGCTGCACGAACTTACAAAGTACATGGTACATGGCCACGCAACAAGCTCAACGCTTCGCGGCGCATTCCTGGCTCTGGTATTTCTTCATGCTTCCTCATCATGAACCGTGCTCGACCGTGAGGTATTGGGATGCGTAATGTGTCCCCGGCAAGTCAGCTCGGCTTCTCTCTCGCAAAAGAGCTTCATCTCAAATGATGCTCGCAAAGGGCAGGGTCTCGTTCGGAGAAGTCCGAAGTCGTGGACGACGGATGGCACATCAGAGGGATTCCACGACACAAAGTCAATTATCATCGTCACTCGTCACCTTGCAGATGTGGCAGGTGGCGGGTGTTAATGAGGCATTATAAGCACCCCTGGCCATTTCTCCTACCAAAAGTATCCGTATTGGACTCGCTGTGATATGACTGGATAGCGCACACAGACGAGGTTCTGTAACCACTCTGCCGCTGGACAGATGCAATGTCCGTCACTTTCATTCCTTGCCTCATGCCTCACATAAGGTGTTTTCACACATGGCAGGGTGCGCGGATGCGCGGATGCGTGGATGCTTTGCAGAAGACCCCGTTGATCATTGCTGCGTCTCTTTCGCCTCCCGTCGCCGCTACCTGCTACGTGTGCCTGGACCTGTGTGCGTGGCGCCCGCCCATAACTCGCCGTGTTTGCTTTGCTTACCTTATCTCCCTGTCTAGATTCGCACCCGGCTACAACCACCTGCACCCACATCTTTCTACCTGTAGGTACTCGTATTCTTCATCGACCTCCACTGCTTGTTACCAAGCAGCTCTTCCCTCTTCCTTGTTTACCCCTCTGTGGTATTTGGCTTACACTCAGAAATTTATACTGACGGCTTTGAGGAGAAAAAGAAAACGAAAATAACCTTATAGATCCGCCAGCCCGACGACCAGGTCAATACTTTGTACTCACCTAGCGATTCCCCGTTTATTCACGTCTTGGCCACCTCGTACTTTGTGGACGCTCGGTACGATAACTACCGTTGCCTTTACTTTCGTACAGGGAGCCATCCATCCCCCGCCGCCAACTTTCCGAGCAATCATCGGGTCCCGCTAGTGTTAGAAGCAAGCACCAGCAAAGTACCTGGCCACCACCACCCACAGGCGACAGCATCCTGGGCCCTTTATTTCTTTCCCCTCCCCCGCCCTTCGAGCGCACTCTCCATCTGTCGCCAGCCTTATTCATCCTCTAAAGTCGTCGACCACGCGCCGCCCTCCACAGTTGCTCCAAACCCACGATCGGCTCGACTCAATATCTTTCTTCCCCTCGGCTACCATTAGCGCCCTTTCGCTTGCGCCGGTATAGGCCCACCCGTTCCGAGCGACGACACTCTGTTCTTGCCGCCGACGCCGTCCCACGACTCACACGCGACGAACGCAGGCTACCCGTCACCACGCAATCCCACTCTTCCGCCGACATTTTGAGTCAACACTGCCTCCGAACCACGCTCCTGAAGTAGCCGTCGTCGAGGCTCGTAGATAGCCATGGGCAAATCGTGAGTCTGCCCGCCCAGCAAACATGCCTTTTCTTGGGGTCTCTTGGTCTGGTAGAAAAGGCCTGCCGAGGAGACGTTTTGTCAAAGTGATCCGCCTGGCCGGAAACATGGAGCACCCGCGCTCGATCGCCAGAATCGTCCGCTAACAACATTCCTCCATCTAGTCAGTCCAAGCTCTCCCAGGAGCAGCTAGCTGAACTGCAGAAGTCCACCCATTTCGACAAGAAGGAATTGCAGCAGTGGTACAAGGGTGCGTTACCCATGGCTCTTTATATTTGTTCCCTCTGCCTCCTTTGTTTGCGCATGAGACGGCGACGATCCATCTCCTCCGTCCTAGGTTTTGGCACGTACTAATCATGCATGGCAGGCTTCCTCAAGGACTGCCCCTCGGGCATGCTCACCAAAGAAGAGTTCCAGAAGATATATAGGCAATTCTTCCCCTTTGGCGATCCAAGTTCATTTGCAGATTATGTCTTCAACGTCTTTGACAGCGACAAGTCCGGTAGTATCGACTTCAAGGAGTTTATCTGCGCCCTCAGTGTTACCAGCCGAGGCAAGATGGAGGACAAACTCGACTGGGCTTTCCAGCTGTACGACATTGACGGGGACGGAAAGATCAGTTACGACGAGATGCTTAAGATCGTCGAGGCAATTTACAAGATGGTGAGTGTTCTCTGGTTGGTCCTGGTCGTATGGTGCCGTTATTTGTGCACGCTTTACGATCTGTGGCACCACCCCGCCCTCCCAAACGAGAAGACGATTGCTGACAAAGATTGTGTTGCTCCTAGGTGGGCTCCATGGTTAAGCTACCTGAAGACGAAGACACCCCCGAGAAACGTGTACGGAAAATCTTCCGCATGATGGACAAGGACGAGAACGGCAGCCTGGACATGGAAGAATTCAAGGAGGGAAGCAAACGTGACGAGACCATTGTATCGGCACTGTCTCTCTACGACGGCCTGGTGTAGTGTGGCAAGAGGAGGACCAGTGAGAGGGCAAAAGGCTTCCGGTGCCACCGCGTCCTCGGATCTGTTTTTATGATGATATGTTTTTTGGGCAAGGCGAGCTGCGCGCAGTGATCAAAGTGCGACTTTTATTCTCAGGGCTAGCAGGAACGGTATTCCAATGATTTACTGCGAACTACATTCCTTGGTGTACGCGTTCCTACGGCGAGCAGCTGTTTCGTTGACGATGACTTTAGTCAAGGCGAGAGTGAGGCACCCAATGGACAGGGACAGCTTGCGGTCGGGTTCTGGTCGCATTGACACACCCGAAGCTCCCGCCGGCACGGCATCCTCGGGCCCAGAGACCGGGACCCAGACTCGGCCCGGCCGGCTCCAAGTGGATGATAAATCATCGGCATCCCCATTCTCCGCCACTTTCACACAGCCATCAAATCAAGCAGGGGAGGGGGAAAAAGCCGAGCTAGATTAAAAGAACATCCTTGACTTAACCCATGAGACCCGCCGAGATGCTACTTATGAACAGGTAATCGTTGTTATAAGGTTGACGCGCGCACACACTATACTCCTGGATATCAAGCGTCCCGTAGCCAACCCATCCCGTTGCCGCAAAATTAGGGGAGAATTACAAGATCAAACCACATGATCAACAGTGACGAAGCAACCCACTCGCCGTCCCGTTTACTAGGATGAACCGTAGGCCTTGTTCACCTCGGACTTGTACTTTTCGAGGATCTTCTTCCGTTGAAGTTTCTGTGCGGCTGTAACCAGGTCCTGTAAATGATGAGTTAGCCATGTGTTTCAGTAATCCAGACCAAAAAGTGAAGCTTACGTTTTGTGTTGTCCATTCCTCGTCCGACATGACGACGCCCTCAATGATCTCGATGCCAGAGAGGCCACCTGTGCGGCCAGCATTCTGCAACTCCTTAAGGACGGCGCTCTGCAGCTTCTTGTCATGCACCAACCCCTCGAGGTTGCTACCCTGGACGCCAATACTCTCTGCGAGCTTGATCAGAGCCGGCTCAGCAGGCACAATGATGGCAATGGGCTTGGCTTTATTTGCGTCAGCGTAGATGCAAATGTTTGCAACCACTGAAGCAGCGCGGTAGATGGACTCTAGCTTTTCGAGCGCAATATACTCGCCGTTGAGAGTCTTGACCAGGTTCTTCTTCCGGTCAATCAGCTTCAAGTGACCCTGGCTGTCGAACTCGCCAATGTCGCCCGTCTTGAACCAACCATCTTCAGTGATGGCCTCCGCCGTTTCCTTGGGGTTCTGGTAGTACTCCTCCAGAACGGAGGGTCCGCGAATCCAGACCTCGCCCTGAGGGTTGGGCTTGTTGGTGGCATAATAGCCAGCCTCGGCAAAGTCCACCAGCTTGATCTCAATGGACGCGGGCATGGCGCCCATGTTGTTGACGCTGAACTCCAAGGGGTTCGTGAGGCTGCCCATGGCAGTAGTCTCGGTGAGACCGTAGCCAATGATCATCGGGGCAATGGCCATCGAAATGAATTGCTGGGTTTCCTTCGCGATGGGGCCACCTCCGTTCATGCAAAGCTTGAGGCGGCCACCGGTTGCTTCCTTGAGCTTCTTGAAGACCACGGAGTCGAGCACGCCAGTGCCGGGAACACCGAGGCTCATCATGTGCTGCTTGGCAGACAGAGCGTTCCAGAAAAGGGTCTTGACGAGGGCGCTGCCAGCATTGACCTTGGCGATAATACCCTTCTTGACCGTCTCCCACACCGCGGGAACACCGACCATGACGGATGGCTTGAACTCCCTGATGTCACCGGCGCAATTGCGGACGGAGTTGTCGGACAGGGTCTTTGGGTTACCGTAACCCATGGTTGTGCCCCAGTAAATGCAAGCGTTCTCAAAAACGAACTCGAGAATGTGAGCGAGCGGGAGGTAGGTCAGGAGGCCATCGCCGGGACCAATGAAGGGCTGCACAACGGCACTAACACCAGCAACTTTGTCTCGTCAGTATGATTCCGTACTCATTGCCAGGGTAGATTGCAATTACCAGCGGCCACAACAGCCTTGTGCTTCAGGGGAACGCCCTTGGGGGTGCCGGTTGAGCCAGAAGTGTACATGATGCAGCACAGATCCTCAGTGGTGGGAGGGACTGGGTCGACCATGTTCTCCTCACCGAGCTTTCGCAACTCCTCGAAGCTGAGTACCTGGATCTCGGGGTGGGCAGACTTGAGCTGCTCGAGATGTGTCTGCTGAATTTGGTGCTGGTTGTTCCAAATGACGTAGCGAATGTCCTTTGCCTCCTGGAGAACGTTGCCCAGCGTAGGCAGCAGGTGGGGATCGAGGAATATGGCCTTGGCGGAGGTGGCGACCATGGAGTACTTGAGTCCCTCCTCGCCGAGGGTGTCGTAGGCCGTGACCACAGGCATGGACTGCGAGGCAGCGCCGTGAGACATTGCTAGCCAGTGTTGACTCGTGGCGGCGTAGAGGTGCAGGCGATCAGCCTTGGTCAAGCCAATCTTACGCAGACCGGAGCCAAGCTGGAGGGTAAGGCGCTCGTACTCGTGGAAGGTGATGTATTCGTAGGGGCTGAGCTCGAAATAAGTCCATTGCTTGTCGACTTCGCGCTCCTCGCCGTCGACCATCTTCTTCACCTTCTTCGTCTCTCGGTGGGTGTTGACCAGCTTGCGCGAGCCCAAGCACCTGGCGTTGCCGTACTTTTCGGCACTCTGCTTGACGAGCTCGAAGGTAGTGGTGATCTTGCCGCTGCCGGGTACGGTGATCAGATCGGGGACGGCCTGGGGAAGTCGGCGTGGTAGAGTCTCGCCGTCCTTGGCCTCGGCGCCGGGAGAGGGGACGGAGAAGGGCCCCTTGGCCTGCATCCTGGGCAGGATGTCGAGCTTCGACTTGGGAGGTGGGACCTGAGCCATGGTGGGCAAAGTTGGCGAGCAACGATACGGCTACTTTGGCTGTGGCGAGACTAGGAAGCTCGGGGAAGCTCTGGAAAAGCCGATGGTGAAGCGCGGAAGCGACGGGTCGCGAAGACGATTTTACCTTGCTTGCGACAGCCGAAGAATGCTGGCCGTCTGGATGAGTGAGGTGGGTAGAGGAAGGAGGAACACGGTGAGTCGGGGGGAGTGTTGAGAAGAAATTGAGGAGGCAAACTGGAAAGGTAGGGGCAGGGCAACCCAAGGTATTTGAGGACAGGACAAGGAAGGACGGATGGACGACGTATGTCCCACGGCACCAAGCGGCGAGAGTGGCAGAGACAGACTCAGACTGGTGGAGGATGACGGGAGCTTAGGGGAAATCTTGGCTGCCACTGCAAGGTTGCCTTCCATTTGCAGGGCGTGTGGATCTCCATGATGCTTTCTGCGCTAAAGAAAAGGGACGTACCTGCACTCACTGGAGATAGGTGGCTCAAGCTTCCACCTCCGCGGCCGCCCTCGTCCAGTCAGAAGGGGCGCCTTCCGGGTTCCATTGGCACCGACTGCACATTGGATGGTGGAGGTCCCTAAAGGCAAGGTAAGGTACCTTGGCGTGCGTCGTTGGGGTCAATGGAAACGGTGCCGGTACCTTATGTAGATAGGTAAGGTAGTACCTTGGGTACATCTCTCCCCTCCTTTCAGCGCGACTGCCCTAAGGTGCCTTATGTCCTTCGGCCGACCTCACAGACGATCAAGATTCGAGGCGCAAAGACAGCTGCACCTCAGAGGACCGTCACCCAACAGCCCCATCTAGCAGCATCTGCGAACGGCCGCAGGATATCCCCCCGTCGTCTGGTCTTTTCCCCGCCTTTTAATTGGGGTGCAGCTGGTTTCTGTTGTGGTTGCCAGCCTAGGTCGACCACATACTACTCGCCTCGTGTCTCCCTCTTGTTCCGTTAAATGTTTCAATCCTCTTCAACATTCCCTCCAACACTCGGTGCAATCATGGCTCGTGATTCAAATCCATCCCCTCACCCGTGTGAGCACTGCGTGTATGGGTGCCTCGCCATCCTAGGTACTATGGCGCGTTCGTTCACCCCTATCCTGGTTTGGTTCACCAAGGTGCCAAGGCAACAGGCCAGACCAGATACACATGGCCATCCCATGATTCCCATCCCAGGACGGCCCAAGATGCCCGGCTGCATTTCCGGGGAAGGTCAAACCGGAAAACACAAGACGCTCATAGTGAGCTCTCTAGGCCACGGCTTGTCTCGCTCCCCCTTCGCTCTTGCAGCACAACGAAATGCACCCGTTCTGGACATTCTCGTCAAATACCAAGCACGATACCAAACCCGATGAAGCCGTCACAAGAATCACGAAGCAGGTTGGTGAGTTACCACGCCTTGGCAAATTGGTTGGCGTTTTGCCTCTATTTCATCTCATTGGCCACCCATCAGCCCCGAGGTCAGCCGGCGTTTCGCACCCTCGTTGCCATCCAATGACAGACCGTGGCCGTGCATAGCCGTCAACAATATCCCCAGGCATCGGGCACACGGTTGTGGTGAGAACTCTAATACAAGACCCAGAGATGCACACAAGCAGGAGTGGCAGCCTACAAGGGATCTTGAAAGACGCCGCCCCCTCTCAGCTCCTCAACCGTTGCGTGCGTCTCATCAGTGATCAACACTTCCACCATCGCATTAGTCTTTGTCCTGCACTAAAAGCCGTCGGGTTCGCTATCGAAAGCCAATCGCCCCTAGCTAGACTGCTACTTACACCTGTCTCATCTTTTGGAAACTCGGCTGAGTGGCCACCCAACCGGTCGGTTCCTAACCCTCTGACTGGCGTGATCAGTTATTCCTCGCAGGTCTGAGCTTGTCGCTTAAATGCTCGACTGACTTGGCTACTGTCGGGGGAGAGCCCAGCAAGGCAAAGGTGTCATTATTCAGCTTATTCGTGGCAGTATAGAGTATTTATCAACACCTCGGCAAATATGATCGGCTCTGCCGATGAGCTAGGACACATTGTGAACTCAAGGAGCCAACAGTGTTTGAACATTACACTTACACGGAGGTTGTCGATGCTGTGCCACAGCGAGGCGACTACGCAGAATGCCCGAGCGGCTGTGGCGTTCACTTGATGCATGAGGTGCTAGAATCGGCATAAGCGTGTCGGGAGGCCATGACTATAACAGGTATAGGAAATGTCAAGGTCCACCGGTCATCGGAACTTAATGTCGTTAAGCTATCGGTACCTGAGGTATTGGACCTCACCTTCAGAGCACTCCAAAGCTTCATGTATATCGAGACTTAAAAGTCGGCCCGCCTGCCACAGGTCCCTCGTTGGCTATAGAGACTTCTTTTGCCTCATTCAAGCCTGGCCATGGCTTCGCCTCTGGTGGCTGCAAAAAATCAGCTGCGTTCTGTCATGAAAGACAGGCTCGCCCTTATTGCCCACGAATCCATCAATAACCAGAGTAAGTCATGCCCCAAACTAGTATTCCGACGCCGCCTTACCCTCTTTCAACCTAGGTCGAACTGTGTTTGAGACGCTCAAGACATTCAGACCTTACGTGGAAGCGCAGAGGGTCAGCGTCTTTCTCTCAATGCCTTTTGGTGAAGTCCAAACAGACCAAATCGTGCGCCACGCTCTGTCAACAGGGAAGCACGTCTACGTTCCGTACTTACACAAGTCGCATTTTCCACCAGGGGAGACGCCGCCCAGGATCATGGACATGGTCCGTTTGCGCGACATCCACGACTACGAGTCACTACAGCCCGACAAATGGGGCATTCCCAGCATTGACCCTGAGACAGTCCACCAGAGAGACCGGGTTCTTGGTGAGCCTGGTGCCCAGTCCCCGGATTCCTCCTTCTTGGACCTGATGTTACTCCCCGGGGTCGCATTCGACGTCGATGGCAACTCGGGCTCACTGCGGCGCCTTGGGCATGGGAAGGGCTTTTATGATCTTTTTATCCGCAGGTACACGGCAAAATTTGACGGTGAGCTGTCGGCTCCCAAGCGTCCTGTATTGCTCTACGGCCTGGCACTCGCAGAGCAGTTCATCTCTCGACCCTCTGACGGACCTATTCCCGTGGCCCAGCATGACCAATCACTTCATGGTCTAGTGTTGGGGAACGGGGAGGTCAAGAGGCCGGCAGACAATTCCCACATCAAATAGCTTTTTATGCCGCCTAGCCTTCATGGTGACAGATCCGTGGTATCAACTTTTGTGCATCGCCCCAGAGCGTGTTTCGCCGTCATGGCGTCATCCTCTCAACTCAAGCCGCTCTCTAGCTCGATAAACTTTGGATCAGCGAGACGTTGTCGCCCTTCAACAATATTTGCCCTGCTTGTGGGTTAGCAAATCCACACTTGACATCTCCGGCGTTGGAATGGCATACCCAGCGGCCTCCGCTTCTCTTCGGGGTTCGTCTTGGTAACCTGCTTCACTTCGACTGCGTCGTCAATGACGAGGTTCATGAACTCGTCAAAACCCTATCAGACCCCCCTTTGTTAGCCGTTGTGTCGAGTCGGAACGGTGGAAGAGATGGCGCGCGCACCCTGATCTTGCCCTCAATTCGGATCGACAGCTGCTCGTACAGCCAGATTTGCACCGTGGTGTGTTGCCTGCCGGGTGATCAGTACAAGATAGTGCGCTGTGCAAAGGAGCCAGGACTGACTGGAGGAGCTTGAAGATGAAGTTGATGGGAGGAAGCAAGACTCTGCGACCGCCACCGCCTCCACGTCCGGTCATTTTCGCGAGTATGGGCTGGTGATTGGAGCGTGTAGGTGGCTGTTGGACCTAAAAGGCTCAAGTAGTGGACGTTCGTGCTCGTCGGTCGCGTTTGGCTCGCGTCGATGAAGTGTCGTGGGGCAATTAGTCGCAAGCTGAGCAGGATCGCAGAGAAGCTGGCTTGGTACTCTGCCTGACCCACGGCCGATGCGCAAGGTTCGGTTAGTCGCTGGGAGAAATTGGGCGGAGCTGGTAAAACGATGTTCCACAGGCTGACAGACCCCCACGAAGTCGGACAGACCAATGTGATGCGGTACATTGGGGATATTTGTGGGCGGTCTCAGCTGCAGGCCACTCTCAGTGACAGGCCTCCCCCTGTAACACTTTGATCGCCTATGGACAACCTGGAAAATGGCCACCATTGTTAAAGATACTTACCCCTCCACGCGGTGCTAGGTGGCAGCACAAAGTACCTACTTTAGAAAATGGCAGCCACGGCCCCCGGGTTAAGGTACCCAGGCCGGCCGACCCTGCCCTGTCGTCTGCCTTTGAGATGCCCTACGGAGTGCTATGCAGTAAAACTGTCTTAGCCGGCTTTAGTTAGGTCACCTTAGGTTCCTTGTGCTCTGATCCGCCCGCTGTCCCGCCAGCCTGACTGACGTTTTATTTTCCATTCGCGACCTTCCACCACCCCCTCCATCTGCCACTTTTGGACATTGTCGGCGCACCGCTTTGAGAGCCCTTCAATCTGCCACCCCAGCAGCTCGACGCTCCTTACTGCCCCCAAAGAGCTCACGTCCTCCCTTTGCTGCGCGAGACTTCGACTTTCCTTACATACACCGCCCTTGCGGTTCCCTAGCGCGACGTCACATAGCATCACAACCGCCATATCAAACCCGTTGCCCGCGCCATCCATTCTGCCAACGAGCGACGCCTGCAGGATTCACTGGTCCCGAATCATGGCCACGAACGGAGCCTCGGAGGCATTCGCGCCCCACGATGTCCTATCGGCTATGGTCACGATGCGTGGTGGCGAGCAGGAGAACAAGAAGAAGGCGCACGCCTACTTGGAACGGTTCCAGAAATCTGTCAGGCACCTCGACGCCGGGAGACTTGTTATAACCAGTTCTTTTGCTAACGGAACCTGCAGAACTCTGCGTGGAGTACCATCTTTGGCATTCTCAAGAATGGCGCAGAGCCCGAGGCCCAGCTCTTTGCGGCCATAACTCTGCGCGGAAAGGTAGATAGTTGCGGCGGCAGTTCATGCGAAAGCGAGCTCACCATGGCGTTCTCTAGATCACCTACGACCTTTCGACGCAAGTCCCAGAAGCCGAACTCCCTGCGTTGCGGGATCAAATTCTGCTTCTCCTCAAAGACTTCGCCGCCGGCCCCAAGCCGATTCGGGTCCAGCTTTGCGTCTGTCTTGCGACACTAGCGGTGCAGATGACGGAGTGGAAGGACGTCCTTCCGACAGTGGTTGCGGCTCTCGGTGACAGCGTCGAGAGCCACGCAGCCGTTCTCGACTTCCTGCGCGTGCTGCCCGAGGAGGTGACCGAAGGCCGCAAAATCACCTTAACTGTATGTGGATCACGGAAACATCGAACGGCTTCTTACTTCCCGCGACGTGGTTTTACCGGGCCGATTTCAACAAGGATCAGAGTCTAATTGGCAATGATAGGAAGAAGAGCTTTCCGAGCGGACCAAGGAATTGCTGGGTGACAATACGGATCAGGTCGTGCAGTTGCTCATCAACTACTCACAATCATCTGGTAATACCCCATCAGGCCGCCCCTTTTGCCGTCAAGCGTGTAGCTAACTCTTCGATACAGCATCCGCCGCTCAAAACCCGCAGCTGATGGAGTGCATCACATCATGGTTGCGCGAGGTCCCCGTCAGCACCGTTGTCAACTCACCCCTCCTCGACGTCATCTTCAACGGTGTGGGCAACGACCAAGCATCCCAGGAGGCAGCGGAATGCTTGTGCACGGTTTTCAGAGAAACGCGGGATGTGGACGACAATTTGGAGACGATCCAGATTCTCCTTCCCCGCGTCATTGCTCTGCGTCAAAGGATCGCGGTGGTTGTCGAAGAGGAGGACACCGAGGTCTACAAGTCTCTGACCAAAATCTTCGCTTTGGCCGCAGAGGCCTGGGTTGTTGCTATTGCCCGTGAGCCCGGCCATTTCAGGCCCCTTGTCGACGCTGTTCTCGAATGCGCCGCGAGAGACAAGGACCGCGATGTCATTGAGCACACGTTCCAGTTCTGGTACGAGCTGAAGCAGTACATTGTTCTGGAACGCTACATCCAGGCCAGGTTGGAGCTCGTGGACATTTACTCAAAGCTTGTGGATATTTTGCTTTCACACCTGCAATACCCGCAGTCCGAGTCTGCGAGCGAGACGGATCTTTTCGATGGCGACCGTGAGGCCGAGGAGAAGTTCCGCGAATTCCGACACCAAATGGGCGATACTCTCAAGGACTCTTGCGAGGTTATGGGAGTGACTGATTGTCTCACAAAGGTTCTCGAGGCTATTAAGATCTGGATGCACAACTATGCTGGTCAGGCTTCGGCGACCTCGGTCCCCCACTGGCAAGAGCTCGAGGCACCTCTTTTCGCTATGCGTGCCATGGGGCAGATGGTTGACAAAGAAGAGAGTATTGTCCTGCCTCAGCTGATGCCTCTTCTTGTCCAGATTCCTAGTCACGAGAAGCTTCGCTTTGCCACAATCATGGTACTGGGCCGCTACACTGAGTGGACTTCGGCCCACCCCGAGTACTTGGAGCCTCAGTTCAACTACATTGTGACGTCTTTCCAGACGGATTCAAAGGAAGTTGTCAGGGCTGCGGCCATGGCCATCAAATATTTCTGCACAGATTGCAAGCAGCTTTTGAGCGGCCAGGTGATACAAATGCAGGAGTTCTACGACCAGATTCTCGACAAGCTGCCCGATATGAGCCAGGAAGAGATTACAGAGGGCGTTGCTAGCGTTGTTGCTGTGCAGCCGCCTACTGAGATCTACAAGCTGCTCAAGCTTTACTGCGACCCCTTGGTACAGCGGCTGATGAACAAGGCCAACCTTGCGACTGACGACAAGGGCAAACTGGCGCTCGCAGGTAGGCTTTGGACGAGTGGTTCCCCTAGGGACACACGGCTAACCCGACCTTAGATCACCTCCAGCTCATTACCATCTTCATCCAGATCGTGGTGCCGTACGTCGGTCCCGGCGAGGAGAATCCGGCGGTCAAGTACTGGCAGGAGGTCTTCCCAGTGTTGGGCACAATTCTGGACAACTTCATGGGCTTCGTTCCGATTTGCGAGAGAATCTGCCGCTGCTGGCGAAACATGATCATCTCTTACCGGACTGCCATGACACCTCTGTTGCCGGAGATGGCCAACAAGCTGGCCGGCGGCTTCGCTGCCTCCAGGCAAGGCGCGTTTCTCTGGGTCACGGCAGCAATCCTGCGTGAGTTCTCCGAAGACCGGGAGCACGTCAACCAAGAGATCACTCAGAGCATCTATGCTTTCTTCGAGGCCCAGACCACGACATTCCTGCGGGTCATGAGCGAACTGCAGCCGAGCGAGTTGCCCGACGTCATCGAGGACTTCTTTAGACTCTTGATTGACGCACTTCTCTACTACCCCGGCAGACTCGTCCCTTCGGAACTCCTTGGCCCCATCTTCGAGGCTGCCATTTACGCTCTGACTTTAGAGCAGCGTGATCCGCTCTCTGCGACGCTTCACTTCCTCCGTGACCTTCTCACGTACGGAGGCGACAATCCCGCGACATCTGATGTCCTGCCGCCAGATGTGGCTGCTCAGATTCGTGAGGTGGTGAGCAAACTCCTTGCGACACACGGTGAGAAGCTGGTCAAGCAGGTCATGGCCGGAATGATGATTACATTCCCTCGGGATTGCTTCGCTGACGGTAGTGGCGTCTTGCTGGCAATGTTCGAGCTCTTCCCCGCCCAGACGACGACGTGGGTTGAGAACACCATCCAGCTCTTGCCGCCGGGCACCATTACGGCCGCCGAGGCAAACCGTCTTATGACCAAGATCAGAGAGCGTCTCAGCGGCAACGATACCACCGCCATCAGACAGGTGAGGGCGCTGTTGCAAGACTTTACCAACACATATCGTCGGCGTTACGTGGCTCCGCGAGAGGGTCTTGGCCAGCTGGAAGCAGCTCGTTTCCACTTCACAGGGTAAGGATGGAAGTTTGATGGAGGTAGATTTTATGAAGGCCATGGCTGCCCCGAGTGCAGTCAAGAGCAGTCGCTCGCGGGCTGGGGTGATACGGTGCCCATCGAATGAGCCAAGGATTATGAAATTGGGGGATGACCATAGGAGGAGGCTAGAGATGGCGGGCTTCCGCTAGACCTGGGTGGATGCGGACAGTATTAGGAGTGATGATACCTAGGCTCAAGGATGACCCTTGAATGTCCTTTGGCCGAGGCAGGTGGAACAAGAAAGGCGAATGGCATTACGTAGCCCAGGAGGAGGCAACGGTTGAGGAAGCAGGATAAGTCTGGTCACGGGTGCGGTGCAGTGCTTGGGGACGCACCTCGTTCTCTGCAGAGTAGAGAGAAAGACGATAGACCGAGAATCGTGAACTTACATGGCTGAACATGTTTGGGGTGGCGAAGAGCGATGGCCTTTCACAGACCGACTGATAGGGGCGCATTGCCTGGTTAGAAGATCAGGGCAGGAATTCAAAAGTATCAGATGCACTCAATCTCCTTTGTCACCACACATGACAATGTTGGCTTGCATGTATCGTGCGGCTAGCATTAGGTATAAGGCCCGTATTGCCAGCTTGGTCTAGGCATGAGGCTTCTTGACTTTGAAGAGCAACGAGCGCTTCCAAAAAATTTTTAATTAAATAACCAATCGAACACTACCTAGACAATGTTGAGCAGATATTATGGGATACTCCATCTAGAGGCCAGACCATCTGACAAGTACCGCTGTTTCCCAAAGCAAGTTCTATAATCGAAGCTGGCTGGCAATCCTTTTTCAAAATACAAACGCAAGAGACATGTCACACCTGTCTGGGGGAGACGGCCGTTGTGTAAGTCATGACTGGGGAACTCCCATTGTCAACCAGCATTACTCAGCTCAAACCAAAATACATGATGCCGATGCTTTTTAGATTCTATTCAAGACTTCATTTGTTTTCTGTATTGGCAAGGGGCCAAATTCTCCGATCCTGAAGTGTTTAGGGTAACAAGCCATCAACAGTGTACGTAGTAAGGTGCATGCATGCTGGAGAGGAAAACCGATCTTAGACACACCCCCTGGTTGGTGACAGAACGGATCGCGAACTTGGGCGGCAGGTGCGGGTACGTACCCCTGCAAATGGCCCGGGCTTCGGATGCGCTAGATCCCATTGGACACAGACTACCTGGGTAAATGACCCCCGACGCAAGCACCGCGACCTGGACTTGCTCGACGCGACGACGGCCCCCAAAAAAAAAGCAAGAGCGAAAGATGTCTCGTTGTGGTTGTTTCCCGACCGCCCTCTCCGAACCACCTTTGCTTCCATACTGCACCTCCCGTTTGCTTCCAAGCAGTCGCATGAGCACTGGCCCAGCGCCAACTCACAATACGGAGGTGAACGTCCCGCCGATAGCCTTCACAGCAGGAGCTCGAGGCAGCTGCTTTCGGTTTGCCTGATAACAAATCCCAAGCACGACGGAGCCCTGCGACTTCATATTGCTTCTCCCACCACCTATTTGCGTCCGATCGCCCTCTTACGAACCTTGCAATACAAAATCAGAGTATCTAGACAACGACAACTCGAGGTTGGAAGGCTCCCCGTTCTTCTTCGCAAGCATGCCTCCGAGCAGTGGCACAAACCGGATGGCCCAGTACGCCAGGAATGCGTCCATGGACTCGGCCCCCATTTCGAACGGAAACAACAGCCAGCCGAACAAACAGCCAGCCGAACCAACTGGGTTTCCTACTCGCCAGGCGATCACCGAGTCCGCAAGGCTACCTGCCCCCAAGCCTCTCGCATCTGCCATATCCTTGGCCTCCCATATCCGCCAGTCTGAGCGGCCAGGTCTTGCCCAACCTCCATCTGCACCCATGCAGTCTCGTCAGCAATTGCCCGGTAGCTCCCCGCCTGCAAAGCCACGAAAGCGATCCAATTCGCAAAGCAGCGATGGGCCTGGTTTCTGGCCCGAGTCTCACATAGATAGTCAGTTCGGCTCGCCTACCACCCAACGCACCGAACGGTACGACGCTGGTATCGACGACCGCCTTGGTTCCCTGCCGCCCTCGCTGCAAGCCGCCGCCGAAGCGCCCGCGATGCCCAAGTTTGAGAATATGCAGCAAGCAATGGATGACGGCGCGATGCCCTTCATCATTGGCAAGGACGGCTCAATGAGACTGTTGCCAAAGAACCAGGGACATGGCTTGCCTATCACGCGTGGCGGCACGCTTCACTCGAGAGTGGAGCAGCAGCCCGAGCAAGATGCATACTCGAGCGAACCCATCTACAACTCTCCTTCGCAGCGCCAAACAAGGGTTGCTATTCACGCCACTGCCGTGAAGCGACCATACGGACCCTCCGCCTTCGAGGACGACGAGGAGGTCTTCTCTGACTCTCCAACCCGCAAAGTCCCACAGCGTCAGCAAAATTTGAGGCGCATTGTCAGAAGAGACAGGGCTCCGGAGTCCTGGCGGGCCGAACTCTTTCCGGAGGAAGAAGAAGTCGAAGGCAGCCTGGCTAGCGATTATCCTATTACTGAAGACGATCATGGTACTCCTCGGGCCAGTCGTAAGAAGTCTGTGCTCATGGAGGCGGCCCTCCTTGAAAGCTCACTACCAGCTGCGGCCCGCAGCCAGCAAAGCAAGTCGCGGAAGCGAGGTCGTGATAAGTGTGACTATGCAGATGACGAACTCCAGGGGATGACATACTCCCACCTGCGCGAGCAACCTTTCGACGAAGATCCAGCCAAGACATCCCTCCCAACGGCTACGCCTCTAAATGGTGACAGTCTTTCAGTCAAGCTAGAACATTACAAGGGCCAGCGCGAATCCGACCAGAGGCACTTCTTTAGTCAGATGACTGTCGGCGACTGGGAACGCTCGGGTGATTGGTTTCTGGATCAGTTCGGCCTCGTTACCCAGAAGTTAAAAGAGGCACGTAAGGAAAAGCGAGACATGGTTGATTGTTTCGAAACCGAAATTGCCAACAGGGAGGAGGCAGTTCGTGTCCGGACCGAGAACATTACAAAGAAACTAAGCAAAATCAGACACAAGGGTGAAGATATGTTGGCAGACAAGGAGGTTTGAAAAGTTGATACTCTCTGCCACATCCTGCATAGTACCATCGCAAGGCGCCATGCATTATTCTATGGAGTTGACGGGATATTGGGGACAGTCGGAACAAGGCGCTCGGATTTGTAGCGACGACTTTTCGATTTTGACGACACTTTATGGCTAATGAGGAATGGCTAACATGACTGGCGTATGGCATAGGATGGTTTTGTGTGTATGATTTCCCCGAAGAGATTTTTTTGCTAGGACAGGTAATCTCTACCTACATTGCTCATAAGACTGTCCTCACAAAACAAATGATTCTTTCACCGATCTGTCTTTACGGACTACCAGTCTCATTTGATGATCGGGATTATTTGGCAGGATTCCCCTTCTGACATTATCGGAAAACAGCTCATAAGCAGGGTAGTAGCCGTCGACGAATTGGAGAACCTGCTCATCAGTCATGCCTGTGCCCCTTTCCCGACGCAGCGCAGCCTCCTGCTGCAGGCGCCATTCGTAGACGTACTGCGTGTCTTCTGCATCAATGTGGATGAAGACGTCGAGAAGATCAGTCATGGCGTCGTACGCCTTCAGTCTCTCGTTCACCAACAGCAAGTGTTTGAGTTTGTGCTTCTGAAGCGTCCTGCTAGGGCCCTTCCACCGGGCTTCCACCTCGGTCTCTGGCAGGGCGCGGAAGCCGACGCACCAACCCTCGAAGATGACAACCTGGACCTTTGGCTGGCCGGTCCCGTTGACCTCGGTCCAGTTACTCTCGGACACACGGTCTCCCTGGCCAGAGAAGGCTGCCTTATCGTAGGACGGTACCTTGGTAGGCTGGCCTTTGGTAATGCTGTCGAAGAAAGCCTGAGCGAGCTGCGTGTCGTGCGTGCCCGGCTCGCCTCGTTGTTGCACCAGGAGATTGTCGGGGTGAGAGCGGGCGAGGGCAAGCTGGTCCTCGTGTTTGAGATACATGTCGTCGATGCTGAAGACGAGGGTTGTATGGCCGAGGTTGGTGAGGGATTCGGCCAGGGCTCGGACGAGGGTGGTTTTGCCGACGCCCTGGACGCCATTGAGGCCGATCATGAAGGGGCGTGTTCCATCTTGCGGGGCGCGTTTTTTGAGCAGTTTTGTGATGAAGGGGATGCAGATGGGGCTTTTATCGTCGATGATGTTTAAAGCGGCAGACGCCATGGCGACGGTGGCGTAGTGACGACAGTGACGGGGTTCGTGGCACTTATGGATGCGGAGGTGGCCGGCGAGACGGTTGAGGGAGTTCAAGGCCGTTTAGAGGCCGATGCCGAGAGGTGTCCGGTGGGGTCAGCGGGATGCGGGGCGGCCAGCATCCTCGCGGCGGGGCGGCGCCGACGAGGCTTTTCAGAGGATGACACTGCCTCTTTGGACTTGGTGGACTGGCATACTATCTGGTTGTTTCTGCTGGTCTATGCGAAAATGCACCCTGAGCAAAGGCTCATTCTCACTCGTTCTGATTACCGCAGGTGCATCATGTGGAGGGGAGGGAGGCACCAGCCGGTGCAATACTTGTGCATAAACTATGCTGGTGGCTGAAAGCTAATGTGAGACAGATTTTTAATCATACGCGAAAAGACTCAATCTTCAATTAACGAATAATCAGATAATCAAACAGGCAGGAGCCTAGGAAGCATCGGCAGGACCCCACGGCATCTAGACACCTTACCCGAGATCTTACCAAGGCTAAATTTCCCCGTACGGAACCATAGTTTGGAGTTGCAAGATTCACAGGGGGCTCTAGACCTCCCAGGACAGACTATGGCCGGCAGCTGGGGATGACCAGTAAGGAGAAGGGACTGGTAGCTTGGTATCCATCCCGGATCTTTCGTCGGCGCTTTCCAGGCCGCTTGTGTCGGCCCTTGAGACCATCAAGTGAGCATCTCACCTTGGTGGCCGGGTCGAGGTGCCTGTACCCCAGTATTCCACGGCGCCAGACACTGGGGAAGTACGTACCTGGTGCCGACCGGAGGCTGGGCCCATACGGCGTCGTGAGTGGCCGGGCTGGGGTCCAACAGGGGCATGTGACATGGGGGGCGGGGTCGGGAGACGACTTTTCCCCCACATGACCTCATGGAGACTCGAGTGTTTGGAGACTTTGACCCACGGCAACCGTGGCATGTGAAGTTTTGCCTTAGCTGCTCTCGGACTAGCGTATTTCGTCGGCTTCGGACACAGGAAGCTGCCTCGGCTCTCTGAGCGGCTGCCGTCACGCTGCACAGAAGACAGTTGCCGGAAGTGCACAGTTAGAAAACCACACGTTCATCCTCCCATGAACACGACATTGAATTGACCAACGTTGCGAACCATTAACCAAATTCTATTCTCTCGTCCCTACACTCAAACACGACTGTATTTCCTGTGCCATCTATACTCTATTTAGCGTCTGTTCTCTCTCTTCAAACTATCACATACAATGGCTGGTCATCTACGCTTCGACGGCCAGGTCGTCGTCGTCACTGGCGCTGGCGGTGGCCTCGGCAAAGCCTATGCCACCTTTTTTGGCTCTCGCGGCGCCAGCGTCGTCGTCAATGACCTCGGAGGCTCTTTCAAGGGCGAGGGCACCTCAACCAAGGTATGGCATTCTCGGGAGCATCCGGTGACGCACCCCCGCCTGTCCACGCTTGCTGACGTACTACCACCATTCAGGCGGCCGACGTTGTCGTCAACGAGATTAAGGCTGCCGGCGGCAAGGCCGTGGCCAACTACGATTCGGTCGAGAACGGTGACAAGATCATCGAGACGGCGATCCAGAACTTTGGACGCATCGATGTGCTAATCAACAACGCTGGTATCCTGCGTGATATCAGCTTCAAGAACATGAAGGACGAGGACTGGGACCTGATTATCAAGGTTCACGTCAAGGGATCTTACAAGTGCGCTCGCGCAGCATGGCCCCATTTCAGAAAACAAAAGTACGGCCGTGTCATTAACACGGCCTCGGCTGCCGGTCTCTTTGGCAGCTTTGGTCAGTGCAACTACTCAGGTACGTGTTGCGGTCCCATCCAATTGATAATTACCTCGGGATGCTAAGCGGTTGCGCAGCTGCCAAGTTGGCCCTGGTCGGATTTACCGAAACTTTGGCAAAGGAGGGCGCCAAGTACAATATTCTGTCCAATGTCATTGCACCAATCGGTAAGTGCAACGTGTGACAAGCGGAGCATGGCAGGGGAATCATGTGCGCTAACTGGGCCAACAGCCGCCAGCAGAATGACCGAGACTGTGATGCCGCCTGATGTGCTGGAGATCTTGAAGCCCGAATGGGTCGTTCCCCTTGTCTCCGTCCTCGTACACAAGGACAACACAGACGAGAACGGATCCATCTTCGAGGTTGGCGGTGGCCACATTGCCAAGCTGCGTTGGGAGCGGTCCAGCGGTCAACTCCTCAAGGCCGACGACAGCTACACTCCCAGCGCCGTTATCAAGAAGTGGGATCAGGCCATCGACTTCTCTAAGCCTCAGTATCCCTCCGGTCCCAATGACTTCTTGACCCTCTTGGAGGACTCCATGAAGATGGGCCCCAACGAGCAAGGTGACAAGGTTGACTTCACCGGCCGCGTGGCTCTCGTCACTGGCGGTGGTGCAGGGTGAGTAAAAGGCCGAATGCATTTGGTTGTTCGCAGCTAATGGTCACCAGTATCGGTCGTGCCTACAGTCTGGCATTCGCCAAGCATGGTGCCACGGTCGTTGTGAACGATTTGGCCAACCCCGATGATGTTGTTAATGAAATTAAGAAGCTGGGTGGCAAGGCCGTTGGGGTGAAAGCCTCAGCAGAAGACGGCGATGCGGTTGTCAAGGCCGCGATTGACGCGTTCGGACGCGTCGACATCATCGTCAACAACGCAGGCATCCTCCGCGACAAGGCCTTCAACAACATGGACGACAGCCTCTGGGACCCGGTCCTGAACGTCCACCTTCGCGGTACCTACAAGGTCACCAAAGCCGCCTGGCCGTATTTCCTGAAGCAGAAGTACGGACGCGTCATCAACACCACTTCTACCTCTGGCATTTACGGTAACTTTGGCCAGGCCAACTACGCCGCGGCGGTAAGTCTGACCAGCTGTGAACCTCGAGATACGATTGCTAACAAACGTATAGAAATGCGGTATCCTTGGTTTCTCCCGTGCACTCGCGCTCGAGGGTTACAAGTACAACATCTACGTCAACACTATCGCACCCAACGCCGGTACTGCAATGACAAGAACCATCATGCCCGAGGAGATGGTACAGGCCTTCAAGCCCGACTACATTGCGCCCGTCGTCCTCGCCCTCTCCAGCGACAAGATCCCCAAGAACCCTACCGGCGGCCTGTACGAGGTTGGCAGCGGCTGGGTTGGCCAGACGCGCTGGCAGAGGACCGGCGGCCACGGCTTCCCGGTCGACATCCCCTTGACCCCCGAGGAGGTGCTCAAGCACTGGGATTCTATTAGAAACTTCGAGGACGGTCGCGCCGACCACCCTGAGAAGACCCAAGATGGCCTCCAGAGCATCATGGCAAACATGGAGAACAAGAGCAACAAGTCCAAGGTATGAGCCTACACCTCCTCATAGCACCGACGCAACTCTGTAAAGTAGCAATAGTTTTACAAAAAAAAATAAGAAAATATATTGATCATGTGTCTTCACAGCAGGAGGCAAGCTCCGGTGGTGACAGCAAGTACGTGGATGCCATAAAGGCCGCGCAGAACGTCGAGGGCAAGGGAACCGAGTTCCAGTACGAGGAGCGTGACGTGATGCTCTACAACCTGGGCATTGGCGCGAAGCGCGATCAGCTCAAGTACGTCTTTGAGGGCGCCGACGACTTCCAGGCGTTGCCAACCTTTGGCGTCATTCCGCCCTTCAACACGGAGATGCCGTACAACTTTGACGACATCGTTCCCAACTTCTCCCCCATGATGCTTCTGCACGGCGAGCAGTACCTCGAAATCAAGAAGTACCCCATCCCTACCGCTGCGAAGCTCGTCTCTACCGGCAAGCTCCTTGAAGTTGTTGACAAGGGCAACGCCGCCATTGTCAAGAGCGGTATCACCACAGTTCACGCCGAGACCAAGGAGCCCGTCTTCTACAACGAGATGACGGTGTTCCTCAGAGGCTGCGGCGGATTCGGCGGCCAGAAGAAGCCGGCTGACCGTGGTGCCAGCACGGCGGCGAACAAGCCTCCCTCGCGCCACCCCGATGTCGTGGTCGAGGAGAAGACGACCGAGGAGCAAGCGGCGCTGTACCGTCTGAGCGGTGATTACAAGTAAGATAAATGAAGCCACTTTCTGCAGTTGTGAACTTTTTATTGACGTTTGGCAGCCCTCTCCACGTCGACCCTGCATTCGCCAAGATGGGTGGCTTCAAGGCTCCCATTCTCCATGGTCTCTGCTTCTTCGGCGTAGCCGGCAAGGCCGTGTATGAGCGCTTCGGTCCCGTCAAGAACATCAAGGTGCGCTTCGCCGGCACCGTCATCCCCGGGCAGACGCTCGTGACGGAGATGTGGAAGGACGGCGGCAAGGTCATCTTCCAGACCAAGGTCAAGGAGACGGGCAAGCTGGCCATTGGCGGCGCCGCCGCCGAGCTGGTCGACGATAAGAGCAAGCTCTAAGCTGTGGGGCAAGGACGCAACGCCGTCTGACGCTTGAGAACGGTTTGGACACGGCTTTTTGTTTGTACGAGTAAATGGCTGTGTATGATTCATGGGTCTAGTCGGGTTGGAGATGGGCAATTTATGAAAATGAAGTCGATTTATTTACCAATTACAAAAGGTTATTTCTCGGAGACGAGCGCGGTGATGACGGTCCCCGATCACTTTAACTAACCTCATAATATGTAGTGATCCCTTTCTCCAGCTCTTGAGCGCTAATTACGCAGACTCAGACGCCCCAAGAATGCCCATATTCCCCGATTTAAGCATATCCTTATTCAACTCCGAGCCTCTTTGTCTTTCTCTCCCTTTTTTCCCTTCTCGTCATGACATACTATAGAGCACATGCCTGTCAATAATTCGACTCCCAGCGGACCTCACACAAAAATTGTCTCGACAACAAAGTCACAGAGCTCCGGCAAGGTCGGCAATTGACCGTTCTTGAGGCAATTCTCGACCGGCGAGACCCCGTTCCTGGCGAAGCCCGTCTCCAAAAAGGCCTTTTCGGCCCCATTCAGCTCACGCTTCTCCGTCTCGCGCCACTTGGCCTCGGCCTCTTCCTTGGCCTGCTTCAACACCGAGTCCGTATCCTCACTCTCCCATAGATTGCATCTCGAGCACTCGGTGCAGGGCCGCGGGTCGCCGTCCGGTCTAAAGTGGTCGCAAAAGTGCCTGTATCCTTCGCCGTCCCCATTGCTGCCGCCAATGTCCTTCCGACAGACGTAGCACATTTTATAGCCACAAGGACAAGTAAGCTTGTTGCAGCCCGAGTTCTTGACAAACGACGTGTGACATCGCGGACAAACACGCTTGATGGCCATGCTCATCGCCTGCTCGACCTGCGTACGCAGTGCAACCAGAGACGACTCATTGCATACGTGGATATCCTTCCAAGCCTTGGCGCAAGATAGACACGAGCTTTTTCCGCAATCGGGATTTTGACATGCGAACTTGAGGCCTCGACGCCGTCGACGATGACGGCCAAGTGCCAAGTGCCATTGTGCAACCAAGTGGTCGCCGACTGTCTGCTTCGTGCTGATAAGGAGGCAGAGAAAGGACGACAACAAAACCACAGGCAGGAGAAATGGAACGGTCGCAATGCATACAAGGAGGAGTACGAGACTGAGTAAACTGTCAAGTCTGACCCGCAGTTGCGTTTCCTGCGCTGGGAGGTAGATGTCGTCCACTTCAGCGTAGTCGCAAAAGGGGCACCGAATTAGGGGTATGTTGGACGTCAGGAGACTGTTTTCAGCCAAACGCTGGTCGAGTTTACGGAGGATCTCGGCGCCCTTCTTCTCCTCTAGCATGGCGCGGTGTATGTGATCATAGGGAATGTTGCCAGGGCACCCGTTCCCTTCGACAGCGAGACATTTCAATGTGCCATGGTTTGTATCGATGCTGCTGTGCCATCCCTGGCCAAATACGGCTTCTGTAATGGAGTGCTGGATACAGCGGAAGCAGAGCATGTGCCCATCAGTGTTGCAGGTTGTGAATTCTTCGAAAGTGGACTCGGTGAAGCAGCATGCACACTCATACATTGCGCCGGCTCCCTCGGCCTCTTCATTATTCATCAACAAAGCCAGACTTCGATCCTTGTCCTCTTGCGTTTGTCGCGCCTGGTCTTTTAGCGGTCGTACCAAATCGCGGTATAGCTCAAAGTTGAGCTCGGCGTTTCCCGTGGCCTTGAGAGAAGGCACGATGGCGCCTTGGCCGGTCGACTTCCAGATTATCAGCGGGTGATTTTCGGCTTCGCCCGTAGCGACCGGTTTCCGGCGGAGGAAGAGGGACGATATGGTGAAGCGCCAGGATTTTGAGGAGAGCGATACGAGTGTGTTGCGAGCTTCGAGGTAAGAGTAGTTGGACTCGGCGAGGACGGCGTTGATGGTCGAGCGTGACAGGCCTTTGAACTCGTGCCAAGCCAGCGCTTGCACGGCGTGCTTGTACTCGGGACTTCGGAAGGCTTCGACGCGGGGAATCAGAACTTCGTCCTGCTCTCGTGCTTCTTCGCTCGCAACCGGGGGTCTAGGACGTTGAATATTGACGGTCCTCCAGCGACCCTTGACCCAGGCGACGCGATTCTTCAATAAGGCGTCGATCACAACAGCCAGCCTTGATTCCTCGTCAAAGTTGATCAACATTTCGCGGAAGACCTGAATCTGAATGTCGGGGAAGATGGCGGCAAGGGCTTCTAGGCTGTTGTTGAGCTCGCGGAGATTCGGGCAGTCGGGGGGGAGCGCAGGGAGCTGCTCTTCGTCGTGTATGTATCCATGATGGGAGCTGGAGGCGGGGCTGGAGGCAGGGCCAGCGTCTGTTGTTTGGGAGGAAGCGGTCTCAGAAGCTTTGTCGAGAGAGTTGGACGAGGAAGTCTTGGAGCGGCTGGAGACGAGTTTATCGGTGGAGGATCCGAGAAAAGTTGTGAGGCCCATCTTGTCAGTTCATGGCTGGTGTAGGCCTCGCATGGCGTGAAACCGACGATGACGGTCTATGGAAGAGTGATACGTGCGCCCGATGCAGCGCGGGAGGCAAGGCGGCTACCGTGACATAGAGGCACAGTCAGGGCTACGCGATAACTTCCGGAACAAAGAGTTCGCGATCTTTATTGGAAAGAGCGGGCGCGAGGGTGCGTGCTGTGAAGTGGTCAAGGATGTCGCCGGGTCCCTTGTCGTTGGGAAATAGCGGACAGGGAAGTGCAGATCGGGGACGGTTGTCGTACTTGAAATGAATGTGACCAGGTTCCTCAGTACCAAGCAATACTCATGTGAGGTAAGGTAAGTAAGGACGAGGCAGAGGTACCTCTTGGGCGTGCTCCGGCGGCCCGCTACCTGGCTGCCTGGGGGCATCTGAAGGAAGACCAGGCGGGGAATTTAGGGGAATAACCACCGCCTGGCGATGCGTTACGTTACCTAGCGAAGCCCACCATGGAAGCACCGACCTTGACTAAGGCAGTACTAAGGCCAACTGACTCTGCATGTTAGCTGCAGCAATCGATCTTCATGCAATCACTAACAGCAGACCACAACCAGCGCGAGCAGGGAACGACATCCCAACTCTAGGAAGCGCCTAGGGTCACTAGGGATGCCGGGTTGTCATCACATTGTGGCCCGCTCCGTGATGAGGAATGGACCTCACCCGCAAGACGGCGGCGCCATGTGCCTCGGCACCTCTCCCGACAAAGTCTGGCTTCACCGTACCGTGATCATTCAGAAAAACTAGCTTTTGCAGACTCTGGCTGCAATAGCATGCGTTATGCGCAAAACAAAAAGCTGGTTGGTCTACAGGTCTATCTCCAGGGCCGCCGTGTCAGCAGCTTTGAGTCCGTTCATTATGCGTCCTCTGCCATACACGTTCCCACGTCTCATTTGCCTCTTGTCTAATAGCCTTGCCCTCAAGACTTGCGGTGGAGAAGGCCAGCGGCACCCTTTACGGAAAGTCAGTGCACATGTTGAAGTAATGCGTTTCGACGTCAACTCACCTGGTGGCTGGGGAAAATGAGCGTGTCTGCAATAACCACGTTCTCTCTCCTGGTGGTCGTAAAGACGACAACCTCTGCAATATCCTCAGGGGTAAGAGGCTCACACCCGCTGTGGCATTATCAGCATACATGTCCATACTCGTAACTCATAGATACCCAAGTATCAGAGACGAGAAGATAGCTAGGTTTGTACTTACGCATAGACGGCATCGGCCTTGGACTTGTCACCATAGAAGCGAACGACGGAGAATTCCTGCGTGAAGTTAGATCCCGTCACTGGGACTGGGTCGGATGTCTACCGAGAGGCGACGGCTTACAGTCTCGACCTGACCGGGGTCAATGCCAATGACGCGGATGCGGGTTGCAATCAGCTCCTTTCTCAAGCTGTCGGTGAAACTGCGCACGGCGGCTTTGGTTGCGCAATAGATTGAGCCACCGGGGTACGGCTCCCGACCTATAATCACGACGGTGAGTCAAACATGCTCTCCACAAACGAAGTAAGCAGGTTCGACTTACCAGCAATGGAACCAATATTGATAATGTCTCCTGAGCCGCCATCGGGGCGCGCCTTGAAGATTGGGAGAATGGCCTGCGTCACATTAATGAGGCCGGTGACGTTGGTAGCAAACATGACGTTAATGTCCTCCTCGGCGATCTCGGGTGCCTTGGCAACTCCCTTGACGAGGCCGCTTGTTATTCAAGTGTTAGTCGAGGGTCAATTCGGAACGAGAAATCAGGCTGTAACATACGCATTGTTCACGAGGATGTTGATGTCCTTGAACTCCTCGGGCAGGTTGGGGACGAGCTGGCGGACCTCCTCGGGGTTGCTGACATCCAGCTTGACGGGGTGAACCTTGACGCCGCTGCCGACCTCCTTTTGGATCTCAGCGGCAACCTCCTTGAGGCTGTCGATACGGCGGGCCGTGAGAATGAGCTTCAGGTTTTTGGGTGCCGTCCTGGCGTACTCAAATGCCGTGCTCTTGCCGATACCGCTCGAGGCGCCGGTGATGAGCACCGTCTTGCCTTCGAGGCGTTTCGCTGCGGCAGACATGATGGTTTTGCGATGGTTCTGAGTGATCAGCTTGTGTAAGGAGGAGTGTATGTGAGGCTGTTGGCGTTGAGATGACAGAAGTGAAGAGAAGAAGTAGCGAGCTGCGCGGGTACAAGGGGTCATGTGTGAAGAGACCGGGGGAAGAGTAGCAGAGGCTGGTCAAAGATGGATTAGTCGCTTATAAACCTGCCTATATATGGATTGCAGAATTCAGAAGAAGGGTTAGATTGGCTTTACTTTGCTTGTACGTTTGCTGTTATCCAATGAACGGAGAGGATTAGTAGGGGGAACTGTCGGTACAAAAACAACTCTCGACACGTTTCCGACTACAGATGGACGGATAAGACGAGGGGGGGAGAGTGGACGGAACGGCGCACGGAATGGATGGGCCCCACATTGCGGGGTTTCAACCGACCGATAACCGGCGGGGAGGGATGATTGCATCATTTTGCTGAAGGTTCTTCTCTTGATACCACTTGCCTACCTCGCACAATCATTCAGGCACGAGTAGCAGGGCTAGGTTAAGACACGATGCAGGCTCAGAGAGGGTCCAATGGGGTTCTTTTGGAGCCTTCTTAGCTATGAGAGGCTATTGCGCCAATTAGGTGATTGCAAACTCCGACTTGTTTGTACTTGGCGGCCTTTTCTGTTCCCGCACCATGCGGCACCAGCACCGACCACTTCGGCGCGGTTGCAACACGACGGCTAACTCAAGGTTACATAGGCCATGATTGCGGCTGCTAGACCCTCGGTTCATCCATTGGTCATTGTGTTTTCCCGGTTGATGGCGGCGGAGTGTTTCAAAGAAATTTCCATAATAATAATAATAAAAATAATACTAACATAAGTTGTTACTCATAAACCTTTACCCATCATGTACAACCGTTGATGCCCCGAGATAATTACACTCAAATCAACAGAACGCCGGCCAAGTGCTATGCTAATAACGCTATTCCACAATACAACTCCCGTTCTATGCGGGCTTACTCGGTTGTCGTCGAGGAAACCAAAGTCGTCGCCGCCGATGCCCTCCGTCGCCTCTCCACCTCAACCCTGATATGCATCTGCCGCTGCTCTTCTATGGTGAGCCGATTTCGACGATAGACTCCCAAACTAAGGAGGATCGCTATGCCTGACAGAATAGCTCCCACCTGCATGTCTTTGCAGAAAGAGTCTGTGTAGACTTGGCGTACGGCTGTGGCTTGCGCCTCCGTCAAATTCGCCCCTGCTCCGTGGAGCGATGACAGCTGTTCCGGGCTGACCACCCCGGTCAATTCGTCTCGCATGAAGTTTCCCAAGATCGCTGTTGACGCGGCGATTCCCAAGCTGCCACCGAGGATTCGCACCTGTGCAATAATCCCTTGCGCGGGGGCTGCGTTTCGTTAGCTTTGTCTGTCCAAATCTAGCAACATGGAAATGCTCACCGTGATCTGGAATCTCTGACTCAGTCGCCCCGAGGACGGTGGATGAAGTGGCCGACAGGCCAAAGCCAAAGCCGATGAAGGTAAGAAAGCCGAGTGCCTTGGGTTCCAATTCGACCGACGAAGACAGTGTCGTCATCAAGCCGCAACCAATGCACACGAAACAGCTTGCTACGGTCATCGTCTCAAAAAGTCGATTCTGTCTCTTGTTGATGATCCCGCCGAGAGTGGTACCCAGCGCAACAGAGCCTAACATCGGTAAAAGCAGAATACCCGCTAGCAAAGAGCTCTTCCCGTTGACGATCTGTAAGTGGACAGGGAAGGCATAGATGACCAGGAGGTACGGGAACCCGAGGAACATCGTGTTGAGTATCGTGGCGACGTAGACACGGTTGCGCAAAAGCCGTATCGGAATGGCCGCCATGACGCGGTTGCTCCAGAACTTGGCGACGAGCGTCTCCCATCCCAGCAACAAGATGAAGCACACGCCGCCGATGGTGACTGGGGCAATGAATACGGCTTCGTGCCACTTGTTGCCGTCCGAGCCGACATTTTGAAAGGAGAAGACTACCAGAACCGATGCTGCGACAAGGAGAAGAGAGCCTACAACGTCCAACTCATTCCAGCGTCTACGTTGCAGCGTCGGCAGGTGTTTGGCATCGGGCCACGTCAGGTAAAATACAAGCATTGAAACAAAGCCAATTGGTCCGCTGCGTTATTGTCAGAACACGAGCATCCCTATCTGACGCAACAGCTGCTCTCAGAGGACTCAGGAATCACTCACTTGATCCAGAAGATCCATCGCCAAGAGGCGTAATGGGTGAGAATACCTCCCAGAACTGGTCCAAGCACGCCGGCACTGGCGATGACCATACCGACAAGACTGGACATATACTGTAGCAGGTGCTTGGGAGCGACCTCCGGAAAAATAATCATGGTAATCGAATAAAGACCTGAGAAAAACTTAGCGGATGAACTGACAGTGACAGACGTGCTCGACTCACCAGAGCCCCCCAAGCCTTGCAGAGCACGGCATGCAACCAACTGCTCCAAATTCTGGGCAAACCCGCAGCCGAGAGAGAAGGCAAAGAAAATGATAAAGCTTGCCAAGAAGGCATTGCGCCGGCCAACGACGTCGGATGCCCGAGCCACCAAGACGGCACAGCTCAGGTATGTGAGGGTATATGCAAGTGCAACCCAATTGATTAGGTCTACCGAGTCAAACTCTGCGCCAATTGTGTACAGACTCGTTGCTACGATAGAGGCGTCCAACATGGAGAGGAAAAGTCCAAGGCAGAGTCTTCCAGACAAGTCAGCAAATAGACCTATGGCAACACTCAAAACATCATGGGGGTAAATACCCAACACTGAGCAGCCAGAATCTCCATGCCGGCAGTGTGGCGTCTCTGTAGTGATGCTCAGTGAGGCCCTCGGCCTTGGTGGACTCGATGTCCTCCTTAATGTTGCCCATAGCTGTGCGCGACGACCGCCTCATAGGATTTGAACAGTGCGGATCTATTCCAACGACCAGCGGTCACAATGATAGTGTCGCCGGTAGAACTTCGTGGTAGTCGATATGACCTCGGAATTCTCGGGGGATCCAGGTCTTGTAAACCAATCAAGTGGCTGGCGATTGAACCGACGGTTCTTAAGAGATGTTGCCTTGGCTGAATTCTGTCGGTCTGTAGGATGAAAGTCCGACTTGAAGACTGTCGGGGTCGGGCCGACGCTGACAATCACTCACGATGTACAGATACGGTGTTGAAAAGCAGAGCCGGGGCAACTCATAGTGAAGGATGTCACGAGAGGCCCGGGAAATGCATCTGACAGGATGGTTGAAGGCGGTTGGAAAGAGAATGCGAGGTCCAAAGAGCAGGGCGAAACCATGAAGGGACACGATTAAAAGAGAGACAGATTCCATGGCCGAACGTAAGAAGTTGAATCGGCGTTCGGGGCGACGTATTAGGGAAAAAACGAACGTTCGGCGTTCAGCAACGCATTCGCATTCGCTAGCTCGGAACCACCTCCTGAGCTCACGGTCCCATTTGTTTGTCTTTGGCCCGCCGCTGCCGGCCGTAAGCTGATGCCGTAGGCGAATGCGGCGTGTGCCCGGCACGCCACACCAAACCCCAGATAGTCAGACATTGCGGTAGTGAGACAGACCAATACCAGTGACGCGAGCAAAGAAGGGAGGCACGATAGTGCGATAGTCTAGGCCGCCGCGTTTCTTTCGGTCGGAGTCCCCTTGGGTAGATGTGGCCTCGGTGGCAGTATGTCGTCCGATGAGGAATGTTGTCGAGCCCGGCCCCGATGCACCAGAGCCGTTAAAGAACCAGGTGCAACGTGGTCTAGATCCAGGCCCGATCTAGTCGATGGCATCTCATCGGCGAAGGCCCCAATCTTCAACTCCGTACGGATGGAAAACTTCAATCTTTCAAGTTCGAGGGTGGCCAGCACCGTGGCTCGTCCACCGACATGTGCCAACGCCGAAGGAAATACGCAACGACCGGCCGACTAGCTAGCACAATCCCGCCCGGCTGATTACAGGCGCCATGTGCGCGGACAGACATGGCAGTGAGAAATCAGCGGTGGGAATGGAGAAAAGAGGCGAATCCGTTGTTGAGGAATGTGGGATCAACACTGCCCATTCGCGATGCCCACTTGAGCGGCGCTCCTAGGTAGAGGGATAACCTTTAGTTAAGGTCCTTGCCTCGAGTCGGCGATAGAACCCTCCCTGACGCTGCGTGCCCGAGATGAGCGACTGCGCCTTGCACAGAACATAACTTGCGCTCTGCGATGTCTAAACCCGGAGCATCTCCTTGGTGTTATCTGGAAACTGCAAGGTAGCAACAGCAGCACCTGGGCAAACAAGAGGATAAGGAAATTCGAAAAGGCAGACCAGATGAGGGGAACACAAACATCATTTCATGGAATATTTGCTCGCGGCGTGCATACAGAGGTGCTGGACTGGCACACTGGGAAGGTCAGGATGGCAGAGAATCCCAACTGGCTTGACCAGGATCTCTGTTGCTTCTTCCTCTGCTCATTGGTTTTTTGTGTCTGGCTTTGAGTGCACGCATACGACCGGTGACGGGTATAATATTGTGAAGAGGCGGAGGGCGAAGGCAGGGGGTTTTAACCATACCTGACAAGCGGAGTTCCAGTCAATTTCAGAATGTCTAGGAGAAAAAGAAAGCGGAATTGGAACGCGACTGTGGGGCTCTGCACGGAAGGGAGGTAAGACCCCACGGCCGTACGCGGGCCCTGGCCGGACCGGACCGGACCCTTCTTCTCTTGGGTGCTTGGGTAACCGGGAGCACATTACATAAGGCAAGACCTGATTACCTCATTCGTGGTCTCACTTCTCACCGTGCGAAGAACTCCAGCATTCTCCTTCGATCCCACGGTGCCCCTCCGTCGTTGACGACACTCGGCCCAGACACCTCAAGCGGGCAAACAGGCGCTGACATAGAGTGTCCCACAGCCAACGCACCACAGCGCCTACGTCCTGTCGCTATCGTCAGTCAAGGCCGACTCCCCGTCGCAAAGAGCATCAGACCCTCACCACATCGAATCTTGGTTTGTAATCGGATCCCATCAGAAAGAAAGCGAAGTTACTTGTAATCATCCATTCATATCTCGGTTTTGTTCCCGTCGCGGCAGAGCCCTCCGCGACCGCTTCTACGATGACAGACATAATTGCCGACCAGGCACCGCCAGCTCTCGCCGTACCATCGGAAAAGGAAAAGAAATACGACCGCCAACTCAGACTTTGGGCTGCGAGCGGCCAAGCTGCTCTGGAGTCTGCCAATATCCTGCTCGTGAATTCGGGCACGGGCACTGTTGGTGTCGAGACACTGAAGAATCTCGTGCTTCCAGGTATAAACCCGGCAGCACACCTATTGGCTCGTGATCAGCGTTGCCATCATCATGTACTATCGGATGATTGACGTGCTTAGGTATTGGGAAGTTTACAATCGCCGATGATGCCGTCGTGAGTGAGGCTGATCTCGGTGTCAACTTCTTCCTGGACGAGTCCCATCTCGACAAGTCTAGGGCGCAGAGCTGTACCGAGCTACTGCTAGAGCTTAATCCCGAGGTTCAGGGTGACTGGTATCCCCACGGCTCGGTGAGTCCATCGAATCGTATGTTTCTACGTGATCTGTCGAGGACTAACGCAATGGTAGAAAAATGAGGGCCTCCAGGAGCTTCTAAACAACTCGACCCCGTTCAGCATTATTTTGTACACACTTCCCATGAAGCCCGAAGACATCACTGCACTGGAAGCTTATAGCCGTGAACACAAGACGCCCTTGATTGCTATACACTCTGCGGGCTTCTACTCCTACTTTAGCACTCGTCTTCCAAGCATTTACCCCATCGTCGACACCCATCCGGACGTCACAGCTATCACGGACTTGCGGCTTGTCACCCCATGGGAAGAGCTCGAGGCCTTTGCTGAGAGACTGACCAAAGACATTGAAAGTCTCGACAACCACGAGCATGGTCACCTGCCCTTCGTTGTCATTCTCTTGCACTATCTAAAGGTATGGAAGTTGTCCCACAACTCCATGCCGCCGAGCAACTACAAGGAAAAAGTTGAATTCAGGAAAATGGTGGCCGCTGCTACGAGAACAGACAATCCCGAAGGAGGCGAGGAAAACTTTGAGGAGGCTGTGGCTGCCGTTTTGAAAACCATTTCGCCACCATCACTCCCTTCTGCCGTCAAAGAGGTCTTCGAGTACAAGCACACCGACGAGGTAAGTGTCCAGAACCTCCCTCGTTCACAACAGGCCGCAGCCGACTGAATAACTTTACAGAACGAAGCCAAGTCAAGCTTCTGGGTCATTGCAGGAGCGATGCGCGAATTTCATGAAAAGCACAGCTGCTTACCAGTACCGGGCGGCCTCCCGGACATGAAGGCGCAATCTAGCGTGTACATTGAGCTTCAGAATATCTACAAGGCCAAGGCTCGCAAAGATGCAGCCGAGGTCCTCGAATTGGTCCGTCAGATGCCCGGTGGCGAGGGCGTCGACGCAGCCGAGGTCGACTTGTTCTGCAAGAATGCAGCCTTCGTCAAGCTGGTCGTCCCCGCAGGTGGCGGACCCGAACAACTGCGCAATATAGCAGGTAAGAATGTCCAGGAGGGTTTCCAAAGCCGGTAATGGCGGTGCTCACCACATTTACAGCGCAGGAGTTTGCCAACGACGAAATGGCCAAGGAGGGCGTGATGCCACTGTCGCTCCTCCCAATCTATCTCGCCCTCCAATCCACGTCTCACACACCCACGGCATCTTCGGATGAGATTCTAGAGAACATCAAGGCGCTTCTTCCAGACTGGGGCGACAACGAGCGGCTGGCACAGGCGGCGCAAGAGGTATCCAGGTCTGGCGGCGGAGAGCTACACAACGTTTCCGCCGTGACAGGCGGCATGGTGGCTCAGGAGACCATCAAAATCATCACAAACCAATACGTACCTATTGAGAACACATGCATATTTGACGGCATTGGAAGCCGGTGCCAAATTCTTCGTCTTTAGGGTCGGAGATACGTTCCAATCCGGCGCTCGCGGCATCCCTGCATCTTCAGAACGGCCTTTGATGGACCTGACTTGAGGAAGGCGTGCGGGGAAGCTGACGATGTTCATTAGCCAGCATGGTGGGTGTGAGGTAGGAGTGACTCCTGGCGGAGGGTGAGGGGGAGACGATGGGACGCACCGTGGCCCTGGAGACCCTAGGAGATTTACGGCCCTGAAGTCGTAGATCCCGGAAGAATAGATTGTGTTCATCTTGGAGAAGGTCAACATGGTGGTATCCAGAGCTGGAGAGGCTTGGAGATGGTTCCGGGATCAACTTATTTGGGAAGGGGGTGGTTGCAACTCTAGCGCGCAGCAAACTGATTTGCAGTGCCGGGGGAGGACACCCTTCAACCCTCGCTGGACCCTGTCAACGGGTGTGTGGTGCCTGGGCGGAGATCACGTCGGACCGCAGTCCCTTACAGCTAGGTCATGGATGAATTGCAATGCGCCAGGGGTAGCGGAACCACCTGGAGCAAATGGAAATGACGAGGTCGACGATGTCAAATGGGCAAGTGGAAGGCCGGTAGCAAGCTTCGGTAGCCCTGCTATACCTGGCGATGACGCCGGGCTCACAAGCTTTCAGGGCCAGATCCACGGTCAATTGTAGCCTTGGCAGTTTACATGCAAATGATGAGTGACCTGTTCGTCTTGCTCTGCTATCTAATCATGGATACAACGCCCATATTCGACCCAGAGTTCGACAGCGAAGGCCTCGTCTGAACCGATCAACCTCGAACGTCATTGCCAAGAACTCGGACGATGTCGGAAAAGGAAAAAAGGTTCCCAACTTGACTCCGGTGAGATATAATTGCTCAACGGCCCTCGGATCCTCAAGCCTTGTGTAGGGAATCTGATAACTGAGGAATACCGGGTGAAGATTCCTCCTGACTCGAACGACGGCACAGACAGCGGGCCGCTCGTTGAATGTGGTCTTCTCCATACCTACACAAACAATGTAACACAAGCGTGGCTGGGGGGTTACAACGAAGACATTGAGGATGGGAACCCGTAAAGGGGACCAGGAAGACTCCGACTCGGAGGCGTATGTCCTAGTCTGGGTCTCGACCAGCGTGGCGCTGCGGACGGGACAAGAATTTGATTAGCGACAGCTTGCAAAGCGAGCGGCCGCGGCTTGCTTGGTGCGGTAGCTGGGCGTGACGGTCAGCAGGCAGGTAAGTCTCGGCAAGCTTTCCGAAGGAAACCCAAAGTCATTGACGAAAGGCACCAACTAGCGATTTTACATCTGCCCATTCTTCATTCTCACCACGAACTGAATGCAGTATGCGAGCCACCGGCGGGAATAGGAGGGCGTAGACGTGAGGGTGTGTGTGTGCGTCTGGCCCGTGTCAGCAGACACCATCTTTGTCACGATCCTCTGCAGATTCGGCCGGCTTACTTGGACCGTGGCAGTCCAAGCGGCGGTGGGCGGTAAAGACGGATACATGCTGTGAGGCGAGCAAGTGTCAAAGTGGGTTGCCGTACGATATCATGCGTGAGACTGGACCGGGCGATGCATCGCGAGAGGTGGATAAGTTTCCAAGCCCCATGCCTCCATTGAGCGGTTCTCAGAGCTGCCGGCAGCAGGAAGGGAAACCCTTTGAAGATACATGGCCAAGATGGCCAGAGCGCGTACCCTGCGTAGAATGTAACCGAGTCGAAGACCTTGGATGGTGGCTAAGTCGTCAAGCCCAGATGATGAAGCAAGGGCGCGAACTACATCTGCGACATAATGCTAACCGTGTTGCTGCGATCCCGCAGGATCGTTGTCGAGTTCAAGATCGAGAAACAGAAGATCAAGTAAAACCTCAGAGGGAGTGAAAGACGGCAAAAGGACAGAATGTCAAAACACACTCGTCAGAATGGATGATCTCTGCTAAAAGACGAACGCACCCCGGATTTCCTCTTCCTCGCTCATCTATTAATGGACGGACGGGTTAGATCGGGGGCCTGAGAGCCTTTCCAAGGTGACGAATAGAGCAAGGCACAGCAGTCCCCGCGGGGCAGGCGGGCTGGTCCGCAAAGGGATTCGCTGCCCGTTGAACACAGCCGTCACTTGAGGACTTTCCCTGTCTGTCGGGCGCAGCCGTCGCGCAGCTGAGCCAGATGCGTCAATAAGATTCAACACGTGTTGATAAAGGTAGCGGGCCGAAGTGCTGTGCCGGGGAACATGGTAAGCTGGGCGGACCCCTTCAGAAGCCAGTTTGGACGACACGCGCGAGCCTCGAGAACAGACGTGTGCCATCTCCTAGTTTCCGTGACCAATCCTGAATCTTTACCCGCAGTCGCCGTTCTGAATATTGTTCAGAGAGGCCCGTGTCACTATTATTGCTCGCCCAGAGGCCGACCTTGCGGAAGAATCTGACCGGGCAAATCATGGCTAGTCGACTTCGGCTTGACGAGTTGCACGCTTCAGTCAGCGTCGGACATAAGCCAATGCTTGGAAGGCAGCTGGCCCATTAACCATGCTTCATGCAAACAGACGCATCCCTACCTCCACGACCCGTGACTCACAGATACCCGCAGGAGACAGGAGGCGACAAGTCTGAACGGTTCACCGGGTCCGATAGCCTCTGCGATTGCAAAATCCTTAATCTGGGGAACCATACCCTTTGATACCTTGGAGATCATCCAATGCAGAATCCGTGGACAGACTACTGCAGGAGTGCCTAGTGTTTTGCGACTGATGATGCCGTCTCCTTGGTCAACGTGGCCAAGTATGGCCTTGTGTTGACCAACTTGTGATATCCAACGCCTCTCAGCCTGTCGTGTCACCGTTGGGTCAGGTAACCGCGCCCAATAACCCTCGGAGGCACATGGCAAGCCGGAGAGAAGTATATTCCAAGAGCCAGCCAGTATATGCCGTGGCCTGATAGATTAGCGATCCAAGACAGTATTTCATCTCCAGCCGGCAGGAAGCCCAATTTTCCCTCCAGTGACGTATGGAGGCGGCGTAAGAGGAAGAGAATCGTCTCTCTTAGGAAACGCAATATTAGGTGGAGTAGGCAACCGCTCCAGGCCAGCGAGGAAGAGCGCGTGGAGCAAGGTACTGTCGGCTGACCGATTCGGGCATTCCATACCTTATTCGATGTGATTTGGACCTCTAATCTTCCTTGGTGGATGGAGGAGGGAGGCGACATGGTGGGGCATCGAGCGCCCAACAAGTGCAGATGCATTGCTTGAGTTCGACATCGAAGTGAAGAGCACTTAACTCTGGACGAGTGCACGACTGGCCATCGCCACAGAATCGGGTCTTCAGTTCGGTGCGTAAGCAGAGGGTGTAGGCACGGAGGCAGACATGATGGGACGATATCCAGAAATTGTCCAGTGAGTCGTCTGTCGGTCTCTGGGTCCGCAAAGAACTAGATGCATTAGTGTGACTTTTAGCTGTTGGACAGAACATCCCTCGGTTTAGGCAAATTTGCTCCTTTAACGGATGGCGGGCGGCAGACAAGAAGCAGGGGGGATGGGAACGGTTCGTCGGGAGAGGTGCCAGGCACATGTGCCCATCTAGACGTGTCATTCCGCGGAGGGCTATCCACCAGATGTGCCTCGCGTTTAGTGATTGGTATGGACTCGCCAGGTACCGTCGTCCCGTCCATGTCGCGCACGCGAGACTCTGGTACAGACCCAGTGATCATAGAGGACGGCCGGAATGGAAACCGAGGGAGTAAAAGTCAAGGAGGCAAAGGAGGGAATGTGGTTGGAGGAACCAAACTTGCAATGCAAAGGGGTGTGGGGAGGGCCAGGTCGGGGTAGGAGTGAACATGGAGCTATATGGGACGGGCGGCAGATTCAAGTACTTCAAGAAGAAGAGGAAGAATAAGCGCATGCTTGCATGATATGGATCAGGATGGTGCTTGTCTGAGCCGCTTCGTCCGTCTGGTGCTCTTGTAATAGGTACGTAGGGGTTCGGCCATTTCGGATCGATGAAATCAAAGTTGACACCCACGATGGACGGCACATGTCGACGGGACATGCTTCGAAACAGCCGAAAGCTATCGGGATTGAATCCGGGCAAGAACAAGGACGCATTGGTTGAGTGAAATGGGAACGAGTCTGGTGGCACTGGGAAGAAGCACCTCTACTTGGACGCTGCTATGCCGCAAATCTTTTCGCCTTCGCGTCCTTCCATGCAGCCTTCCATGGCGATATTCACGGTGAGACGATGAAACGACCTCTCAGGGTCCGACGACCTGTTCATCATTTCCCTGATTTTCGTTTGGCGGAGGGGATATCATACCCTGATGGATTGATGGGGGAGGGATGGTAAGCATGCCGGCTGTAGTGAGCTGCAAAGAGACGCTAAGCCAGTCAGAGCAGAAGAACTCGGAGCAGAGTAGAGGTGAAAGACCCGAGACAATCAACTCAATCGAACTGCTGGTGGGCTACCGCATGAGATCAAGGAGGAGGCATCGTCTCGTTTGTTCACGAAAAAAAAAAATAGTCAGGCGTCTAAGAAGTTTGATCCCCTCACAATTTGGAGGCCGTTTTCTTTAACAAGGATGCGGGGACAGCTTGGAGAAACAGGGGGGGAAGGGGAGGGGTAGGGGGAGGGGTGTGGCTTTGGCAAAAGGTGTACCCTGGATCGGTGGTGGTACCACTCTGTTTAATTCTCCCACGCCTCTCGTAGCTACCTTGGGTTAGGTAGGAGGGTCATTCCGTCGCAGCAGCCGTATTCGTAGAGATGGAGACAATGGGAAGAAAAAAGAACAGGTGGTGACACACACACGCCAAGACTTGGTGGGTGATGCGTAGCCTACAGCCAACGCGCATGTGTAGGTTGAATCTCGCTCTAGGACAACCAAGGTCATCAAGACCAGACCAAAGAGAGAGGGGAAAGAGGGAGGGTCGGGGCGAGCATGAGCCTAGGGTTCGGGTAGGGCGGTACGGAGTAGAGATACGTGATTCATTAAAAAGTAGGACATTGGAATGATGCTGGAATGTCGTGAGTGTGTCTCTAGCCATCCATGCCTCGTTACGTCGTCCGAGGAAGTGGAAGCGCCCGGGCCTTGGGTGAGGCGGGATTACATAGTGCCGGTGTGGCTGACTGCTGACCCTGCCTTAGGTAAGGCACTCTACCATAGGAACTACTTACTTCCTTCCACTGTCTACGGATACACTAGGTGAGGTACATACAATGTATGGATCCTGAAAAATTCGAGAAAAAAAAAAGTTGGGGTTAGTGATCCGTGCCCTAGTGCCTCACCACGTGCTTACCTAAAGCGAGAAAAGGCAGTCCAATTACTTTAGCTTCGCGCGCCTGGGGTTCGGCCCCGCGCCCGATTGAGATTCCCCACCAGTCAGTGGCGGACGGCTGTCACTGGGCACTTTAACCTAAGATAAACACTATCCGTACTTCACCCGTAACCCGTCCAACGTGGAAGCCATTGGCACTTACAATAAGCACCTGACCTTGTGGAAGGGAACAGTGCATAAACAGGAGCTACTACTGGGGACGAATGAGGATCCCAGTAACCGTTCGGATGCCAGATGTGATGTGATGCGATGCGATGCGATGTCCATGCCTACCTTGGTTAAGTACCTTATGCCCACGCCCGGGCGCTAACAGTAGTAGCCATGATGGGCTCCAGACTCGGGTAGCAGACATCCATGGATAGATAGGTATTCTACGGATTCCTACCCCAGGGTCCAGAAGGAAAGAGGCACCGAGGGTAAATTGGTCACATCGGGTGCTGAACATAAAGTGCGAGCGGTACCCATCTCCAAGTGTCTTCTGAGTGGCCTGTCCACCCGTGCCCGGTAAGGCATGCTACTCCACTTTGACCCGACGTCCCCCGCCCTCCCTTGGCCGGTTTCCCCGCCCCCAGACCACCTTCGCACCACACCGTCACCTCACTACTCATCTCAGTTCCTTAGGTGCTCCTCTCCCCTCCCCCAACCGCCGACTTTGCCTGTTGATTAATTTAACAATTTGCCCATCGGTCCGGACGACGACACCTCCCGCCCCCATTCTCGCCAGTCTCCTCACAACGAGGTTCAGAAGCACTGCACTGCAACCTTACGTGCTTACCCCAATCCCCATACTTTCGTCCGTACATTACCTTAGCCCATCGTGCCGTGTCACCTGAGTTGTATCGTTCCTGTAGCTAGCAAACTTGCATTTCCCATCCATCCCATACCTCACCACCTCACCAGCCACGGTCGCACAAACCTGTCATCCCTCGTCCTCCTCCACACTCTCCAGATTTTCTGCCCCAATCACAGATCGGCTCGATATCCAGGGGGGGGCGTGTTTTTTGCTTCGTCCTCCGCTTCTCCCTACTCCCACTCGTGTACCACCACTGTACCAACATTGGTTTCCATTGCTTTTACGCTCCTCCCACCATTTGCACCTCCTGTCCCATGGCGCCTGTGTCGGCCACTCTCGGTAGTCAACTTGGCTCTCCAATCCTTGTTGAGTCCCGGGATGGAGACCAAGACACCGCCACGAGGGCTTCCCACCTTGCCGTCTCACTCGAATCTCTATGAGGCCAGGTCCACCATTCAACGCAATGCCTCGCTCGGATAGCGAGCGCCCTTCTGCAAAATTTGCCTCCCGTCCCTCGTCTGTCGGTCTGATGATCGAGTGCCTTACTGTTGTTCCCGTCCCTCCGGGATTTGACGCCGTCACTGTCTGGTTCACCCTCGTGATCCGTACACGCCCCTCCTTCAGGTATTCTGGGGGAAGAAACCCCAGTTATCGTTCCTGGCACTAGGTAGGTACGAGACTCGAGTCCACCTCTTCGGCTCGTCGCCTCCCAATGCGCACATGTTTGCACACTGAACCCACCTCCTCTCTCTGTTCCCCTCGTCCTAGCTCACTCTGCCGAGCCTGCTCTCTGCCTCTAACAACAAAGCAGCCCACCAGCCGCCTGTTCACATACTCTTGACGAATGCCATGGGCATTCTGCAGATGTTACCTCGCTGTCAACCGGAGACTCGTTGAACGCGGATCAAGTCCCCCTCCATTCGAGTCCCCTCGTCATTTACTTGGCCGTCTAGCCTCGTTTGGTTCCGGCCGGCCAACCCCAAGCTCAATTGCCCGTCCATCTTGCTTCACGTAGCCGACACGGCACTGACGTTCCATTACCTCTTTTCCCTCTCTTCCATCCCTCGCAGAGATCCATGCTCTTTCCCCACACTCAATGTTGCCGCGCTGGGTCTCTCGAATGGTGGCCGTACTCGTCAGCAGGGTACTTCATTTTGGCTCTCCTCCACAATCCTCCCATGCTGACTGTATATAATGTCTGCGTCCGCGCCAGCCTTGTTGACGAACTGATCTTTGCCTCTGGATTCCCATCAAAGACAAAGACAGAGATCTGATCATCTGATATTGTGGTTTTGTCAACGCCACTTACCAGCATCGCCCGAGGCTCTTGCGATCCATCTCAGCTTCGCTGTAGCTCGAGCAGTTCTGTCTTTTCAGCAGCCGCCAACATGGCACCGTCCATCCCAGTCCCTACCCAAGGGGGCATGTTCCACACCTGTAAGTCTCTGCCACCTTTCGAGTCGTTCACTTTCCCTCCGGCTCACATCGTTCAGTTCAGGGCGTGACACCACGGAAGCAGACGTCTGAGTCTCAGGAAAGCGGCAAATCGACGAGCTCAGCAGCTTCCAAGAGAATTACCACCCCACATGCTTGCGCCGAGTGCAAGAGACGAAAAATGTATGTTCCACTTGGTCTCTCTCAACACGACGTCTTCTAATCTTTGATAGCCGCTGTGACGGCCAGCAACCATGCGGCCAATGTCTGTCAAGCCGCGCTCCCAAGCGCTGCTTTTACGACAAGCACCGACAGCGCGTCATCCCTTCGCGCAAGACACTCGAAGCACTCTCACAGTCTCTCGAGGAGTGCCGCTCCGTTCTCAAGCGTCTGTTCCCTCACCAAGACGTACAGTCGCTGCTTCCACTGTCTCGCCACGACCTCCTTGATCTCCTTCAGCACCCGGTCCTTGACACGCCGGCTGCGCTCCCTTCACCGCCTCTCAACGCCTCGCCCCTCTCACAGGAACTAGACTCTCCGGTTTGCTCCGGCTCCGGCTCCGAGCGGGGCTTTTCCAGTCTCGAACTCATACCTGGTCGGGACACCGAATGGGACGAAGAACGCCGCGGCCGCGATCCCATCCCCATTGAAGCCGATGATGTGAACGCACTTTCATTATCCGTGGACCGGCAGTCATCATATCTAGGCGCTTCTTCGATCAAAGCAGCACTCATGTGCCTCATGAAGGTCCAGCCGGCACTCCGGAACGCGCTCACCACACCCCTCCAGAGCGCCGAAGTCACACACAGCTTCCCATCCACGCGACAGAGAGGCACGGTGCCAAAGGAAACCCAGCGCATACCGTGGTCATGGAAGGGGCAGACGCTGATTGACGCTTACTTTAAGCGCATCCACGTCTTCGTTCCCATGCTGGACGAGGCCGCTTTTCGAGCTGATTATCTGGAAGGCCAGCGCTTCGATGCCCCTTGGCTAGCACTGTTGAACATGGTTTTTGCCATGGGCAGCATCGTCGCCATGAAATCTGACGATTACAACCACATCAACTACTATAACAGAGCCATGGAGCATTTGCCCATGGATGCCTTTGGCAGCAGCCATATCGAAATGGTGCAAGCCCTCGCGCTCATTGGAGGCTACTATCTCCACTACATTAACAGACCCAACATGGCCAACGCCGTTCTAGGTGCGGCCATTAGAATGGCGAGCGCACTTGGTCTTCACCGAGAGAGCCTGGCTCAGGGTTCAAGCGACATTGCCGCCGCCGAGACCCGACGGCGCACTTGGTGGAGCCTCTTTTGCCTCGACACATGGGCAACGACAACCATGGGACGACCCTCATTCGGCCGCTGGGGCCCTGCCATCAACATCCGGCCCCCAGAGTTTGGCACCAACCAGGGTCGGGACTCTGCCCAGCATGCTGGCATCTTGCCGCTCATCGAAAACATCAAGTTCTGCAAGATTGCCACGCAGATCCAAGACTTGTTGGCCATTTCGCCCCTCCTGCGCGCGGAAGATCGTTGCAACCTCGACGGGCAACTGGTCAACTGGTACAGCGGCTTACCATGGCTTCTGAGGACGACTGACCCCTGCGCCGAGCCGCTGTACATTGCTCGATGTATCATGAAGTGGCGGTATCAGAACCTGCGGGTGCTTCTTCACCGGCCTGTCCTGCTGAGTCTGGCTAGCAGCGGCTCGCTGTCTCACGTGGCCGAGCAGGACGTTGCAGCCATCGAGACGTGCCGCGAGCTCGCACAGCAAACCATTGAGGACATTGCCAGGGAATGGACTCGTAATCAAATGTCGGGATGGAACGCTGTGTGGTTCCTCTACCAGGCGGCCATGATCCCTCTGGTCAGTACTTTCTGGGAGTGGAATAGCCCACGCGTATCCGACTGGCACCAGCAGATCGACACGATCCTCGACTTGCTAGAGGCCATGGAGGACTGGTCATTGGCAGCGAAGCGTAGCCGAGAGGTCGTGTGGCGAATGTACGAAGCGTCTCGACAGCCATCGATGCGGTCAGAGAGCCCTCTGCAGGGGCTGATGGCGGAGGCGGAGCTGCACATGTCACCCATCGGCCTGGAGCCGGAAGGGATGGGCATGATGGGCATGCTCGATCAGCATGGACTATGGGATATGGATGGCATGTATTGGGGCCAGGGTCCTGACCCGGCGGTGGACTTCTCCCCTTACAACGTCAACGAGCATATGATGCAGATGGACTACGGTATGATGAGCAGTCAGGTAGGCGCCATGGAGGGCGGCTTCTTCATCAATTGATGTGTCAGATTGGGATCTCTCTTACCTCTTTCAGGCACACGACTTCTCTTCTGGTTACATACTTGGATGCTGTTGCTAGGATATGGAAATCGGCGGAGGCATATGGCCGAAACCAAAGATGCTGGATGATGCTGTACATAAGCTCGGATGTTCAAAAGGGTAAGCAAACAGTGCTCGGAGTTTGTGGAATGTACGCCGGTCACATTGACGGACCCAAAAAAGAAAAAAAAGGGGAGGGGGGCTGAAGCATGGAAAATGGGACATGATGGAGGCGAAGATTATTGAGAACGCCCGAAATGACGATGACGATTTACGTATGACCTTCAACTAAAGAGACACAGAACACGACAGTGATTACGTGAAGCTCAATCTAACTGGGTCTCTCCGCCGTGGCACAATGACATCGACCGCGTATGCCATGCGGGAAGATTCTGAGTGCCGGCAAGGCGAGACGGTCCTCATCAGTCGGTCCTACGATCCTGATGAGTTTCGCGTGGCGCATAAACTCATATTTGCTGCGGCCATGGCAGGCACATGACTTTAAAGCCTTGAATGCGAGTGGTGTGCAGGGTCTTGCGTACCATGGAGCCATGGAATGGCCCATTCTACCTCTCATCCTTGTAGCGGAAGTCTGTCCCATAATGTGATGTGCTCAACGGTGTCGAGCATATTGGGTGTCGGTATCAGGAAGTTGTTGGCTGACGAAGAGCGGGAGGCATCTCTGAATCCTACCTACCACCCCTGAACAACAAACAGTGCACGTCTCGTCGGCTTGTACCTTGATACTTCGCATCGCATAGCTATTGCAGGGCGCAAAGGGAGACCTTTTGCTCGCCAACTTTCAAGCATCAGGTCGCGATCGGGGCGGACGATCATGCCATGGTCGACCGGAACGAGGCTGGCAGGAGGTGAGTGGTCGTATCACTTAGTGGTCGGGTCGGAGCAGGTGGTTCGTCCAAGGCCCCTTTAGCGTCATGCTTCCCATTCCCCAAAGAGACTTGGGCCAGGTAGAGGTGATGTTGATGAGGTTCCATGATCCGAGATAAGGTAACCAGACTAGGAAAGACGCGCAGGTATCCGAGAGGATCAAGGTTGCGATTGGGCGGGTAAATGTGTTGGTGGACGTATCAAGGATGGGCCGTCTGGGTTGTCGGGCCGCAGAGAGAGCAGAGCCCCTGTCTGTACCACGCACCCCACATCCAGAATCATCCCATCCATGTCTGGGTCCTTGTCTACTCTGTTCTCTGTCTGTCTACCCCTGCCCTCACATGTGTGTATCTCACGTAGGTACGAATATTCTTGCCCGTACTTTGCCTACTACGCCACAGTATGCCTCTGGGTAATTTGGCAGTGTATGCAAAACGCGGGAACCTTAACCGCACCCATTCTGTGACGCCGAGCTGTTCCTCGCCATCTGCCCAGGCTAATTAAGATAGTGTCGAGTATTCGAAAGGATGTAACGCTGCTTCGAGCGCTTTTCCAACGCAAAGAGCCTTGCAACGGGCGACCTAGACTATGCTCTTCTCCTCGTCTTGTTTTGTTTCATGCAACGAACATGCGTCATCAACAGGCCGGCCACGAATGAGCGACGACACGGAGAAGTTTCTCTGTGCAAAGCCGAACCAAAGTCCAGGTTTGCTAGGGAACACCAGGCACCGTCGATTCGAATAGGGGTGGGAGATGTTGAGCTCATTTATACTACTTATCAACGGTAACGGGACATTCCTCTTTGATGCGGTCCATTTGAAGAAAGACAAACTCAGCACCCGTTGACATGCTCGGCAAGGGGCCTCTGCAGGCATGGGGCGCTGGGAGGACGCCCGACGCCCGTCGTACCAGGTGCCGAACCCAGCCGGTCCAGATTCGACGACTGTGTATTATTGCATATCATGGTTGAAAATCTTCATAGCCTGTATCCGTGGCTGAGGCGGTATAACGTGGGTCAGGATGTAGTTTTGGCGTCTGGATTTTACGTAGTACACCGGTAGTTTTTGCCCCAAACCCCCGAAGAGTTACTGGGTTGCCTGGGCGCGATTTGACTCGGTCATTCGACCACGGACAGTCTTTGTTGATTTCTTGATACGGGCCCTTCGTTCCCGGTGGCACCGGCGTGCCAGTAGCCTCGGTCGACGGCATGTGGCTGGGCGCACGAGTCTCGACCAAAACAGATGAAGCGACCGCAAGGTCATCTTGTAAACATTACGCGGAAACACCGAGGCTCAATATTTTCCCTTGGATCCCTTGAAGTCCACTCGGGAAATTTTGGGGATCGCCGGGCTTGACGAAGTAGATGAAGAAACAGGATTTTGGTGACACTGCCTCATGCATGTGTCTCATCGACTATCTACAGCGGCGAAAGTGCCGGCGCCACCAACCCGGTTAATAGGGGTCTATCCAAACCGGCCGATGGATTACCTCAGGTTGAGACGAGACGAACCACGTCGTGGGGATTGGGGGCCGTCAAGGTGCGCCCCGCTCCGATACGTTCGGGCTTAGTCCTACACCGGCGCCCGGCAGCAAGTCTTGACCGGGATCGGAAACCCGATCATCAGCTTCCCAGAAGCAGCGGCATTCATTGCATATCGGAGAATTAGATGGAAGTATGGAGATTGGAAAACGCAAGCCAATTCTAAGGGTTTAATGCCACCAGCGCTTGTTTGTCTCCGCGAGGTTTAGGTACCCGACTTCAGACGACAGGAGAGGTTCGCAACTGCTTAAAGGCCGGGCAAATGCAGTAACTGCCACTGGAGGATATACGCCAGAAACTTGGACCATATCGAGGGCGTGCACAGCAATAAGGTCAAACGACTGCAGGCGACTTCATTTGGCCAAGCATCTTATTTTCTATCACTGCCGTACCTACCTTACCTACCTAAGGTAGGTTACAGCGACAGAGTACTAGATAAGGCAGGCTGAAGCAGGAGCATGCCCACCAAGCTCAAGCTTTTGGCTGCCCGTGCCTGCGCACGAACAAGTTAGGTAGCTGCCTACCCGCCTGCCTACCTAGGTGACTTACCTTACCATGAGGGCGTACCTTACGTGCCAGTTTGCGCACGCGGAGGAACCTTGGCAAGCGCAGTGACTGATGAGGATCTCGGACAAGGAAAGTACAACTTGAGGACCAAGGTTTGTTCAGGATACCTGATATCAACTACCCGCAACAATGTCCGTCTTTCTTCCCACAAATACTCCCGATACACAGACGCCTTTCACTTACGCAGAGTTCCTACGTAAAGAATTCGCCACTTGCTTAGGTTTGAAACCCAATCGATCATACGCCCTGGGTACTTACACTTCATGAGTGGATTGCGACTCTAGATCCCCCGAGTAGAATCATCGCCTTCGCAATAGCCGTTCGCAAGGGAAGCATCGAGCTTCCACAAACTTCGCCTGCGGACGTGTTAGTGCAGAGTTCGACAGGGCAGCAAACCCAACATTTTGTATCAACGTTTGCGATGGAACATACTCTCAAATGCAACGTTCTCAAGTGTCGCAGGGAGCTCAGTGACCAAGCTTTGGTCACCACGTGCAGGTGGGGAAAATGGATTCTGGAGAACAACATGACCGCTAGCTGACCGTTCTTGTGAGGTAGTCACGTCTTCTGTGTAGAATGTTCCAGGCGCCATGGCTTGACGGGTCAAGCTCCAGATCGCCGCAAACTGTGTCCGGCCTGCGAGTGCCAGCTCAACAACCCAGACGATGCCGTGGTAACCAATTTAAACCTGACCGAGGACTACAAGACAAGTGTTCTCAGCGGGTTGAGCCCCAACATCATCATGGAATGCACGGGAAGGGCCTTGAGCTTTTGGGCATACCAGACGACCCAAGAGGTGTAAGCTGGGGCCCTTCCAAATTATGTTCCAATAGGTTCCATGCAACTGACTTGCTTCAGTATATACCAGCGCTATCTGGAAAAGACACTTACGGAGAAGCTCAAAACCCTAAACAAAAAGTTCGAAAAGACAGTGGGTGACGCGAATACCGACATTCTAGGCCTTCAGGAAAAGATACGAGGTAGGGAGCTATGGCAGGGCCACTCTTTGAGGCCATAAGCAAGCTTGCTAACGTTGGGCAGCTCTTTCAGATGACTACGACGACATGCGACGGAAACACGAAGAGCTTGCGCACTCCTACCAGGACAAGTGCCGCAAGCTCACGCAAGTTCAGGAGCTCTACGACAAGGTCAAAAGAAAAGCCGAACTAGGCCAGATGGAGGCCGCCGCCTCCGATGCCGTTGACTCCAACCTCCAGTTTGGCGCACAGTTACCGGCTTTTAAGTTCCCTGAACCCGTAACGAGGCAAAACGTTTACGAACAGCGGTCGGATTCTGCATACCGTAATGCGCATCCCTACATCAGGCCGGACCGAGGGCATCAGCGAGGGCCTGCTGGCGGAGGAAGCTCTGGGGCATTACGGGAAGACAGAGTTTGGTCAAAGCCTGGGCCTGCGCAAGGTTAGCCCAATCCTGTCCTCATGCGATGAAGCTGCTTTCTGACGAACTGCGGAGGCGGCGTTGTGAGCACCCCCCGAGGCACACCCCGAGGACATGGTAGTGGCAGCGATGGCAGGTTCGGAATGTCGTTTGTGTCCGGGCGAGGTACCGGAACACCCGTACCTCGCGGTCCTTCTGGGAGTCTCTCACTTCCACGACATCCGCCAACTTCGCGTGGTCGCGGCCTAGGCGTTGGGCTCTCTTCCGGAATCAGGGCTGGTCACACCAGTCACGGAAGTCACGGATCCACGGGACGGAACGAGGCCGAACTACATTCTCAGGGTAATTTTCTCCAGCCTTGGCTTCTGGCTCCAGCCTCATCACGGCTGACGCTCAGAAATTGCAGTTCAACGTCCAGGCCTTGCTCCCGCAGCATTTAATCATATGCTCGATCCTTGACACAAGCGATGGCTGTGTGCTTCTTGAACAGATTCTTTGTTAACCAAGCGCATGTTTGGAGAGGACAATGAATGAAGAACATGCAATCAGGGCATGGAGGGCGGACGGCCTAGATCTTAAGCCTTGACAAACAAAACTCTTGTTCAGAGGCCTTGACAGGAGGCCCAGATGTTGTTCGAGGATGGATCACGAGTGGTGGCAGAAACAACGACCTTTGGGTACAAGGACGTGACTTATATTAGGGGCCACAACGACATCGATCTCACGTTTTGCAGTTGCTTTCCTTGGCAGTCAAGACTGCTGTGTGCGAACATTGTCTCTAGTCGAATTGAGTCGGTGAGCCCGCTAGCAAGAACTCAGTACGGTGTCATGTCACGATCCGGCCAAACGTGGTCTACCCAGAGACCCAGCCCAACAACGTGGTCAACGCGTGGAGGTGGACAGTGTTACAGTGGAACTGGCCAAGAAAGTCCAAAGACCATGCCGAAGAAACGGAAGACGCTGCAGAAACCCAAGAGACCTGGCGCCAAGAGCGACGAAAAGGATAAAAGGTTTGGCGTCAAATGGCTTCAAGCAGCAGCACATAAGTTGGTGCATTGGTGGCGACAGCGCAGAGGAGGACGCAACCTGGCAGAAAGGAGAGAGCGGCCTAGACTGACAATGTCGTCACCTGTGCATTTCATCAGCAATCAGACGGCCGGTGGCTACAGCGCAGTGCCTGTTCTCCCAGAGCCGGGATCTGTGGCGATCGACGCGAGCAAGCTGGGGCTACAATGGGAAGCATTGGGGGCTCATCCCATCTGGAGGACGGGTGAAAGCGAGGATGGGCGTTGACAGTGGGTGAATGGGAGCTACGGATGATGCGCGGCGGGAGGGGCGGATGTCATTCGCTGCAGCCCCGGATGGTGGCGTATGACGTTGGCGCTCAACATCGGCGCTCGGTGGTTTCAGATACCAAAGCGGGCGGGAAGAAGGACAAATGCAAGGACAGTTGATGATGCCGGGAGGGCAAACGGGATGTTGAGACGAAAGAAAGGCAATAAGATGGGAGGTTAACCAGAACGTTATAGGGTGGGGGGTGGGTCGGGAAGGTTGCGAGTTGCAAACAAGCAGCAGCAATAGGTATCGGATTTGAAAGCCTCACGGCAAGGGCTGAAGAACTTGGGTGGCAGCGGCTTGTCCGTTTCTCAGAGTTCCGGATGGCGTAGACATGGTGGCTTGGTCCCGACTTTGAAGCCAGGCATTTACGGAGTCGCCCATTTGTCGATGTGCTACTCCGTAGAATTTTGTTCTGTACGCTACGAAGGCGGGATTCTTGCAAGGCAGGGTTGAGAACCATCCAATCAATCCCGTTGAACGTCGAAAGGGAAAAAATAACAAAGGAAATGTAGAATCTATCCGAGGAGAGAACAGCCCAAAAAGATCAGCATATTTCCATGCCTCGGCCGCAAACCATGGGCGCGGTGAAGACATTGTGAATCTTGCGCAACCTCAACATCACGAGTGTGGTCGTGGGGGAAACCACAGTCGAGATTGGACACCGATTCCTATGATCGGACAAGAAGAGAGAAGAAAACAAGAAGTTACATTGTAGACCAAGATTGTGATAACAGACGGGGCAATCCTCGTCGTAATCGTTCCCAGACTGGTTACACTGGTTGCGTGACGGCATAGCTGGCTTACCTGCATGCCTTAGCACTGTATTGAAGCGCACTGTACCCTGCATCTGCAAGGATGGGGATACCGCAAAACATGGGGGATAAATATATCCCAGCAACTTGAATCGTAGCCAAGTGTGATGAGGTAAGGCACAGCCGCTGGAATCTCGAGTGAAGACGGTTGCAGAGAACCTTGGAAGCTTCTGCAACCAAGGTACACGCACAGTGTGCCCCGCAGCAGCGCCGTGGCATTCCCGTCTGGCCAATCTGACACGCCAAGTCAGGGGTCCAACCAGGTCCAGCGACAGGGGTTCCCTGAGGTTCCATATCGCCCATGCCGTCGCGGGCCCCACCACCCAATACAAAATGCACGGGCCAGAGGGAGGCGATGATTGCGAGTAAGGGACACCCTACCTTACCTTATTGCTATGGTACATTTGCGGCGCAGTGGACACTAGGTAGACAGTGGCGCTGGTGTGATCCCCAAGTTCCCTCGAGGCCTCTTTTCATTTTATTGATGCACGGCTGCCCTTTGGCCGAGGGAGAAGGAAGTGAGGGATAAAGTCGACCGGTTCCCTATGCAGCAAGGAACCGCTAGGTGATGATCAAGGGAGGGCACGCAGATAGCCAAGGTTCCGCGAGCGTTTCCGTCCAACCAGTGTGCCTATCGCAGAGTCAGGTTGTCCAGCAGGTATCCGTACCTACTAAGGTACGTAGTGGGCGACTATATATATCCGACATACTACAATCCAGAGAAGAGGCACGTTCCCTCGAGGGCACCAATCACGGCCATAAATCAGACGGTTACGTACTCCCTCGTTTGAAGTCAAGACCGGCGCAGGACGGATAGACGCAGCCAGACAGCTTGCCATCTTTCACTCCCGTCACATTACCACAAAAAGAAAAACAGTAAGGTATGAAAAGGTCGGATCAAAGACCACTCAGCCTGCAAGTAAGTACATAGGTACAGCAAGCACCCGACACAGTGTGCGGACTCGTGCTACCTTAGTCACCCGACTGCCATTGGCCATCCATTTTTTCGACGATAAGACATAGATAACAGAACAGCTTACAGTGCGTAATCTCTTGCCGAATGCAACCCTGTTGTTCTGCTACCCTGTCACCTCAGTAATCCCATTCCCGGGCCCAACACGAGCCACCCACCCCTGCTCCGTCTCCCGTCGTCGTCTCCGTTTGTCTGTTCACCCTACAGCGAGTGCGTCCGCATTCTGCGTCTGCGTCTCCATCCCTCCACTCCCGAGTCCTAGACCACGTCTCCAGACTTCCTCCTCCGTCCTTGGCCGCTTATGCCCCTGACGCAGGTAATCAATCGAGCAATCAATTGCCAACCTTCGTTCCCCAATCTCTCCTGCCAATCTCCAGGATGACCGACGCTCGCTTGAATCTATCTTAGACGATAAACTCTTTTTGAAATCAATTCTGCCGCTACGAGTACTCCCACATATGGGACTACCCTTTGTTTTTCAATCACACTTTTGGCCCATTCTCCTCCGCGAAAATCCTGCCTATCTTGCCGCGACGCCCGACGAATCTCGACTACGACCAGCCTTGTTGTCACCATTTCGAAAATCGTCGATCTCGGATGCCACCGTGTGAGCAAACCTCGTAAGAACGACTACCGATTTCTACCGATTTCATTCGAACAAAGGGAACGAGTCTCAAGGCGCTGTCTCGTCCTCGACAACTGACTTCTCTGCCATCGCCCCCCTTTGCGCTTGCTACGATACCACCACCCCTTCCCCCATCTACAGCCGACCTACAACCGCCACCTGCAGTTTGACTGCGCCAGCTGCTCCTCATGGGGAAAAAATGTACGCTCATAGAACATGTCGCGTCTTACATTGTGCTCTGCAGCTAGCTGACTTGAGTGCTCACTGAATAGGGCGATACGGAATCATCTTTGATGCTGGTTCCTCGGGGACACGTCTTTATGTCTACAAGTGGAAGGATCATGCGAAAGCCATTAAGCACGCCTCCGTGGAAGAGCTTCATAGTCTTCCTAAGATCAAGCTGCAGACCAGCGAAAAGATTCGCCCCGGCGTGTCCTCCTTCGCCGAGAAGCCCGAAGAAATTGGCCATGAACACCTACAATCTCTCATTAACATAGCCCTCAAGGAGGTTCCCGACAAGAAGGTTGCCGACACGCCCGTCTACCTCATGGCCACGGCTGGCATGCGTCTCCTGCCCGACCACCAACAAAAGGCCCTCCTCCGTAACATGTGCTCCTACCTACAACAAAATACGCGATTCTCGCTACCCGACTGCAATACCAATATCCAGGTCATCTCGGGCGAGACGGAGGGCTTATATGGCTGGCTCGCTACAAACTATCTGCTTGGCGGTTTTGACCACCCCGACAAGCATACGCACGGCAAAGGCCACCACACGTACGGCTTTCTGGATATGGGAGGTGCCTCGGCGCAGATTGCATTCGCACCGAACAGCACTGAGGCTGAGAGACATGCCGAAGACCTCAAGCTCGTCCGCTTGCGTACGATTGACGGCACCACTATCGAGCACAAGGTCTTCACCGCCACCTGGCTTGGCTACGGCGCAAACCAGGCTCGCGAACGTTATATCGATAAGCTCAAGGAACAATACGGCAAGCCCAACGACCTCGAGCTTCCGGACCCGTGCCTTCCCGCTGGCTTGAGAACCAACTTCAAAGGCGACCCCGTCGATGCCGAGTCTGTGGGCAAGGAACTGTCTCTGCTCGGCACTGGTCGATTCGACGAATGCCTACGCCAAACAGAGCCGCTCCTCGGAAAGGATACTCCCTGTACCGATGAGCCTTGCCTTCTCAATGGGCAGCATGTACCAAGTATCGACTTCGACGTGAATCACTTTGTGGGCGTTTCGGAGTTCTGGCACACAACTCACGGCGTTTTCGGAAAGGGCCACAAGACGGCGTATGACTTGGCAACGTATCAGAAAAACGTGGTGGACTTTTGCACGCAGAATTGGATGGATATTGAATCCAACATTGATGCTAGGAAGAAGTCCTCCGCCCAAAAGGCAAAGACCGCGCAGGAAGCCTGCTTCAAGGCTTCCTGGCTCATCAATGTTCTATACGAAGGAATCGGCATTCCGAGACCAGGCCTCGAACATACGCCGCACCCCGGTCTCAATGTCACGAAAGGAACCATGGAGGAAGCCAAGGAAAAGGGATTTGTTGACCCCTTCCAGCCAGTAAACGAGATTGATGGCGTCGAAGTCAGCTGGACCCTGGGCAAGATGGTGTTGTATGCCGCCGGGCAAGTCCCACCCACAGGAACTGCCCTGCCGGTTGGCTTTGGAAGCAACGTTGCCGGCGCGACAGACTTTGAACCTGCGGGATCCAAGTTTTCCCCCATTGCGATCGGCGGTAATGACGACGACGACGACTGGGACGACGCCGCTGACGAACTCCTGGACAAGGCGAAGACAAAATCAGGCTCTGGTGTCCTGGCATTCATCCTGATTTTGGCTATTCTCGCATTTTTCTTGCGCAAGCGAGACCGCCGAGCACGATGGTTTGGCAAGGTTGCGTCCGCCGTACGAGGCACCAGGCGTCCGGGCAGTCCTCGAAAGTTCGGGCGCGGTTTCTCTTTTACCAACAAGCTTTTCGGACGGTCATCGGCGACTTATGAACGAGTTCTCGAGGAGGGCGATGCCGATCAGTTCGAGCTCGGTTCCGTCGATTCCGACGAGAATGAGCACTCCGATAGCAGCGAGGGCTCCAGAGCAGGTCGTTCTTCCGGCCTTGCCACACCGAAACTCAACATAGAGCGATTCGACGACGTTCGACCAGCCTTTTCAATGGACCGTGGCGGCTTGGCGGTGAGAACAGAGAGCCGAGAGAGGCTGGTACCGAGCCTAGTGAATGCGGGACGTCGCAGTCGCGCTGGTAGTCCAACACGACTGAAGAGCCCGCTGATGAAACCTTTGGACGAGGATTGAGTAACAGATGCCTGCTATACGCAGTGTAAGATTATGCATGCCTGCCAGCGACTTGACGGGGAATTGTTTGGTTGTTTCATTCTTGTTCATTCTTACGGAGAGGGCGTTTATTAGGCATTATGGATTTGCCCAGCATCAAGCCCCATGGGCTTTTCGGAATGGAGGCGGTTTGGCGTTTAACCATATGGGAGTGTTACGGGCCGCTCTAGAAGAGATCATTTTTGGGAGGCATTGCATGGCATTGAGCTGTCGCAGATTTGTTTGTCCCTTTTCAGGGTTGGGTGTGTACAACGCCGAATCGCCAGTCCTTTCCAGACCATTTTTGAACATATTACAATGAAAACTAGACCGCTTGTGTCTATGTGTCTTGAACAGAAGCACAATGAAAACATTTATTCGGGTATCAACGAGGAATACTACTACTACTACTACTACTACTATGCAAATAAGAAAATGTCAGTAAATGGTCTCAATCTTGCGGCCTTTCGAGGAAACTCGGATCGGACCGCACGCGACTCTCAAACTTTTTCCACCACTCTTCAAACGCCTTCAGCGGGACCACCTCGACGCCCCCAGGGCCGGCCGTGCCACTGAAGCTTGCGAGGAAGTTGAAGGCGTTTTTGATAATGTTCTGCGCCAAAAGCTGCGTGGATGGCTGCGACGCGGCTCGTGGGTTGGAGGCCTTGTTGGCGGAGAGCTCTTGTATGCGGGAGAAGACAGACTCGGCGGGTTCGACCGAGACGCCAATCATGACGCTACCGGCGTTGGGGTCACCGCTGTTGTTGGCATTGCCGGCGTTGAGTTTGAAGGTGGCACTTTCTTTGCCGGTCCCTATACCGCCGAGGAACTTAAAGTTTGGTGTCTGGCCTGTTGCGGTTGCAGCGGCAACGTCGGCAGCCGTTGCGAAGTAGATGGCGGCTGCGGTCTCTGGCGGTAGGACGATGCCGGGGAGGAGCATGACCGTGATGTGGGAGAAGGGTCTGGAGGCAGATATGGAGTAGAGAAATGAGGTTCCCGAGGGCGCCGATGTTGGGTCCGTCAGCAGAGGCTGGCCGGCAGGGACGATGCCGAAGAGAGGGCCGGACATGATGATGTTGGCCGGATTTCGAGTAGACTGAATGACCAGGATGACCAATCTGATTCGCAAAGGCTGCGTGATCACTGTAAAGGACCTCTCGCAAGCAACTTCAGCAGTGTGGGCGGCCTTTGAATGCGGTATATCTTGAAGGTCTTGAAGGGCTGAATGAAAGAAGGTGGTTTCTTGTTTTGGGAGTCTTGGAGCCAAATTGCTTGTTGACTTCACAACCAGAGAGGTAAATTGAAAGGGGAGGGAGCACTGATATAACTATGTATGAGGGAGAGATTCGTGGAGCAAAGTTAAACTGCCCTGTCCAGCCTTCGGAGACTCTGGTAGAGATCGAGGCTGGCAATGAATCGAGAAGCAAGAGGTAAAGTAAAGTACAATTATTGTCGCTTTGCAGTGTGGGGCGAGGGGCAGCTGCATTGTGGAGGAAGGCACGAGATGGTGGGAGAAGCCTCGATTGCACTAGCCAATCATATGCTTGTATCGGATCCGCTACTCCCAGTTGATGAATGCACTTGCCGGCGAGAAGTTCGACTCGGCCCCGAGCTCCAGGGTTTCGGTGCTGGTTCCCTATGTCGAACACACGTCACTTCTGGCATCGGGGTCAGACTTACATGCATATCGACGTCGTTTCGGGGTCGGCAGGACAGAAGCCATCGTGACAAGCTCACTTGCTCAAACAAGCAACAGGCTCTGCCTCGCATCTTTTGAAGCACCCAATAACATATGCTACGGTCTTTATTCTTTCCCGGCCGCATTATCATTCAGTTGATTCCCAAAACAGCCAAAGGAACATACTTTGACAGGATGAAGACCTTGACCAACATTGACCTCATCGACCAAGTCGACTCGTGAGGAACACTCTCCCATTGAGCAAACTCTCTCTACAGTAAACCCCGCAGCTGACCCACGATGCAGGTATCCGTACAAGGAGAAGGGCAACGCACCCCATGCTGAGACTTTTGGGTCTGTGTACACCCTCATCTGGAAAGACGAACAGGGCGACGTGCCTCTCGGCTATGTCCTGCCCAGGGTAGTGGACGAGCTGCTCAAGGTACCTGACAGCATCAAGGGGGAAGTCCAAGTCGACTCGGAGAGGCGCACTCTTTGTGCCTTCCAAGCGCCAACGTTAGAAAGCCGCAGCAAGCTGGCAGCAGATCTCTCCGATTACTGGAGAGCCAATGACACCTTTCCCATCCTCCGAGGTTGGCGCGACGAGCTATGGCCCGTGTACGGCCGCAATGGCGAACTCCTCTTCGACATTGAAAGAGCCGCTTCAGGGCTGTTTGGCGTCATGAGATATGGCGTTCACCTGACGGCCTTCGTGCGTGACCATTCAGCGAGCCACGGCATCAAGATCTGGGTTCCGCGTCGCTCTCCCACCAAGTCGACCTTCCCCGGCATGCTGGACAATACCGTTGCCGGTGGACTGATGACGGGAGAAGACCCCTTTGAGTGTGTTATCCGTGAGGCAGACGAGGAGGCCAGCCTGCCGGACCAAATAGTTCGCCAGCAGACCCAGTTCGTTGGCGGCGTCACGTACATTTACATCACCGAAGCAGAGGCGGGCGAGGAGGGGCTGATCTATCCCGAAGTTCAATGGATTTATGATCTCGAACTACCCGAAGACGTCGTGCCACAGCCAAAGGACGGCGAAGTTGCCGACTTCAGCCTGTGTACGGTCGAACAGGTCCGCGAAGGACTCGCACGAGGTGAATGGAAGCCAAACTGTGCGCTGGTAGCTCTCGACTTTTTTATCCGCCAGGGCATTCTGACCAGAGAGAACGAACCCCAGTACGATCAGATTGTGCAAAGAATCCACCGACGAATGCCGTTTCCTGGTCCGCACAATCAAGATCCGTCTCTTGGGGCTATTGATGGTTGAGCCGGGTAAAGTTCCGAGATCCGGGGGACATCACGAGCAACCTAGCTTGCTCTTTCAATTTTTTTTCCTGACGCCTTTAACTCCGCTGCCCATGCTCTTTCTGTCTTGGACCATACAGCATCTGTAGAGCCTAGATAGTGCTTCGCTTTCCTGCGCGCCAGAATAGAGCGAATTAGCGTTGATAATCACCCATCGCGGGCAGTTCCAGCGTCTTTGATCATTTCTTGATGAGAAGGTAGACGTAGTCGACTCTCAGCGGGGTGAGCTTCTTGTAAGGACCTTCGAGGGACATCAATAGGCCGCCGAATGAGACGTAGGCCTTGCTATAATGGCATTGTCGTCAGCTTCTACACAGCGCTTTCGAAATAACTCAGTGAGGAAATACGAACATAGTTTGGCCGTCGTCAGCATCCTCAAACTTGTAGATCTTCCCGTAGCAGACATAGTCAAACATATCGGCCAATGACGGCTCGCGATCTTGGCTGCCCTTGGTCACGTCCCGCCAGCCCTTCTCGTCGTCCTTACTGCCATCGTGGGCCAGGGACGTCGCCAGAACCACGTGCAGGCTGTCGGAAACGGAAGCAGGGAAAAGCTCAATATTGATGTCGAGGGTCATTAGCGTCTGGTTGTCGGTCGAGGTGGCCGAAATACGGGCGACTCTGTCATATTTGGACTGATCATGGTTGGTGATTGTGAAGGACTCCTCAAAAAGGGTCACATCGCCGCTGCCGGACATTGTTTCCGTCGAATCCGGGTCGCTTCTCCAAGATGGACGGTATGAGTGGTTCGCAGGAATGTCGTCGGGTCGTGTGAGAGAAGTACAAGAATCTTCCGGCTGGAGGCGCAAAGGCTTAGAGATCGTGGGCAATGGCAGGCGGATTTCTAGATGCGGCGTGTGGAGCTCCGTTAGGGAAGGGGAAAAAAAAGTCGAAGAGCGATTGAGTTAGCCGATGTAGTATGCATTCCGACGAGGGGCATATCGGGTTAAGAGTCATAGGTACTTGAATACCTCGACTGCGACTGGCGGGGCTCAAATTTTTGTCAGTGCAGCAGTCACCCCACCTGCCCTCTTCAGAGGATGAAGTGTAGTTACGGTACGGACACCTACTTCAGCTTACCTCACTTGAGGTGCCTGACAGCACCTATAGTACCGTACTGTAAGGTTCCTTAGGTAGGTACTCGAGCGAAGCAAGTTCCACTTTCCATAAAGTACAGGTGAGTAATTTATCTTGACGCCAGAAGCATGATATGCATTTATATCATCCATAGGCTGCCACTGAATTCAGACCGAAATCGCATACACGTTCGTAAGGATCTCGTGTATCTTGGGGCAATTTCTTCCTGGCACACGGGCGGGCACACGAACCAAACAACTTCCAAAATTCAATCCCTCCTCAGCACTACGACTAGGTTTCTCACACAGAATTGGCTGCGGACCGTGACTCAGTGTGTCAAGCACACCTCCCGCTCCGGTACCATGTCGTTCAGGAAGAAGAATGTCGTTCTTGGGTCATCCGCAAGGGGTCCTCTAGGTGTGCATATGGCTCCAAAGCAGGAAGCTCTGCCACCGGTGGGGACTCGTTCATCCCCCCTCGACGGCCGACCTACAATTTCTACTGGAACGGCATCTTTGGATCAGCTTTTGGCAGGGCACGCAGGATTACCACTTGGCTTCAGTATTCTAATAGAAGAATCCGGGACGACAGACTTCTCGGGTGTACTTCTCAGATACTATGCCGCCGAGGGTCTCGTACAGGGCCAACAAATACACGTGCTTGGCCCGACAGATGCGTGGAGAGGTGAGCTTCCAGGACTTGGCAAAGTCAGTGGCTCAAGCACAAGAAAATCGGCATCAGTATCAGACGAGAAGATGAAAATTGCATGGAGATATGAGAGCCTTGGCAACAATGCCGGCCCAAGTACGTTCCCCCCTTTCCCCGTTTGGAAAAAGGCATGGCCCCGGACACTGACTTGCGATGATCAATTCTTCAGGGACGAACAACAATGGGCCAGCAGGTACTACTGACGTTTTCTGTCACTCCTTTGACCTCGGAAAACGCCTGCAAGCTAGTGACATCAAGGGCGTACTACACGCAACACCATCCACTGCTGCCATGAGCTGGCTTCAGCCCTCAGGACCTACCAGCTCTTCCCCATTCGACACGTTTATTAGCAACGTATCGGCGAAGCTGAAGGCATTGCCACCCGGTACGATTCATCGCATTATAGTACCGAGCCTTCTGTCGCCCGCACTTTACGGTTCCTCGTTCTGCCGGCCGGCGGATGCCCTGCAGTTCTTACATAAACTGAGAGCACTTTTGCGTCAGCACGAAGGGAGTCTGACAGCCATGATCTCGATTTCAACTTCGTTGTTCCCGCGGTCGACAGGGTTTACAAGATGGATGGAGCTCCTGTGCGATGGAGTGCTGGAGATGCTGCCGCTGCCTAGGAAAGTGCACGTTGAGCCGAATACTAAATCGGAAGACGTCGTGCAAGGTATGCTGAAGGTGCATAGCCTACCTGTTTACCACGAGAGAGGAGGAGGTATAGAGGGCCAGTCTTCACGGGAAAACCTTTCCTTTAGGATGAGCAGCTCAAGTGGGCTCATAGTCAAGCCTTACGTTCTGCCGCCTCTGTTGGACGAAGAGGGAGGGGGCCAAGGAGCCAAGGCCGAGGGGAAGAAGGGGAAAAAGCTTGAATTCTGAATACACAAAGCAATGCATCACTGGTTGAGACCAATGCAACATGTCCAAGACCATCAGAAGGTGCCCCGACTGCACGAAGGCTCACCCTAACCGAGTAATAATGGTTGTACGACGCAATGTATGCAGGCCCGGAGCCTTCAGAGTATTCGTAATATGTTAAAAGTAAGGTAAATGGGCTGCTGCAACTTTCAGGTTCACAAGCATCACTCGCAGCCAATGTGACGTTGAAGTGGGTAAACGCACAGCCACAGCGCCACGCTATCCTGGCGTGCCTGGTAGGCGCACCGTGCCTAAAATACGGGAGGCTCCCGGTTCTGCCTCACCGCCCTGCTCCACCACTATGGGCTCCATAAACTTCAATCCTACGAAATTTTCTGTCTGAACTGCTTTTTTGACTACGACAACCACACAATCAGGGTAAGTCTATGGATCTCCTCCCGTCCCCCACCCAAAGCTCAATGATTAAACAACCTAATCTCAATCAATCTGTCAATCCACTGACTCCCTGTGACGATACTATCATTTTAACGAGATATGATTATGTGGCTTCAGCACTGTTCTAAGCGTTTTTCATTTGTGTTCATCAGCAGTTGCTAATCTTCTTCACTTAGGAAAAGAAAACAAGGCTGACAAAGAGGTCTGCGGCGAAAATCATGGCAGCGTTGGAAGATACTTCGGTCCCTCTCGTGCGCATCTCCAAAATTGCAGATCGCTACCTAGTCTTCGATGCACAAGATGTGGCCATCATCAGGCGCAGTCACAACATCTGTTCCGTTCTGGTGGGAACAACCCCGCAGAACCCAACACAAAACGTGTTCTTGAGTTTACCGCTGGAATTGCTTCCCGAGGAGGCTAGCGTGCTTGTCGAGAAGAAGGTAGGCCGCCTTGTTGAAGAGGCTCCGCATCACCTGTCATCACTACGTTCCCCGGACAAGGGCACCCGCCAGGCCTACATTGCACTTTTGAAAGAACGTCGGCACAAGGCGCAGAAGCTGCTAGCAGAAGACCAGGCCAAAAAGGCAGCCACGGAACAGACGCGGAGGGCAAAGGGCGCTAAATCGTCTACGGCTCAACCGATAACCAGTTCTCAGTTGGAGAATTCTCAGTCTGGAACTGCTGTCCCAGATAGAGATAGGGGGTCTGAATTCCGCGATGGCGTAGATGTCAAGCCATCCTTAGCGGTCACGCCGACCACCAGCGAAGGTCTATTGGCACCCTCGGACGAGGTTGATGCAGCAGTGTCTCAACCCCTTCCTGATCCGTTGCATCGGCACTTACAGTCTAGAGGATACTTCATGACCCCCGGCCTGCGTTTCGGCGCCAACTACAGTGTATATCCAGGTGACCCGCTGCGATATCACGCTCACTTCCTCGCCACAAGCTACGAGTGGGACGAGAAAATACCAATGCTTGACATTGTTGGCAGTGGTCGTCTAGGTACATCGGTCAAAAAGGGCTTTCTGTTTGGCGGAGAGGTCCCTGATATGAATGGTGATACCAAGCAAGTGCGCGCATTTTGCGTTGAATGGGCAGGAATGTGAACTGGAATTTGGGCCACACCCCTGAACAACGCTAAGCCTAGATAACCTGTTCAATACCAACAAGATACCCTTATGTAGTGTACCTAGTAAAAAGACCGTGCTACAAACCATCCCAAACGCCAAACTTTCTCTCTGTGTTCTGAATTCGTATCGCCATGAGCCCAAGCGTCAACGGAGTACAGGTGGCCGTCTCGAGGTCGTTCCTAGGGGACGTAGATCCTACTGAAGCTAATGACCTCCCGACGACAGCAAACGCACTTGTCAAAATTGTTCATAGCGAGAGAGACTCGACAGTCGTCGCAAAGGCTCAGGCAACGGCAGGGCCAAACGATAATAGTGCGAGGAGAACTCTGGCAGACGACACATTGCGGGCCCTCCGGACCCAGACCAGCCGCTCCTTCTGCCCACGTCGATGCTCCGCGATCCACAGAACTCGAGAACTCGGACCGGCGGGAGAGCAGTAGCTGCTCCAAACGTTGAGTTTCTTCGTCTGGTGTCATCTTGATCGGCCGCGTCGTGATGTGATTAGAGTGCCCATTTGGCTGCAGTATCCGCGTTCGCTGTAGCTGCCGTGACCTGAGATACTGAGATCGGGTCACAATTCTGTCACTACTCAGATGAGCAGCCAACGCATGTGCTTCTTCTCTCTCTTCGGGATTGCTTGGGTGCAGCAGGCGTGCCAGATCTGAAAGCTGCAATAAATCCTCAGTGACTGGTGTGGGCTCCCGTGAAGCCCATGATCTAGACTGCGTGGGCGTTATCTGCCCAGCGTCTTCCGACTCCCACTCGCTGTCGCCGTTGGTGCTGAAGGACACGACACTCGTTGTATCGTCATCATCGCCTGCTGCCGCTGGTTGATACTCCCCACTATTGTCTGCCGAACCCCACCATCCGCCCTTCAGCCACCATCCGTAAAGTTTTAAATCTAGGTCGGCCTCGTCGACGGGAGCCCACCTTTGGCCTCCCCTCCACCCTTGCTGTCTGAACTCGGACTCCACGTCGACGCTATCAGTCAGTGGAATGTTCATAGTTGACTCGGCAGGGTGTGCAGGTGCTTGCGAACGACCGACACTGTCTCTCGGATTCGAGTTTCTCAAGTCACTGGCAGCTTTTGGCCGGCGAACAATCCAAAGAAGAAACCTCGGGTGCCGCAAACCAATCTTGGAAAGTATTTTCAGCATGGTGGTCGCCCACGTTCGGAAAATCAGTCTGTTGATGTTCATGATGAAGTCCAGTGCCATCAACCATCGGCCACTTCGCTCCGCGGCGCCGACGCCATCTCTTAGTCTTCGCTCCCCAGACCGGGATTTGGGAACCTTTTGAGCCGCCCGCTCGCGAGCATATCCACTGTTGGACAACATGTGGTCATCCTTGACTGGCACCAGACCAATGGTGCCTATAGTATCATAGTGAGAATCGGGGGGGCCCGTTCCGATCCACTGATTTCGTAATACCTCAAGCTCACGGTACCTCTCCTCCTCCAACCACGTGTGCGGTCGCATCGTGACGTCTCTGTCTTCGTTCAGGTAGACGGCTTCGCTTGCCATGGTAATGGCCCCAAAGCCGGTTCGAAGCAAAGCCGTATAGAAGTCCATTTCCATGGTAATCCGAATGTCGGAAAGAGAAAGGTTGGCTTGCATGTTGGCGTGAGCTTGGGTCAGCCGCTCGCGAAGGCTGAGCCTCTGTCCTGCCTGTCCCTCTGTCGGAGTGATAGCAGCCAGGCCGAGGGCCAGCAAGTAGATGAAAAAACACACCAGAATGCCACCTAGCACAAGAACGTGGGGTATGAAGCCAATGATGCAGACCGTCGGGAATCTGAGCAGCCCTTGCTTCGCAGGGTCGTCCAAGGAGAACGTGATGGCACTCCAAAGAATGCTTGCCATAAAACATAAGCCCCAGAATCCGGTGCTGACGAGTCGAAACCTGGCTTGCAAGTTGAATATGCCCAACATGTGGCTGGTGATGTGGCTCATGGTTGAAAGAAAGGCAACGAGCAAGACCTCGGGTGACGTATTCACCCTTCTAAGAATCATGGACCGGCTGATAGCGATGCTGGTAGCGCTCGTCGAAGCGGCATCTGCCGCTTGGGATTGGGTAAACAGGCCCCAGCCGAGTTGGTTGCTAATGGCAGCATCCGCCTCGGCAAAGGCAAGGGAGTGCTCAAAAAGGGTCATACCCGTCTCCGCTGATACGGGGCGGCCCTGTACAGCACATGAGACCGTCTCCAAGAATTGACTAAAACAAAACGTTCCGAATAGCGGCCACAGCAGAGACAGAGACCCCCTCATGTCCGGCGTCGCGTCTTTAGTACCTGCTGGGACCATGCCCACAGCCGTACAGGACGCCTCGTCTGAAGCCCCCAGCAACAGTGCTGAACTCATTGTATGGAGGAGACCGCCAGCTTGTGAGAACATGAGCTCAGAGCTCTTGCTTGTATTTCCCCAGCGCATTTCGGCGAAGTCGGGAGATGTTTGGCACTGGATTGATCGCAGCAGACCGCGCGCTTGCACCAAGAATAGAAGAACGGGAAGGCCGCGCAAGGCCAGTCGAGTCGGGAGAGTAAGATGTAAGCGTCGACGAGTAGCTGCGAAGATGTGTGTGCGGTTGAGGACGATTGCCATGGCAATACAGCAAAGCGCCCACTTGCTCGTTGCATAGCTAAAGACGCTGCCCAGCCCTCTTGCGCCCTCCATGGTGAATTTTGGAGAGACCAAGCCAGCATCTGGATCAGCCGGAACAGCAGGACCAGGCCCATGAAAGTTGCCCATGGGAGGAGGGATATTCATGGTGAAAGCAGCGGTGGTAGCTGCGTCGGTAGTGCGCAGGATACCGGGCCATGTTGCTTCAGGAATTACTCTCTGGCCTAGAGCATCAAGGGAGTCGGGAAATGGAAAATATGCCGTCAGCTTTCGTACCATCCTCGGGCCAGCCCATAACAGATCCTCGATGGAAGGAGTGAGTTTGGTAATGTTCACGGCGTATTGAACTTGGTGAGCAGTCCACAGTGAGAGATCCTGCCAAACCCCTGTATTTTCCAGAGAATCAGGTAGAGGTAGAAGCGGATTGTCCATGGTCAGCAGGAGAGTGTTCGTGTTAGAACCGGGTTGTGAGGAAGGTAGCGGCAGCAGCCTTATCGCTCGGGGCGGCTGGGAATGTCGCGATTCGGATCATGGGCAGTGGAGTCGAATGCGACAGAACATGGTGCGGACAGAGGGCACGAGGAGGTGTTCGGCCGAGGGAGCCGCAAATGGCTGAGTGTAGTTGATGGCAGAAACGGTCGTCGGCTCGGGAGGTGATTGTCGATGATATCTCGCTGACGATCGAGGACCAAGGTCGGTCGAAGATGGATACGGACGGAAGCTCGGATGGGATGGAGTGGAGGGATGTTGTCGCGTGCGAAGCTCATTGATCGCTCACTCCACTTCTTAGCGCCTTTCTCTGACGGACAACAGCAAGAGCACCGAGAAGCTGGAAGCCGGGGTCCGACACGACTGCTTACGAGACTCGGCTAGGGGCCTCTGAGCGCGCTGCCGAGGTTGGGGTAAAGTGGGTATTGGGCAGGCATCCATCCCGTTAGGTACATTATCAAGGGATCTGAGGTGAGGTAAGGTACCTATTGGCACTGAATTAGCATTGCTTGAGCTTCTTTCCATGTAGGTCACTTGGCAGAGCAGGATACTCGCACTGAAACGAACACGAACAATACCGGGCAAGACTGAATCTTTCCCCAAAATAGAGAAGGTGGTTGCCAAGCCGAGTAAGTCCTGAAACCACTGAAAATACCATACGCATAGATACCTAGGTTCACAAAGGTACCTACCTGTCCAGGTAGGAGGTACCCTGCTTGGTTCTCATCGTTGGTTGTGTATTTGGGCTTCTTTTTTGACTTTGCCAACAAGGGAGTGAGACAATAATTGAGGTTCATATTCAAGTTGTGCACGTCGCTGTTATATCCGTCAGTCTCAATTTTTCTTCTTTAGAAAAAAATCCGAACATTTGAGGGGCGTTTTGAGGGGCTTTTAGTATGGTCACCATCGTACTCATTGCCAAATTGCGTTGGTTTAATTGGCCAGCAAAGCATGCATGACTCCTAGGCAGCTTCATTGGACTCGTTTTTGATGCTACGTTGAGAACACTGGGGATAAAGTCACCACCATAGTGCCATGATGAGAAGATGAACTGTACAGCATTCACGACCTGCTTGCTCATTTCTCATACTTTGTGGCCAGGAAGGTTTCACTGCCTTCCAGTCCGTCATCGAACAGACCTCTGTAAGTGTCTATAGCTTGTCTGTCATCCCTCGTCTATCGAAGCTCCTGTGATTTCTCCATACAGGGGGCTGATGTATTCTGCCAAGCTGGACACAATGCCTACTATAACAGGATGGTCTCGATAGAGTCAGCCTCCTATGAGATAGGGCCGCGCTGATGCATTGTAACATACTTTACAGTTCCTGGAATCAAGGGCGCCTTGGGACTTTGATCGGCCCCTCCTCGAGGGTGTGACAACAGCGCGTCGCCAAGCTTGGGATGTGTTTCCTGTTAGGTAGTTCACCGTGATTTGGTTGTTTAACTGCTGGGCGGTTGGTTGCTTTCGAGTCTCTCGAGGACGGCGCGATAGTTGCCCTTCGAAGCTTGGATAGCACGACTGATGAGTTTGGTATGGAGTAAAGGGTCCAACGGCGAGAGCTGGCCCTTCACCCAGAGGTTGGTGATCTCGGCGCGACAGGGGAGATAAGCAACACAGCAAGCAGCTAGTATCTTGTCATGTTCCAGAGAGACTGGGTCCAATACAACAGATAGCGAATCCGCATCTCTTGTGTCTTGTTCATTTGAGGCGACAAGAGCCGCAACACCGCCGGTAACCATGTCAACACAATCGATGCCAGCATCGGCGAGAGCTGCCGCGGCAACGGTGATACAACCACCGAGGACGTTCATCATGTCCCACTCTTCATTGCCTTGAGAATGAGACGCTTCTCGCTCCTGGTCGCCCTCGATAATGGTGACAATCACGTCGACGCCGCTCTTTGGCCATCGGTCCGCAATGACGACTCCGCGCAGGGCCGTGTCGAGGTGAACGCTAAGATCCCTTTCACTCGAGTCTCGAAGGTAGCCTCGACGTCGACGTGTAGCGAAAGGAGCGTATTTGACGTGAGTTGAGAGCACCAAGTAAGGCGAGAAGGGCGCAGATCGAGGAAGTGAGCGAGGCCCGTGGACTGTGCAAATGAGCTTCATGCCATTCATCTTTGACTGAGAAGTGGCCTGAGATTTAAGCGGCGGCTCGATCTCCATGTATGCTGAGCCTGAGGCTGTAGGGGTGACGCCGGTCTTGAGAACTTGTCATTGTCAGCATCATCAAATACCAATAACACAAGAAGGACAAACTAACACAAGCCTCGAATACCATTTGCCGGCCTTAACCTAGGGGTCGCAATCGGATCCGTAGTCTCGTAGACTGGCGGTAATGTTGTACCAGGTGGTCCATTTATTCTCCGTCGATCAGCCATTTTGGTATGAACTGTGTTTCTTGATCGCGAGTGGTAGAGAAGACGGTTCGGTAGGTTCTTTTGTCGACAGGACAGTTTTTGTTGAAGGAGGACGTGCTCTCCCGTTATATGTGTATGATTGATGAACACCTGATCCTGCTTGTCTGAGTTGAGAGCCTTGCCCGGTTGCGAGTTCTCAAGATGAGATCTGAGGTGAATTTTCGTTACTGGCTGTCGAGGTGCGGCTACCATACCCGCTTAGTTGCATTTGCGCGTCGGCACTGGCTCCACACAGCCAAGTGGAGACATCTCATTATGCCATATAAAGGTCGAATACTTCAAGCCGAAATTTTTTACGGCACTCTTTCCCTTCATCAATCTCAACCACCATCCTTCGCAAACGCGATAATTGTGCACTGGCAGCCAAAATGGGCTCCTCCCGCAAGGGAAGCAGCAAGATTATTTTACTTGGTAAGTTTTGTAGCCTCCTTCACTGTCGTCTCCCACTCTCATGATGTACATCTTACACACCGTTCCCGCGATCTCCTGAGCGCAAGAACAAACATGCATCACCATCTGATCCTCCACCTCTTGGGACGTTGAGCACAATCTCTCGAAATCCTTTGGAGATAAATACTGACTTGGGTTCAAGGACACTAAATCAAGTCGAAAAATCTCGTCGCATTGTCGTTGCGTCTACACTGGTTGGGTAAGTCGATTTTACTCGTCCTCTTTTGCCGCCTACCTTGCACACCGTCGACTATGATGAACAACCTTTTCATTCAGTTCTGCTACTGAACACTGTGATGATACCCATTTACCAAAAAAATTTGTCTGACACGACGTTGAATTTCCTCTTCTGCTACTGTTCGATATGTCGAGTCAATTAGCTAACAGAGACTGTCCCACAGCAGGCAAGCAATCTAATCTGAACGGCAGGTCGTGAGCTGTGCTCTCGAGATGGGCCCACCCTGTAGCACTCAGGTATGATTTTTCTTCACTCTCGACTTTCTGCCCCCGCGTTTGCTGCTCTGGCTTCTGCCAAGTCGCACGCAACATCATGATGACCATAGCTTATCCATTCAACTATGTCATGCCAGCCGAGTCATCCTCCCGCACTGGAGCTTCTCTTCGCGGGGAGCGAGGAAGGTGGTGGAGTTGGCTCCCTCGGGAGTCGTCATTTGATTTCAGTGCCGAGCTTCTCGGTTCCTCGTTCTGAGGTTCAGGGTTCGCAAGGCCGGCTTGGCTGAATGAGTACAACCGGCTTGTCTGATCCGATGCCACGATCACCTTTTTATAAGCAACTTTTGCGTGCGGATCACTTTTGCTAATGATGGCCACATAGGATTCGTTTGTGTCTTGACTGCCTTGCCTCCATAACGTGCTGTCGTCCTTTTATGCCTACCTCTCGTGATGATCTCCAATGTGAAAAGCCTTTTGTATTTGCGGTGTTCATGAGAGAATGACGTCTTAACATCGCACGCCTCCTACACTCACTCCCGGCTACAATGGGTTGTATTAGGCCAGGTGATAAGATGCTGCGGCTGTTGCTCGCTCGTGGCCTCAGGTTCTGGCGTCACAGGTACCCATCGCCGTATTCAGCCTCCCTTGGTAAGGTGCCAAAGCAGAACAGGTCAGGGCGGGTGTTTCGTGGTACCCCTGATATCTTGAAATCCAGCTTTCTCAGTACGGGTAGGTCTCACAGATTTGGAACGCTACCTCTCATTCTGAGCCCAATGGCCCGCATGACTGGCAAGGCCCTTACGCGCTGCACTGTGTATGGCGAATTAGGCGATTGAAATGCCGCCTCAAGGAAGCTTAGTAAGGTTGGCATGATGGGCCAATTGAATATCTCAGAGCTGGTGGCAGGCGGCGTGTAGCCTTCACGTTAATGACCCTACCCATGTCATTCCTCATGAACTTCTTTGATGAGTTGCGACCTCTCAGCTCCGCCTATGGTAGTCTGGCTCAGCGCTGGGTTTAGTAGACACAGCAGATGATAATGTCATTCAAAATAGCTACCGTACACTCGTTCGTGTCTCGATTGGTATAAACATATGAGCGCTGCATCTTACATATATCTACCTGAGGTAATACATTGGTTCTTAGCAAGCCTCTGCGTTGGGAGCGTGAGCGTGGACGGAAGGGAGAGGTTTGACTGTCCCTCGAGATAGGCAAGTGCACCTACAACATGTCTGTTGGTTATGCGGCCAGTTGGGGGGGATTCGACTACCTTAGCTCAAAAGGCAAGGTAAGGTAAGGTAAGGTAGCTTGCTCCCTCGCAGCTTGAGGTGATAGACTTTGTTAGGCTGGTATGAGCGAGGGAGGCTTCTACCACTAACTTTCGTCCAATCATATTGCAGGCTGTTCACTGCATACCGTCTCTCCCGCCCTGCCTCTAGCAGTTGGACACGTTAAGCGTATGCCATGCCCTTAATAAGGTACAGATCTCAGACAGCGGAGAGCAAGGGTGCGGGTACCCGGCAAGCTGCCCTGTCGCAGCTGGGCTGTCAAGTACCCTTTCCCTTGCTTTCCAACCTGGGATGACAGAGAGGCAATCTGGAAATAAAATAATACATAGCCAAAGTTGGCGTCCTGTTTCAGTCCGACTCCCAATCCTAGTCGGTATCCCATCCACGCTTCCCTATACTAACCTTGCCCATCCCATACCCTTCGCTCTACGCATTGTCATCAGCCATCGCGTTCGCGGCCTCTTCAACTTTCGACAACTTGACACGTTGGCTGCCCGAACCGCACTTTCCTGTCACCCGACCGCAGCACTCGTCTCGCTTGGGTTTAGATGCTCTCCTTTGCTTAACATTCACAACTCCCAAGGGCTGGGCGAGGTGCTTCATCGCCGTTCCAACTCTACACCCTAAGCTCGGGACCGTGAATTGGACTTCCACCCAGTGCCCTGGATGTTGCCGTCTTATTCATCTTCAGCCACTTCCAAGGTGGTGCCACGGCATCATGCGAGTGGCTATTCCAATGGATATCCAAGGGGGAACACGTTCGAGATCTCTCCCCATAGGTTAGGAGGACACCTTTGCACTCTTCTCGTTGACTATTACCATTCATTTGCGCTGCGCTCCGCTGACCTCTGATTCTCTTCTCAACAGATACCAACCACGAGCCTCAACACCCGCGAATCGTCGTCGGCAGCGCCTGCTGACCCGTATCGTCATCGTTGCCACCGTTGCCATCTTCTTTCTCGTCTTCATCTGGCCTGGAGCCTCCCTGGCTTCCATCTTCTCCCTCGGCCTGCTGTCCGCCAGCAACGAATTACAATTGGAAACGGTACGATACTACGACCTCAGCAATGTGCAAGGGACTGCTCGCGGATGGGAGCGTGAGGAGCGCATTCTCCTCTGTGTCCCTCTGCGAGATGCCGAGTCGCATCTGTCCATGTTCGCGTCTCACCTGCGCAACTTTACCTACCCCCACCACCTCATCGACCTTGCTTTCCTGGTCTCCGATTCAAAGGACCGCACCCTCCAGGTTCTCAACGATATGCTAGAGGAGATCCAGGCCGATGAAGACCCCAAACAACCTTATGGCGAGATCTCAATCATAGAAAAGGATTTTGGACAAAAGGTCAACCAGGATGTCGAGAGTCGTCACGGATTTGCGGCACAGGCAAGTCGAAGGAAGTTGATGGCCCAGGCCCGGAACTGGCTCCTGAGTGCCGCCTTGCGGCCATATCACTCCTGGGTGTACTGGCGCGACGTTGACGTCGAAACGGCCCCCTTTACCATCCTTGAAGATCTTATGCGTCACAACAAGGATGTGATTGTTCCCAGTAAGCTCGACACCCCCGAGGGACAGGGGAGAGAGTATCTTGCTGACATTTTGCAGACGTTTGGCGTCCTTTGCCCGATTGGCTTGGCGGAGAGCAGCCGTATGATCTCAACTCATGGCAAGAATCAGAAACGGCGCTAGCTCTCGCAGACACGCTGGACGAAGATGCTGTGATTGTTGAAGGCTATGCCGAGTATGCCACTTGGCGACCGCACTTGGCGTACCTGCGAGATCCATATGGCGACCCAGATATGGAGATGGAGATCGATGGTGTTGGCGGCGTCAGTATTCTTGCCAAGGCCAAGGTTTTCCGCTCTGGGGTACATTTTCCAGCTTTCAGTTTCGAGAAGCATGCTGAGACAGAAGGGTTTGGCAAGGTAAGGCCACCGTGCCGCTGAAAGCAGAAAAAAACTGACCCACGCCGTCCAGATGGCAAAGCGGATGGAATACTCAGTTGTCGGCTTGCCCCACTACACGATCTGGCATCTTTACGAACCCAGCGTGGACGACATCAAGCACATGGAGGTATGTCGCCTTCCCTGCAGCAATATCACAAAGTCAGTTCTAACATGGCGCAGGAAATGGAGCAAGAAAGGCTTGCTAGCCAAAAGGAGGAGGAAGAAAAGGCCGAGAAGGCCAAGAAAGTCAAAGAGCAATTTGGCGATGCCAGCGGCCAGTGGGAGAAGGACAAGACTGATATGCAAAACCTCGTTAGCGGTGAGAAGAAGAAAGAGACGAAGGGTGCCAACGAGGCCAAGGAGGCCAAGTCGCTGAAGGAGGTCGATGACAAGCAGGCAGATGACAATAAGAAGCAGACAGCAGGCAAGAAGGATGCGCAAAGCAAGTCAGATAAGCCGGCGAGGAAGGAGAAGAAGGAGGGAAATGACGCCGGTTTCGCCAAAAGGGCTGAGAGTTGAAAGGATCACATTTAGCTGGATGGCCTGCTGGCGTCGAACGTTGCTGGGATCTGTAGCTGTTCTTGATGGACAACTATTGTTAGGCTGTCAGCAGTAGGCAGCTTATTCTCGCCACGGGGACATAAGAGCAGCGTCGAACCTTGTCATCAACTCTTGCTGTGTACACTAAGATATCTACTACCGGAGGGTCTGGAAGAAACGGGATGTTGTAGGAAGGCGTTGGTCTATTCTAGGGGGCTGAGGAATGAGCCCTACGTTGGGCAGAGAGCTTTCCCACGATATTATGAGTTACAGTTGCACCATTGTAGCCTCAATAATGATGTTGATGCAGAAGAAAAGCGCAAGATTTTATTTGTGAGCCCAACGGTTTTCCCTGCAACAGTCAAGCACAAAGAGTCGACTGTTGTTTACCTTGGGTGAGATGATACCGAGATAACTAGGGTCTGACCTTGCCGTATCAAGGTAGACATTCTCTCTCGGGTAGATGTCACGTGGAATCCCAACTTCAGCGAGGAAAAGCTTTCTCTCTGTCACGTTATGAGGCGCGTTTAGGTAGAATCTACTTCTAGCTGCCAAAGTGTAAACTTTTGCGGCCTTGCCATCAGATGCGTCTTATCGGGCTGGAAGGCCAAAGTAAGGAAGTAGCTCACATCCGCTCGAGGCACCTCACCTGGGGAGATGGAAAGGCTGGAACCATCGGGAAGGGTACGTACCTATACAGCTTAAGATACCCCCTTAAGGTGGTAAGGTACCTTAGAGAAGGTGGGAGGATAGCTTCCAGGTTGTGAGGTGCTAAGGAACTAGGTAAGAGACGGAGTGGTCCGTACCTTGCAGCGGAATCCCCAACCTGGGGCAACGTAAGGTCCCTCACCGGGCCGCCTTAGGTTGGGTAGGCAATTACTCAGTGACCACTAACACCAGTGACCAGGCGGCACCTACACTAAGGTACGTAGGTGCCTTACCCCGTAATAGTGGAGCTCCATCTGCAACCTGGTCAATTGCTCGCCCAGGAGTGCTTTTTGGCGACAGCTGTCTCCGTCCTTGACAAGACACCTAAATCTCAACGTTCTTGATCCGCAGCCCACGAACCGAAGCTAACTTCCAACGGCTCGACGGATATCTGTCCTTGGACCTCTCCGCGACGATTGCACAAGGCACCAGCCACACATTACCAACGTAATTTGCTGTCATCTATTCGGCCCGTGCTTCGTCGTTCTTCTCAAGCCTGAACGCCGCCACCCAAACCATCATACCTTACCGAGAGCCCCCCAAGACCGAACCTCGCGCGCGCGCACTCGAACCACCCCGTCTGCCTTCATATCATGAGTCGAGATGCAGATGAGCTGCTGCAAACCGAGACGGCTTCTGCCGTTGGCATCCGTTCCAGCGTAGACCTTCGTCGAGCCATGATCGCGCCCAGGATGCAATATCGAAGCCGACCCGTCTCTGTCGCTGTAGACCCAGTGTCTTTGGTCATGTCCGAGTGCATATCGATCACTTCTGCGATTCAAAAACATGCGCGATCTCCTCATTCTTCCGTTTCGGCCATCTTGGGCGGAAGCCCAAACCCGATTCACCTGGGCCCCCCGACTCCTTCGCCGAGGGGTGCGTCCAAGACGCCAGGTGCTGGACTCGGGATCGACCGTGCTCAGGACGTGGTTTCCGCCAACAGATGGGGTCTACGTGGAAAGAAGGGTCGCAGCATACAGGACAACCCATTGATGGCCGGCTTTGGGAAGCTTCGCCATGAATTGGCCAGCGTTAGAGGTAGGGTTCAAGCTCGCTCTTCGCTGCACTTGCCTCTGTCGCGCAGATCCAGCCTTGCTAACCGTGTTGCGCTCCAGATATCCATTCTTTCGATGCCCTTTTTCTCTTGAACCCGTTCCTTCAAATCATCCAAACGAAAGGCACCGCCGCGCCTATCACCATTCTCACTCTGGGAGCCCTGCGGAAGTTCTTGGCTTACGGATTTATAAGCCCTGCATCGCCGCGATTTGCCCTTGCCATGCAGTCCTTATCGGCAGCCGTCACTCGATGCCAATTCGACGGAAGTGACTCGGGGCAGGTGGAAGTTGTTCTACTGATGATTCTCCACCTGATGGAAGATATGATGTCGGGACCAGGAGGCGACATTCTGAGCGACGAAAGTGTTTGCGACATGATGGGCAGGGGACTAGCAATATGCTCACAACCTCGGTTTTCGCCTGTTCTCCGACGAACAGCCGAAGCGTCAATGGTTCGGATGTGCCAGATCATTTTTGAAGACGTCAAACACCTCGAGGTTGAGGCCGGAGACGAGTCTGATGCTCTAGACAAGCAGACAAGCGCCGACATGAATAGCGTCAAGATGGATCCCGCCGCGAATACTGCACCAGGCCTACAGGTGACGAGCTCTGAACCGGAACCGCGCTTGTCCATCTCAAGCTCGACACCTCTGGAGCCGAACCCTCGCTCTCAGAGAAGCTCAGAGTCGGGAGACAGCAAAGACGACGGTGGCGCTGGCGGTGATGTAGAGGCGGATGGTGACGCCGATGGCGCGGAGAGTTCCGACTCTTTGGATCTCCGACCCTACTCGCTACCCTCTGTACGGGAACTTTTCCGGGTTTTGGTCAATTTTCTAGACCCCAACGACCGGCAGCATACGGACACCATGAGAGTAATGGCCTTGCGCATTATCCACGTTGCCCTCGAGGTTTCCGGTCCCTCTATTGCACGGCACCCTGCTTTGGCCGGGATAGCCGAGGACAGGCTCTGCTGCTATCTCTTCCAGCTTGTCAGGTCTGACAACATGGCCATCCTACAAGAGTCGTTGATTGTGGCCGGGACGTTGCTAGCCACTTGCCGCGGTGTGTTGAAATTGCAGCAGGAGGTGTTCCTCTCATATCTCGTAGCATGCCTTCATCCGTCGGTAGAAATACCGCGAGAACCGGGCATTGACCCATCACTCTATGCCGGGATCCCGCAATCTCCCAAGCTCGTTAAGCCACCGCCATCGCAGACCAGCAGCGGGCGATCGACCCCAGTCCCGGTGAAGGATCGGCAGAAGCTCGGTCTTGAGGGCGGTGCCAGGAAACCAGACGCGAGACAGGCAATGGTAGAAAACATTGGTGTACTGTCAAGAATGCCAACATTCATGGCTGAACTCTTTGTCAACTATGATTGCGATGCGGATCGAGCGGATCTATGCGAAGACATGATTGGCCTTCTCTCGAGAAATGCTTTGCCGGATTCCGCAACCTGGAGCACCACGAGTGTGCCACCACTTTGCCTAGATGCGCTACTCAGATACATCCAGTTCATCGCTGAACGGTTGGACGAGGCGCCCCTCGCCGATGGCTATCCTGATGCTACAGAGTTACGAGAGTTGAGACGGAAGAAGAAGATCATTATCAAGGGTACCAGCAAATTCAACGAGAACCCCAAGGGTGGTCTTGCATATCTTGAGGCCCAAGGAATCATTTCCGACCTCAAGGACCCAGTTTCGGTCGCAAGGTTCTTGAAGGGAACATCGCGGGTGTCCAAAAAGGTCCTCGGCGAGTATCTTTCTAAGAAGGGAAACGAGGCCGTTTTGGAGGCATTTATGAGCCACTTCGACTTTTCAGAGAAGCGGGTAGACGAGGCGCTCAGAGGGCTATTGGAGACATTCAGGTTGCCAGGAGAGTCGGCGTTGATTGAGAGAATCGTTGTGTGTTTCGCAGACAAGTACTGCTTAAAGGCAAAACCTACAGAGGTTGCCAACGCAGATGCTGTCTACGTCCTGACGTACGCCATCATCATGCTGAACACGGACCAGCACAACCCCAACCTCAAGAGTCAAAAACGTATGACGGTGGATGACTTTGCACGAAACCTGAGAGGAGTCAATGACGGCCAAAACTTTGCACCAGAGTATCTTCAGGATATCTTTGACAACATCAGGACCAACGAGATTATCCTGCCTGACGAGCATGACAACAAACATGCTTTCGACTATGCTTGGCGCGAGTTGCTCGTCAAGTCGGAATCGGTGCGTCCGCTGGTTTTGTGCGAGACCAACATATACGATGCCGACATGTTCGCTTCAACCTGGCGACCTATTGTGTCCACCCTTTCATACGTATTCATGTCCGCTACCGACGATGCGGTCTTTGCGAGAATCGTCACCGGCTTCGATGAATGCGCACGCATAGCGGCGAAGTATAAGAACACGGAAGCTCTTGATCAAATTATCTACGCTCTCAGTCACATGACTACGTTGGCCACTGATATACCCTTCAACACGAACCTGAACACGGAGGTTCAAGCTGGCGAAAGCAGCGTCATGGTCAGCGAACTGGCAGTCAAACTTGGAAGAGACTTCAGGGCGCAACTAGCGACTTTGGTCCTATTCCGGGTCGTTACTGGCAGTGAGGAATTGATCCGGGATGGCTGGAAACACGCAAGTTATCGTGGTCTTTTGTCATTCTGGTCGAAAACTAACGACTCCTAGATCACCCGCATCTGGCTCAACCTCTTCGTCAACTCCCTGGTTCCCCCCTTCTTCGCTGATTCTCCAGTCCTCGACATTGGCGCGATCCCGCTACACACACCATCTCAAGTGATTGACCGTGCGGCAAAGACGATTGAAACAGGCTTCTTTTCTGCATTTACTAGCTACATTTCCAGCTATGCGGCAGACGATCCACCAGAACCCTCGGACGAAGAACTGGAAAGCACTCTCTGTACCGTCGACTGTGTAAACTCTTGTCACATGGGCAATGTCTTTGCCAATATCTCGTACGTTTATCCGTTCGAGGATCGGGGCAACTGCTAATCAAAGTGGTGTAGAAAACTCCCCCCCCATGAGCTGGAGCCGTTGATTGACTCCCTCCTCAACGCACTGCCTGAAGACAACAACCCAACGGTCATAGTTGTTAAGTCAGAAAACTTGCCGGCATCAGCAACGAATGGACAAAAGCCAGTGCAACCTGGGGCTGTGTATGACCCTGCCATGGCCTATATCCTTGAGTTCAGCACCGTGCTGGCTCTTCGTGACCAGGGCACAGTCCAACTTGTGGCTAAAAGAGTTATCGAAGCACTGCAGGCCGTGCTGCGAGATGCCGGACGATACCACTACATTGTCGTCTCAAGGGCGACCTTCTATCTTCTCAAGCTCTTACGAGTCAGCTATGTACGCATACTGTTGTCCCTTGCAATATTCATCATCTCATTGATTGGTTTACAGGCTTTTGACTTCATCAACGTCCCGGTATTGCTGCATACAATGTCGAGCTTTCCAAAGGAAGCACTTGCAAGGACTTCGGCCATGGTGCTTCATGGTCTGAGACTCTGCATAGACGAACCCAGCCCACTACGTAATGAGATCATGACTTCTCCGGATTTCTGGGCCATAATGCGAGCACTCACCGGGCGTCCAGATTCTGCGCCTCTCGTGTTTGACATCCTTGAGCTAGGCTGCGGAGGCGAACCACCTGCTATCATTGCAGACAACTACGAGGCGGCCATCTCTCTCCTCGGCGACTTCGCTTCGGGAGCAGGCCGGGTCGTCCTCGCAGAACGCAAACTGGACGCTCAGCAGCGTAAAGCTCGGGAGGGAACGCACGACAAAACCAAGTGAGTAATTCAGAAGGTCTTTGCTATGTTTGCAAGTAATTGACAGCTGGCAGTGTCAATGAGGCTATTTCACGAGGTACGAAGGCGGTCAACAGCATTTACAATATGACAGCGCGTATACCATTCTTGATGAAGCAGTCCCATCTTGAGAGCAACGAAGGTAGCACTCTCCGATATTGGCATTCGGGAATATTGAGAAATGAGGACTAACGCAATGTTACAGCATGGTCCGCTTACTGGCTGCCCATATTCCAGGCACTCACGACCCAATGCACAAACCCATGTCGAGACGTTCGCCTTCAGGCGTTCACGTCGCTGCAGCGATCTCTACTATCGCCCGAGCTCACTGACAGCGACCACAAGGAGTGGACAGCCATCTTCGGGGAGGTTCTGTTTCCTCTAATTCATAAGCTTTTGAAGCCTGAAGTCTTTTCGTCAGACCGTGACGGCATGAGCGAGATGCGTGTACAAGCCGCGTCTCTACTGTGCAAAGTATTCCTCCAATACCTCGTCCTCCTCTCGAAGTGGGACGGAATGTTGGACCTGTGGGTCAAGATCATTGACATCATGGATCGATTGATGAACAGTGGTCAAGGCGACAGCCTGGTATGTAGATCTGTCAAACTTTGGACCCTAAGAGAAGAGACTGCTAATAATAAGTAGGAAGAGGCAGTTCGCGAGAATCTCAAAAACGTGGTTCTTTTCATGGCAAGTAGCGGCTTCCTAGTGTCTCCCAGGCAAGACGATTCAAAAGAAAAGCTATGGAACGAGACTTGGAAACGCATCGACCGGTTCCTACCAGAATTGAAGAGCGACCTGGCTTTGGAAGAACCCAGCGGCGGGGAGGAGCCAGCACCAGCGGTGGGGGCGAGTGCCTAAACCCTCATCATGAGGCGCTTAGGCATGATTTGCCAATAGTTTGAGATGACTTTTACGTGTATATATATGGCAATTGGGGGCAGCATGGGTTAGGTTTTCATGATGGACAAGATACCGGACCTTATTGGCAGTCGATAGATTCAGTAGGATGTCAGAGTGCTGTCTTTACACGGGGAAGCATGGGAAGCATTTCGTCTGAACAGGATGGCAAGCTGATTCACATTCAGACCAAAAGTATGTAATTTGGCCAACTGCAATATGCGACCAAGATCCAATATATAATAGATAGCCATTCCTTCCTCCCTCGTGGAAAGATCCGGTAAATAGTGGTTTGTGGCACTGAGACACTGCGAGGTAAGTGTACCGGGGAGGAGAAACCCAACAAACAAACATCGAGGGTATCACCAAAAAAAGAAGACAAATACGATCTCGTTGACGGATGGAGCAAAAACATACAACACCAGGTATTCGCTGGTCGTCACCGACCCAACTACTAATCCGGCCCTCACTGGCTTGTCTATGGGAGAGCGGACGGGATCCCGAATTCTCCAGTAGGTATGGTCGTATGTGGAGGTCTAAGTGAAACATTCCAACATATACCTCAGTCGCCCATGGTTAATTGCTGTCCGACCTGCGCCCACCACGCGATGGAAACAGCAGCTCGTTACACAACTAGATGAACTTAGTGAGATGCCTGCCATTGCCTTGCAATGACAGGCAAGCGCATTTGCTGTTCATTCATTCGTATGACTCTAGTCGGACGGCATATTGTACCGCTTGCGTTTCCTGCAGTACTAAAGCTCCATTATCAATCTTGCATGCACGTAGGCTTCTCACCAATTAGTATTGACGATTGTAGCAGGAAACAGAAACCACGTTGTAGGAGCAGTACGTCGGCTGGGCATCCACGCTACCTATAAACTTCTCAATGACTTGATGTTGAATCTGGAGGTGTGGCCTTTACCGTGGTTGCACATTAGTACCTTGTGTAGGTCGGCAGCCCGTGCCCAAGGAACGCACCTGCCTGCAGCTTTTTTTTTTCGCCTTAGGCCGCTGAAGCTTATAGAAACACCCACTGTGCCAGTGCACAACTCCATGCCATTTGTCGACATCGCGTTTTCCTTCCCGCTGTACTCCGTACTCGCTGTCCTTTGTTTTTGGAACGCGCCTGCAACATCGTAGACATGGCGTCCGGTCTTCCTATTGCCACGTACGTGTCATTGCACTCCGACACGTCGGGCTATTGGCTGACCTTTTGTGCCATAGGGTATACGTGCGAAATCTCGAGGAGCGCGCCAAAGTCGACCAGCTGAAGGATGCGCTACTTCAAATCTTCTCCGATTACGGCAATGTCATTGACATTATTGCCAAGACGAATCTCAAAGCAAAAGGACAGGCTTTCGTCGTTTTTGACGACCCCGAGGCCGCTCGCAAGGCCATAGAAGAGGTTCAGGGATTTGAGCTGTTCGAGAAGCCCATGCAGCTGGCCCTCGCCCGGACTAGGAGCGACGCGACTGTCAAGTCGGTAGGCAACGAGGATGAGTTTGAGCTTCACAAGCGCCGTCGCCTAGCTGAAAAGGGTATTCCTATTTCCGTTCAATCTGCGCTCCTCTCTAGACACAGAATAGCTTGCTGACCCTTCCCTTCACTCCCCATAAGACAAGAAGAAGGCCTACGAAGCTGCCGAAGAGCAGAAACGTCTCAAAAGACCTGGCCCCGGCAGTGCTGCGGCACCAGACGCCCGTCCGGCAAAGGCTGCTCGCGGAGCTGGTCTCAAGTCCACCAATCCCTCCACAACAGCTGTTATTCCCGATGAATATCTACCCCCGAACAAGATTCTGTTCGTACAGAACTTACCCGACGACTACGATATCGAGGCTGTTACCAGTATCTTTGGCCGTTTCGAGGGTTTCCGTGAGGTAAGATTAGTGCCGGGACGCCGCGGTATTGCCTTTGTCGAGTACGACGGTGAACAGGGTGCCATTACGGCGAAAGAGAATACGGCTGGAATGGTACTGGGGGATACCCATACAATCAAGGTCACATACCAACGCCAGTAGGCTGCCTTAGAGGAACCAGAGCGGCGGTATACACCTCAATTATGTTCGCTTGTAGGGTAATATGTGGTTCGGGAGGGTAAGAATGTTACAACGAGTGCACACCCCCGCAAAGCTATTCTAGCTACACCCCGACACATGCTTGATCACCTCCTCTCATCCCGTGCCGCAAGACTGCTTAGAAGATAACGTCATTGTCTTCCTCCGCAGCGAGAAGGTCGCCGGGTCCTGACGCATCATCCCTGTCCTCTTCTGCTGCCCGTGCGGCCTTTTTGGCTTTGATCTCGGCGTCTGCGGCAGCAGTGTCCCTCTGTTTTTTGCCGGCAACCTATAGTCTATTGTGAGATGCCGTCGTCACTCAGACCTAGTGGCTCTCCACGTACCTTTTTGAGTCTATAGAACTCCTCTCTGTCAAGTTCATCGAGCTCCGAGTTAATGTCTGTAGTCCGAGTCAGATAGATTTACCAAAGTACGGTGCACAACGTACACTTGATGGTATTCTCTGTCCTGGGAATAATAACGTGCTCGCTGTTGGAACAGTCAGTGGGGGCCCACCAATATAATCTTGCATGCGTCTTACATGGCGTTTACTGCGAGATGTTAGTCAATGGCTGAGGGCTCGATATTGAGTGGAAGACATACCACGTCGATTGACGACCTTAATAACCTCATCCAAAATGACAAAAGCAGTCTTGCCTCCGTTAGCGCTTTTGCACCATCCACCGGACGCGGCTGACAGCGGCATACCTGGAGACTCGCAAGCTCAACCAGAGCCTCAACAGCGCGAGCATATGTCTCGCGACAACGCTGGACTTGTTGACCGCCCTTGCCCAAGCCCGTCAGGCCGAAATCGTTGTTTCCTTCAGTCACGTAGCTCTCAAATGCCGGGAGCAGAACGCCAGAAACGTTCTCCTGCTTGGTACGAACACGGAAGCGAGCTGACCGGGCCGACTCTTGAATCTGGTATCCGATATCACCACCCACAGCGTAAGTAACCTCGGCCAAGGAGAAGGAGGCAATCTGCATCACGCGTCCCATCTTTCTCTTCGCCTCGTCGATACGTCGTGTAATCTCTGTTAAGGCGCAGTCACCTCCGTCAGCGCACAACAGTCTCGAAATGGAAGCGGCGCTGCCAACCTCGGAATCGCCTGCATCGCGGAATAAGTCAGTGATTTAAGTCCTACTGCGAGATCCAGACCATTGGACACGTACTTGGTCAAGGCCTCGCTCTTTCTTTTCAACAAGCTGTGGCCAGTTTCGGCGCCCTTGAGCTTGGCCTTCATGATCCCCAACGACTGGCGCGTGGGGAACACCGCTTCTCGGTCCTACACAAATGCATGGGCATGTTAGAAGGCTCCGGAGTCACATCTGATTGATTTAGGAGGGATTCAGCCTACAGGAGCACCTGACATGGTGATGACTGATCGGAATATACGATGATGCAGGAGGAACTCGGCTTTTGAAGCGATCCGTACATCAACGAGGAGCAAAGGCAGCTGGGCGCAGAATGGTCGTTCGACAGAGTCTCGACAAAGTCGACGAGGAGGAGCTGGAGATGTTGTCAAGCGGCTTGTAGAGGCTGTTGCGTCAGTGCTCACAGCCGACTGGGCGAAGGCACACTACCTAAGGTAAGTACCTACCTCATGCGGCTCCCCCAGAGAAGGAGTACCTTAGGTACCTACATGCCGTAGGTCGATTGCTGGCGATTAGCAGCCCGCTGATAAAGCTTGTAAGTGGGTTCTCCCTAAGGTAGGTACCTACCCGCGCGTAAGAGTCTCCTGGCCAAAGCGCGCTTGTGCATCGCGATATCCTTGTATCGGTGGCTGGGTACACCCGGTTTATCCCAATAGCCGAGCGCTGCCTCTCGAATATCCGGGACTCGGCGCCTGCAAGAAAAAGTAGGGTACGGATAGACACCTGGGTCAACTGGGCCTCGTTGATCTTGCCTGAGAGAGCAGGCACGCAGGCCAGTCACCGACCTGCATCGCAAAGAAACGATCTGTCGCCTTGTTCGCGCCATGATCATCTTTTGAATCGCGCCCCTCGCATTTGCAAATTCTTGACCGACGCGACCGGCACACGGCCAAAAGGCGCTCTCGGCGCTCGAGCTGTCAGTCTCTTGGTCTCTCATGGCCTTTGGGCAAACGGCCTGAACCAAGATGCCTGCTCCCGCGCTTCTCAACGGCTCTCAGAGGCGGCCGGATCTACACCTTGTTGTATGCGCTGTTCATTGCTCTAATTGTTCTTTGGGTTTTCTTGACATTGAGCGTCTGAACTAACGTATTTATTATTGTAGGGCGACGAGGACTCCGTATACGAACAGGATATCCTGCGAACGCCCGGAAGCATCAAGCCATGGCTTGCCTACATTCAGTTCAAGTCTCAACATGGAACCATACACGAACGCGCCTTCGTGCTCGAGCGAGCGTGCCTCCAACTCCCGCGGTCTTACAAGCTCTGGAAGATGGTATGTCGCGCAAAGCTCACCAGCCAGCCGTGCCGCCGCCGACTGCTAACAATACGAACAGTATCTTACCTTCCGCGTCAAGCATGTTTCAAAGCTAAACGCTGCCATTTTTCCCGCCGAGTACCAAAAGGTCAATGCCCTCTTCGAGCGCGCCCTCATTCTGCTGAACAAGATGCCTCGCATCTGGGAGCTTTATCTGAAGTTCTTGCTTCAGCAGCCGCTCATTACAACTACCCGACGCACCTTCGATCGAGCCCTTCGCGCCCTACCGCTTACCCAACACAATCGAATATGGGCCCTCTACAAGCCATTTGTCAACTCTCCTGCAGGAATCAGCGCCGTCAAGGTGTGGCGCCGCTATATGCAAATACATCCCGAGGACGCCGAAGACTTCATTGAACTCCTTGTACAGGTCGGCTTCTACACCGAAGCCGTCAAGAAGTACATGGATATTCTTAACAACCCGCGTTTTACGAGCAAGCAAGGGAAAGGACACTACGAGCTTTGGAGTGAAATGGTGGACTTGATGGTGGAACACGCGGCGGAGATCGAGACCGGTCATGAAACTGGTATTGACGTTGACAGGATCGTCAGAAGCGGTATTGTCCGGTTCGCCGACCAACGCGGGAAACTCTGGTGTGGTCTGGCGACGTACTGGATACGAAGAGGCAGCTTCGAACGCGCCAGAGATGTGCTCGAGGAAGCCATCACTACCGTAATGACAGTACGGGACTTCACGCTTGTTTTCGATTCTTATACCGAATTTGAGGAGTCCATCATTGGAGCTCTTATGGAGGTCGCCTCGAACCGCGCCGACAGCGGCATCGTGGATGAGGAGGCGGATTTCGAACTCGATATACGGATGATGCGCTTCGAGCAGCTCATGGATAGAAGACCATTCCTTCTCAACGACGTGGTCCTGCGACAAAACCCCAACAATGTGTCTGAATGGGAGAAGAGAGTAGCGCTCTGGGGTGACAATCATCTCGAAATCGTACAGACGTACACAGCCGCAATCGCAACAATACAACCAAAAAAGGCCGTCGGACCCTTCCACCAGCTCTGGGCTAATTACGCCAAATTCTACGAGCGCGGCGGTGATCTACGCAATGCGCGCATCATCATGGAAAAGGCCGTCAAAGTGCCGTTCAAGTCCGTTGCGGAGCTGGCCGATATGTGGATTGAGTGGGCTGAAATGGAGTTGAGGAACGAGAATTTTGACGATGCCGTTCGAATTATGGCCAAAGCTGTACAGGCGCCGAAGAGATCCACCGTCGATTACTTTGACGAGACGCTATCGCCGCAGCAGCGTGTGCACAAGAGTTGGAAGCTGTGGAGTTTCTACGTGGACCTCGTAGAAAGCGTCAGCTCGGTGGAGGACACGCGAAAGGTTTATGAGCGCATCTTTGAGCTGCGGATTGCGACACCACAGACAGTAGTCAACTATGCGAATCTACTGGAAGAGCACCAATACTACGAGGAGTCATTCAAGATCTACGAACGCGGCCTTGATCTCTTCAGCTACCCGGTCGCCTTTGAGTTGTGGAACCTCTACCTCACAAAGGCTGTTGATCGCAAGATCGGCATTGAGCGTCTGCGCGACCTATTCGAACAGGCCATTGAGGACTGCCCACCCAAATTTGCCAAGGTCATCTACCTCATGTACGGCAACTTGGAAGAGGAGCGGGGCCTCGCGAGGCATGCTATGCGCATCTATGAACGCGCAACGCGGGCGGTGGCAGATGAGGATCGTGCAGATATGTTCAATTTTTACATCACCAAGTCGGCATCCAACTTTGGCCTACCGTCGACGAGGCCAATCTACGAAAAGGCCATCTCCACTCTACCCGACAACGAGGCACGGGATATGTGCCTAAAGTTTGCCGACATGGAGAAGCGCCTTGGCGAGATCGATCGGGCAAGGGCCATTTACGGTCACGCGTCACAGTTCTGTGATCCACGCACCAGCCCAGCCTTTTGGACCAAGTGGGAGTCGTTCGAGGTGCAGCATGGCAACGAGGATACTTTCAAAGAGATGCTGCGTATCAAGCGTAGTGTGCAGGCGCAGTACAACACGGACGTCAATTTCATCGCGTCGCAGGCGCTCGCGCGCAGTCAGCGGCGACCAGAGGAGTCAGGCGATGCCGAGGTGGACGATGCTATGGCGGCACTCGAGCGACAGGCGAGAGCACCGGCTGGGTTTGTGGCTGCCAGCGACGCTCCCAAGGTGGACAGCGCAATGGAAGCACCGCCAGCGACGGCGAACCCGGATGCTATCGACATTGATGACCTTGACAAGTAACACGTATCAATTTCCCCGGCCTAACGGCGGTTGGCTACTTTTAGGTGATAGCATACAGACAGCAGAACACCAGCAACATTTTTCCATCCCCGGTCCTCCCAATTCAATTCAACTCAACGTCTGTTGCAATCCTTTTCCTAGTCTCGCTGGTTTGATATACAGCCTCGCGTGTGGCAGCTTGACAGGGCGTCCTGCTCGATGTAGCGAATGTAAGAGCGATCCCTGTCCCAGGCCATGCGTTTGCCCGATATATTTTGATAGCAGTGACTACTTCGCGGGCGTCTTAGCATAGCCCTTCTCGGTATGCTTCTCATGAAACCCCGAGGCATAGTTGCGATCGACGTGACCATCACGGGAACCCGGCGTGGCGTAGATGGAACCCTTGCGCTTTTGAAAGCGGCTCGGGGGCACCTTGGATGCGTCTAGTAGATAGGACACATGGTTTAGCAACTACAAGACTCTCGATGAATATAAGGGACTTTGCCAGGACTCACCCCACTCATCGGTGCTAGCTCTTCGATCTGTAGGCGAGGATGATAGTGCGACGGCGGGTTCTCTGTCCAGTGCGACTGGCGAACTGCCGGCATCGGTTGGGATGCTCTCGGTTCTATGTTGATCGTCTGAAACAATACATCTCAGCAAGGAGCACATAGGTGACATCTAAAGAGGTGGCATACTTGACATGGTGATGGTTGACGTTCTAATGTGACGACGACTGTAGGTTTTCTTAATGACAGGGCTTAAGCGAGTCGGCCAATGAGGGGCGTATGGTGGCGGTAGATGGGGACTGTGTTTGAAGGTATCGTGATATTGCTGACAAGGTGGGCGAGTGGAGAAGCTGAGCAGAGGAGGAGAAGATAAGATTGGAGAGGGGGGGAAGACGTGAGCTTATGAAGAACCAGACCTTGCAAGTATCCTCACCACCTGCCCGTCGCCCCGTGTCTGGGTAGCACGGGTGATTCTTGGAGGGTGGGTGCTATTGACAGCATTGGAAGGCAAAATGATGGAGGAGCAGAGGCAGCTAATGGAGCTGGCGGGCGTTCATGTCGATGGAGGCGAAAGCGAGGCAAGTACTTGACGACATGGGTGTACGAGGGGAGCACCTGGAGGTCAAAGTAAGGTAGGTTCGGATCCAAACTAGCTCAGGGTGGTCACCTGCCATTTGCACACTTGGATTCCCGAGCTGCTCATTGCTTGGTTGAGGGAAACATGAGTTTAACTTATCCTACCTTGGCAACAGAGGCGCTTTGGCTTGATGAACCTGTCGATCATTGATGTGCTAGGGTTGAGGCCGGGTTGAGTTGTGATGCATACATACCGAGTCTGCTCAAGCCAAGCATCAAAAGACCTTTGGATATAGGTACAGATCTGTGTGCCAAGACCAATGTGGCTGCAGCGAGAGCAAACCTGAAGGAAGCCAAATAGGTATTATGATGACTACCTAACTAAGGGTGGTCACGAAATACCTTCCGTGGATGTAGCAATCTACAAATTGGGGGAATGCAGACCATATTCTGTGCTGCAGCTCACCTGAGTGACCTGAACTCAACAGTCAATCTTGCTGCGCTGCCTCGTTGGCAAGTTGGCTAGTATTGGCTTGCTTCGACATGAGGTGTTCATCTCTTATGTATAAGACAGGTTATACGAGAGAGAGCACGTACGGAACAGCAATACACCTCGCTAAAAGCTCATGTTTGGGTGATGCCAAGGAAGGCGGGGAGTAGGAGGAGGTAAGATCACACCAGCACCTCAGTTGATACGGGCCAACGAAGTAAGCTGAGATGGTCGGGTAGGAAGGTCGGCGGGGATCAATGTATCTAGAAGTACTCGAGCAGGTAAGAGGTACCTCTTCCTTTCCTTCTATCGCGGGGAAGGTGACGAGGATCTGCCATCGCCGTTGACGTCACACGTCAGCCGCGACGAATGAACAGAGGCCGCGACCATCCCCGGAGCTACCTACCAACACCACACCAACACCCCACATTCAGTATTTGGGCCAGGAGGCATGGGGCGTTATGGTCTGTTCTTCCCACCACATCCTTCAATCTACTACGTGCTTTACCCCATGACAGGCCTCCAATCACAGCCACAAGCGCACAATCCAATGTCTTGGGATAGCGGGGAGGGGCAAACAATTCCCTTTCGGTTCCCACCCCTTTTCTCCAAATCCGTTCTCCATCTCCTTCGCCATCTGCATTTTCACCTCTTAGCTCAGAACTCTGATCTCACATGCGCACTCCTTGGGACATTCAGCGCCCGCTTTGATGAAATTTCGAGATCGGAAAACCTTGGCCTTGAATGAGCCAAATTAAAGGTCGAGGGCGAACAGACTACTCACTCTCAGCATGAAGGACGTTGACATGGCCTAGAACAACAGCCTCAGGCGATGACAAGCCACAGTGGTTGATGTTTCATCTTCAGCAAAACTTCACCACCGACGGTGATGAACAGTGACCGTGTCAGCCATTAGGTTGACACAAGGTGAATAGCCTCTTGACTGCAATCGACTGACGAAGTAAGTGGCGACTCCCCGTGTGGCGGTTTATCGTGTACTTCTACGTCCAAGGTCAGGCGATATATGTCACGAATTAAATGCCTGGTAACAGAACAGACGGAGACGTCTGCCACGTGCTCTGTCACGTAGCCCTCATTGTCATGCAGTATATGGACTTACTCTTTTTCTTTCTTCACGTCGTCTAGATGTAAACGCTTCACAGTCTACCTAAGTTATATACCCATCGATGTATAACTTAAGTAGTGACAATGTATCGTCGGTTTCTCCATAGGTTGAACCATTTCGCATCTTTCGCCGCTTAACACCTGATGGACAAGCTAATGAGAGTTAACGAGTACAAAGGAGTAATACCCGACATTCACATGTACGGAGGTACTGAAGTCAAGGACGTGTTTAGGAAGCAATCAAAGAGTGTATTGGTGTACTATGGATGACGAGACACAGTCAAACATCTCCAGATACAAATGAAGGGCATCAGCATCAACATCAGTTAACAGCCTCTTTTCATCGCCTTTCCCTCTCAACCCTCCGCGAATCTCTGTTTTGACCCTCGGAGAACGTTCTAAGATCCTCTCGTGAGAGCGGACAGCTTAGATCTCCTCGCCGTCGGCGCGGAGCTCGGCCAGGTAGGCGGCATCATCCTCGGGTGCGGCCGAGGGGGTCAAGGCACGCTTGATCATCTTGTTGAGGAGCTCATCGGAGCGCTTGACAGCGAGCATCAAGTTCCGGCGGGCAGCGGCGGGCGTCGTGGTACCGGCCATCTGGACGGGGACGATACCGCCAAAGGGACCAGCCCGAGCAGCGTTCTGGCAACGAACCAAGCAAACGTTGCTCTGGCCAGCGACGGTACCAGTGCAAGCCTGGTCGGCAGGGATAGCCGCCTTCAGGGGGAAATCGGTCATGGCACCATCACGGTTGCGGGAGTTCTCGCCCGGGGGGGTGGTGAGGACGTTGATGTTGGTCCACGACGCGCCAGTGGCATCGGCGTTGATCATGCAGTCGTAGGGGCCTTTTGGCTTCCGTGTTAGCGAAATGCAACATACGAAAGGGAAATCATGCCGAATACTCACCGCCGCCATCACCATTGACTTGGTGCAGGGTCATGTCGACGGAACCGCCAGCAGAGATCTGAGGAAGCATGGTGCCGGTCTCGGCCATCATAGCCTTGGTGCCGGTCTCAAGGTTGTTGTTACCGGCGCCGACGGTCTCGCCAAAGGTGTCAGCAGCCTCGCCCTTGAAGCGAGTGCTGTCAGCCTGGAAGGGATCACGGCGTGTTCCATCACGAGGAGTGCTGGAGTCAATTCCGAGGGCCATGCCCTGTCCGCCGGCATCGCCAGTAGCGCCGATGATGGCAGCGTGGCCGGCAACGATGTCGGCAGTGGCCAGAAGGCCGATGGCGAAAATGCTCTTGATGGAAGACATTGTGAGGTGAGAGAAGGTAAGTCCTGGCCGGCAGGGATATATTATACAATACAAATAATTGGAAGGAGAGAAGTGATCGGATAACTAAAAGATTGCTGAATGCTGGATGAGGAAGAACAAGCCGAACGAGATGAGGCCGGAAGTTAGACCATCTTTATAGGAAGGTAGACAGCATCCCCCAGAACCACCCAGGGAGCAATAAACCAGTGGGTGTCTGTCTGTTTGATGTCGAGACGACACGGATGTCTCCATCCCGTTACCCTTACGCGCCTTGGTGAGCCTTCTGCTTCTCTCGCCCTTTCCTCTGATGCTCGGAGAACATTGGTCGAGATTCCATCCGACATCCCAAACCGCCAAGCCAAACATGTTTTTGGAATAGAGCCTCAATGCGAGATTATGGGGGGTATCAATACAAGCAGATGCAAAGGAGCGTGCGCATGCACAGAAGTACCTTCCAAGCGGTTGTTGCTGCTCGCTTGAGGTTGTATCGACAAAATTAGAGAGTGGCGAGACCACGAGCAGAGCCTCATGCGAACCTCGGGCCAGGGGCGTGTGCGACATGAGGCTGGATGGCATCAAAGTTCCGGAGTTGGTGTGGCCGAATGTCAGCTGGAGAGTCCAAGCCCGCGACCTTATTCCGACCCAGTCTATCCGAAGATGCAACAGTGTTTAAGTGGACGACGAGTAAGTGTATGCACCGTCCACTACCTTAGTGTGGTTAATACGCACTTGGATGATTTGTATGTATATTACAGTCCAGGTCAAGTACGCAGTGGCACCGAGAAGTGGCTAATGGGTAATATCTAACGGCGGGAAATGACAAGCGTTGACTCGGTTTTGATAGAGAATTCACCTCAACCCCCACCCCTATGAGAAAACAGCAAAGACTGGCGTTGTGAAGACTGATTGAAACCCGACACTGAATGTCCCACCACATCCCATGAGTGGCATTGACTTGGCCTACAAGTCGGTGAAGTACGAGATCCACGTTCTAGCCCACGATTGATACCGGATTACATCGATGTTAAACAGTACGAATGTGACCCTGACAGGGACTTGCTGGCCTTACTTCAGCTGAAGTAAAACAAGCGTGGGAATTGCGACAGCCCAGCCAGCTGAAGGTGAGGGAAGGTGATATAGCTACTAGGGGCAAGGCCGCGGAGTTCAGACCTGTAGCGATGGACCTGGTAAACAAGGACTATGCCTCCCTCATGTTTGATGCGGAGATGTACGGCTGTTTCGATCCACGGCGCGGGAGCGTCCAAACGGGATCCAGAGCACTGGGGAAAGGCGTGATCGTTCAGCTGCGAACGCACGTGCAGGGATGATCTACCGCCGTGGCGTGACTGACCCCTGAGTGGACACTCGATAGTCGATACCCAGCACGGCCGATGCATAGGCAACGTGGACGAAAACATGCTGTCGATCAACATCGCAAAGACAATGGGGGCGGGGAGGACAAGTGCAGATGGGTCAGATCACTGCGGCTGACAACGGCGAGAATCACGCACGCACAGGTGGACAACGAGGAAGCAGGCAGTACGAAGTCGAGTAGCTTACACTACCTCAGCCAGTCAGGTCGAGTCGAGTCAAAGGGGAGTATGAGCCGCGTGCAGGTTCAACGGCTAGGTAGCAAACCGGCAACCTGTGTAGCCGATGGTAGAATACGCGTTGGAACCTGGTCAATTAGTAAACGCGAGAAGCGACTGTGCCCTGCACTGCGGAGTGCCAGTCAAAGCAATAGCAAGGGATGATGACCCTGCAACCCCTCAACGCTCGATACGACGCAGGGTCCCCAGATGGCACAAGCAACGGCCACCGCGGCAAAGGAGTGGATGTCAGAAGGGAAGCAATTGTGGATGACGATTGCTGGGAGCATCTGAATATGCTATTTCTGTCCTTACAACTTTCTGTCTTCGAGTCATAGGCTTGTTGGCTACTCGTCGCACTGAAGGGCAAAGGAAACGCGGAGTTCGCAGTCGTTCCAGGTACGTGATAGAGGGCGTGATGAGTGCTCCTATGGAATGACTGCGTGGTCAATTCTGGTGACTCGTGGCCGGTGACTAGTGGCCGGTGGCTAGTGGCTGGCAGTCATACGGGACGATGATGCTCGCGCATATGGTGGCTACCACCATGTGCAGCGGATCAATGCGAGAGCAAGCCATACGTACAGAGGAGCAGCTTCACAAAACCATCCTTTGCGGTTGAATTCGTATACGATAGGTTCAGCGATGCGCTGGAAAGGCGAACCCTGTAACGTATCAGCCACATGCTACAACGTGATAATGGGTTTGGGGGTCTTAGCGCGCATCGTATGAAGGATGGCCGTGGAAGTTGGAGATGGCGCATCAATGAGGTTGAGATGAAGTCGCAGGCGAGTCTTTGCCACCCTCATGTGCTGTCAGCACGCATCGACCGACGGATAACATTCATTCGACTGCTGCAGTCGCTGACTAGACTCCAAGTTCGCTATTCGGTGGAAGGTAGGTTAGGTGGTTAGGTATCACAATGAAAAAAGCTCGCTTTTCTTTGAATATTATTTAATACTGTATCTGGGCTGATAAGTCTCATTTCTTCACGGCCCGGGAGATGGGTGCTGGATAGTTAGCCAAGTACGGCGGGCTGCGGATCCGGTGAGACAGGCATCATTTGGAATAGGCGGCGTGGGCCGCATGCGCACCGATGTTGGTGTGAAACCAGAGTTGTCAAACCTCGTGTTTGCGGGGCCAATCGCATGGGCCTCTCTTTCAGCGCATGTAACCGACCCTGTTGGTCAGCCCTGCAAGACCACAGCATACAAACTGCCTCGGATCGTATCGCCGGCTACAGCCATGGCCTAAATGTGATGCATGATCTTTAGAAGTTGTAAACGATGTAGATGTAGGTTGAAAGGATGGGCAGGCGACGGTGTTTGCCATGCCAAGGGGTCAGCGGCTGATCAAACAGAATAATCAAGGTTAAATAATGATGGACGGGAACACGGGGGACTGGATCTAGGCCTACCTTGATCACCCCTACTGCCACAACCCTGCATACTTCCCTTGAGGAAATCCCCAAGTCAGGCAGCGAGAGGCTCGGATCTGCGACAGGCAAGATGCGGCGGGAAATGGACCTCCACCGCGGCATCCTATCAAACGACGGTTTCCGCCAGATCGTGTCGCAAGTGACGGTGAGTCGTCGTCTGTTTGGTGCTACGGCTAACGGTTTGTTTTGGGCAAGTGGCCCTTGAGGCCCTCGAAGCACTTGACTCGACGAAGATGCGATGAGGGGGACCCAAGTCTGTCAGGGAGCAACTACTGTAGTCGCCGTGCTAGGAAAAGGAAAAGGCGTGGAAAGACTAATTTGGCAAACAGTTGGGCAATCCGCAAGAGCCTAACCCCTGGATGAATCAGATGACACGAGAAACTCAGTAAACCAAAAGCAAACGTCAGGTTGGTTAGATGGCAGGCAAGTTGAGCAAAGTGAGCAAGCACGCAAGCAACTAGGTACCTACCTTAATCTGTAAGGTTGTTGGACGAAGTACCCACTTGAGCTTAATACTTTGAAACGACGTCAACTTGGACCTCATGTCTTACGTAACAATCTCGCCCGGATCATTCCTTATGTAACTAATACCCGCAGAGGCAACCTAAAGTCATTCACCGGCGTGCCTGTCTTCTGCCCAAAACGCTATCTCACCTTACCTAAGGCAAGGTATTTTGCTTGTCGGCCACCATCGCATTTACCTCCAAGGTACCTTAGTAAAACCAAATTCTTTTACCCAAGGTAGGATTCATTCTTCTTTTGTTCTCTGTATTATCGACGGAAGCGACAAGTTGTTAAAAAAAAAAAAAATAGAAAAGTCGCCCCAGTTGCAGGACCTCGACTGACTGGGTTAGGTAGGTACCTGGGACGAATTGTGAGTCAAACCTGAGTGAAGTCAGTCTCTTTTGGCTCATCTGAGTGTGCCTTAATCATACCCACGCGAGAATGAGCTTGAAGTCCAACCAACCATCACCTGGTATTCACATTATTGGACCTCTCAGATGGATATTGGCATTAACCCCTCCCTGTTATGCTCGCTTTGACTCATGGTTCTTCACTTCACTCACCTCAACTTGACGCGGCCTGTCTCATCTCATCGCAGTTGAGCCGTCGCAGACTCTACCTGGCTTGCCATCAGCTAACCGCGCATCAGCCACTCGTATCGTCTCTGATCTCGAGCTCGTCGTTGTCTCAAAAGTCGGCGCAAACAACACCGGCCATGTTTGCAGGCCAACGCTGTGTCCACAACACCAAACCACCATTCATCAATTTCCTTTGACGATCCTAGACTGCCTCCCGTGCCCCAAGGCCTGTGCTGCGCGCCTTAGCCGTATGCAACCGCGCTCGTGCTCGTGCTTGCGCCTCCGCCCCGGCTACTACCGCCCCGGCTATCAGAAACTAGAGTTGCTTCTGGAGTGAGACCAGAACGACTATATCTCGAAACCCAAGCATCACGGCCCGAGGTCTGACGCGACGCACGTTCTACCCCTCGACTCCCTTCCCTGGCACATCCGCCGCCGACTCGACATCTTTGAACTGTCAGGCGCGTCGTGTCATGCTACGTGCCTGTGCTCGACCTCGATCTGCCCCGACCCGGAACCGCTGCTCAGTGCCGCGCGCATCCTTGTACCCTTACCTCATGAAGAGAAACTTCGACGCGTTTGAGGGTCATCCTTTTCCCTCTTCGCCGTCCAAGATGGCAACCTTCGTTGCCACCCCATCTATCACCCATTGTACCACTCTCAATGATCCCCCAACACTCAGTCTTACTCCCAAGGAGCAACAATTGAGAGATCTTTTGGTAGATGTTGCAGCCTTCATTGACGGAGCCGGTCGTTCACCTGAACCCCTCGTCCTTCGATGGGCGGGGGGCTGGGTTCGTGACAAGCTCCTGGGCATCGAGAGCCATGATATTGATACCGCCATCAATGCCATGACTGGCTACGCGTTCAGTCTGGAGCTGCGCGACTACTGTGCCCAGGAGGAGCATACTAAAAAGCACAACATTGGCCCCGATGACATGGGTAGCCTCCACAGAATTGCTGCCAATCCCGATAAGTCGAAGCATCTCGAGACAGCGACTACGCGCATGTTTGGTCTCGATGTCGACTTTGTCAATTTACGCAAGGAGACATATACTCAGGATAGTCGCAACCCTACAATGGAATTTGGCACCGCTGAAGAGGACGCCCTACGCCGCGATGCCACCATTAACGCCCTCTTTTACAACTTGCACACCGGCCTAGTCGAAGATCTGACCGGCGGGCTCACAGACATGAAGGCTCGCCTGATTCGCACGCCCATGGAACCTTTGCAGACTTTTACAGACGATCCTCTCAGAGTGCTAAGATTGATCCGCTTCGCTAGTCGTCTTGACTTTGCAATTGACCCTGCTGCCACTGCGGTCATGGCCGATGTCCAAGTCTTGCTCGCTCTGAAGCTTAAAATTAGCCGCGAGAGGGTTGGTGTCGAGATGGAGAAGATGCTAAAGGGTAAGTCTGCACATGCTTAAATTTATTGACGCGCGACTTTATTGTGGACTGACCTCTATGATGTGCTGTTGGAGCAGGTAAGAACCCACACATGTCTCTGGACTTAATTCGTACTCTCAACCTGTATGAGACCATCTTCACGGATTCAAACGATACCGATCACCCATCGCCTAATCTCTCCACGTGGCATGTAGCCTACGATCTTCTGGACAGCCTCGCTCATGACAAGGCTCTGAGATTAATCTATGACGTTCTGGTTAAATCCGACGAGGCTGCATATTTCGCGTGGAATTTGGCTGCAATTACCCCGTACTCACACATAATGGAGGAAGTGCCATTACCAAAGGTCAGGGGAACCGTGCCTCTGACAACGTTAGTAGCACGAGAAGGCATCAAGGCTCCGAACAAGCTGTGCGATATCATCACTGCAGCATATCGCCATCGGGCCGAAATCCTTGGTCTGAAGCGAGGATTTGGTGCCGGGGAGTCTAGGACTAACGAAAGGGATACCGTTGGTATGGCGATTCGCAAGTGGGATGGCCATGGAGGCCACTGGCGTATCCAGGTGCTTTATGCCCTACTTGTTGAGGCCATGGAAAGGTTACCATCTAGTTCAGCTACTGGTAAGTGGCTCCATCTTCGTACTCCCCGTACTTCGCACCAGGGAAGACTACTTACTCCGCCACAGAGAGATCGGAGTTTCTCGCCGGCTGGCAGGAGTTCCTGGACCACCTCGCGGATTTGGACGTCATGGACGCACCTTCGCTAAGGCGTCTGGTTGATGGCCGCATGCTGGGAAAAGAGCTTGGAGTCCGCCCCGGTAAGTGGATGGGACAGGCCTTGGATATTTGCGTTGCCTGGCAACTTCGTCACCCGGACGAGACTGAGCCGGCTGGGGCGATTGATGAGGTGCGACTGCGAGCGGTTGAATTGGGGATCAGAGGGCTCTGAAACGGTAAAAACATCATCCAGCGACAAGTTGACGTCTTGCAGTGGTCGTCTCATGTGATGGGACTAGTTTGGACTGGACTGTCTCTCTTGAAAGACAGAGACTAGGCACCGCATATCGAGCAATGCCGTGGAGTGTGTTGCACAACGCGAGGGAACGGTTCTACTCGACAAAGGAGAAAACAGCGACCAGATGGACATTAACACAAAAGAGGAGAAAATGGATGAAGTACTGGCTCGAAATATCCGAATAGACCACATGCTGGTAGAAGCCAGCAAGGCCGGCAAAGGTTCTCGTGATAGCTCCCTCCTCTTGAAGAGGTACGTTTCTGTCTATGCCTCCCCATCTCTTGCGCTGTTGTTCTCCTCTGCCCGATTGCTCTCGTACCATCGCTGGGAAAGCTTGCGCGGCATCCTACAGTGTATAAACACAGTGCACTTACTGTATTGCCCTTTTCTCACCCACTAGCTTTCGTCATCAGTTAACGACCTAAGTTGACCAAGACCTCAAATTTCCAATCTCATCAATCTTGCCAGGCACTTTGAAACCATCGCTGTCACAACATCCTCAGACAGCCAAACACACCTGCAAGGAGCAATTCATTCCACCTCGATCGTCCTAATTCACTGAGTCTCACCATTGCCCACTATGCTCTCTGGCGTAGTCAAGGCTATGCAGCAGGCTGACTTGGGCTCTGTTGAGTTCAACGTCGATAGAGGTTTGCTTGCATCTTTTTGCGGCCAAGAGCGCCTGGGTAGACGTCGGAATCTAACACAAGCTACAGGTTTGCCGGAACGATACACTCTTGCCGACCTCACACAGGATTTCTTAGAAGGCAATATTTTGGTGATTTCTTCCAATCCAATGTCTTACACATCTCATACCGTGTGACTCACTACGATCAGCAGCCACAACTCGACGCTCTCAGTGCTCTTTCGCTCTGTCTTAGGAACACTGAGCGCATCGATCAAGAATCACAAGACCAAGCATCCATCCAACATCTGTCTAGCCAGACATTGGGACTCCTGAGCCACTCCTCTGGCTCGCTGTTAAACATCGACCCAGCTTCAGCGGAGCAAGCATTGGATGTCTTGAAGATTCTTGTCCTCGGGTTTTCTCTAGTACTCGGTGACCAGAACTTGATTGTCGTCGCCGCGTACACCGACTGCCGGGAAGCCTGGACGACCGTCAATGCAGAGCTTTACGCCAGAGAGATTTTGGGGCACTCTATGGACAGTGACCAAAAGCATGCGTTCATTAATTCGGCGGTATTAGAGCGCTTCATTCGGCCCATCTTCTCTCGAACTTGCTCTAGCCGCATCACTTCCACTGGTAGGAAAGCTCATTTCGCCGACGACAGTCAGGACGGCTTTGCTTCGAACGTCATCTCAGTCACCGATGACGCGAGGCTTTGGAAAACCACTCAAACTCATGCCGTTACGGTATTTTCTTGGGCCGTGGAGCAATGCGATGTTGGTCAACGCTATCCACACCGAGCAGTCGCATCCCTGGAATAAATGGCTGACAATCAAATTTCTACAGGATGCGCTTGCCGGTAAAAGCTGGCCAATGTTTACTCCAGTTCTCCTCGCTCTCCTGGACGACCCAGATACAAAGTTCAAAGCAAAGGGTCTCAGTGTTTTGAGTGACTTTCTCGCCAAATGCCCAGCTAAGGTCCTCGTTGAAACTGGTCTGGGAAGCATTTTTGAACAGTCTCTCTTCCCCTGCCTTCTCTCCCTGCCAACTCTGACGCCCGAGAAAGAGTCCCTCCAACTGCTTGGTCCCGCATATAGTGCAATCATCCAGCTGGCCAAAATGCAGTTTCCTGAAGCGAAGGCAAGAGACAAGAAGAATAAGCTTCTCACTCGTTTACTTAGGGAGGGAATCCTCCCGGGCTACTGGCAATCGTCAGAGTATGTTGAAATCGTTGAACTACTTGCTCGACAAACGATTTCCATTGTCAACGAACTCGGCTTCTTTGCCACGACGCATTTGAAGGCAATTCCACAGGTCTTCAGCGTGATCACTCAACTGCTAACTTTTGCATAGGAGCTCCTATCCATGCTTTCCGCAATCATGACGGATCCCTTCCTCGCTTCTCATCCTAGCAACATACAAGCGGCCGCCCAGGCCTTCGCTGCCATCATGACGAATTGCTGGCCAAGAATCTCAGACAAATCACACGCAGGCGAAGTGCTCAGATCGATCAGCATTTGTTGGCTGAATGTGCTAAATGAGCAAACGAGTGGGCCAGGAAATGCGGCAATCGATAAAGCCCTGGCTGAAGTTTCCAAACTCGCGCCCATCTTGCGTGCCATCTTTGCAGCGACTGATATGCCTCTAAGGCCTTACGTAGTGTCATTGCTAGCTGTCGAACCTAGGCTCGAGGACCTGTTTGGGGACTGGGAGGACGTTGCGGTGCTGGGAGGTGAGGCAGATGGCGGAGGCGGTCTCAGTCAAGTGGTTGCTGCTTGAAGAACGACTTGCCCCGAAGCCATTTCCCGTAGGCCTTGTATCGCTTCTTCTGAGCGTCTTCCTCGGTGACGGTAAGAGGATTGCTGCCAACCTTGAGGAGCTCGGCATATACAGCGACATCTTCCTCAGCACCGACAGGCGTGATTGCGTCACTCTGCCAGCTACTCTGGACATAATGCTGGTATTCGGATTGGTTTTCCGCCTGAATTGTCTCGGCCGACACAACCAGTGGCAGGTTTTGAGGATGGCTGATATACCGTTCATAGTCCTCGGCCTCCTGCTGGCTGACGGACGGATTGAGGGACTCGCTGACAGCCTTGGTGAAGGTCCATTGAGCTGCTTTGGTCTTCTCCTGCGCCGTGGGCTTGGTCTTTGACGGATCCTGGGGCTCTACATGGGTCTCTTTCATGATTCCATGGTGCCCAGTCACTCTATCCTGCATCGGCTGAAGCCAGCGATGGATGGAAATTCCCTTCCCGCCTGTGGTACGGTCTGACATGACTGATGCAGCGTCGATGTCCCGAGGGGATTTCAGGTCTTGAGGGTCGACAATTGTCACCTCCTTCTTGGGCTTCTTCTTCTCGTGGGCATCCATATCTGTCTCGTTGCGAACCCGGAATGGGCTCAAGTCGTACCGTCCGTCTTGTGTGGACTTGAAGGGTATGTACTTGATGGTTGAATTCATTTTGTAGGGGAACATTTTCAGGAATGATGAGAGCGTGGATGGACGATAGTATTCTACCCAGTAATCAGCAAAGGAAGACACTGGCTTATTCTTTGCTTCGCCTGGAGGTGGCATGTAGGGCGGGAAACTCCTTTCCTGCAAGTTCTCCGCAGTGTACCAGTTGATGTAGTCCCGCTTCGTCTTTTCGGACCAGGCTCGCGGATCCGCGTGATGAAGGTAGTAGTCCGTCGCAAGGTCCCACAACATCGGCTGTCCTTGGGCAAATATGTAGTTGCCGAGGAATAAGTTGTACGCCTCTTGGCGCTGCCCATCTAGGAAAGAGTTGTTATAGTACCTCTTGAAGCTCTCGATCATGTCGCGAGAGTGACTCGTCCACTGGTTAATCTTGCGGTATGTCTCCATGGTATTGACAAGTTGAGAGCCGCCATATTGCACAGCGATAGTGTCACCGTGATCGTGATACATGTGGGTGAAGAGGTTGACGGCGTCTGTATCGTAGTTTATGGACGTGTCTTCGAGAATGCCAAGCGCGTGAAGCTGATGGCCTAGAGCCCTCTTTCCGATGACGAATTGCGCTGCGTTGGTTCGGTCAAGGCAGTCTATACAGTTGGTTCGGGCCACACCGTTTTGAACGCTCGTAGGATACACCTTTCCGTCGCCATCATGGAAGAATCCGGTTGTGGTGACGACGTCCTCAGCAATGCGCTCCAGTGTACCTATGACGTCCTGGTCGCGACTCTTCGCCGCTCGGCTCATATCCCATGCCTTGTGAATTATCTTGCGACCTTCTGGTAGGAACTGGTTCAGGTAGTTGATTGCATTTGTGTATTCCAGCAACAACTTGGATTCACGCGGCGTCCTTTCCCTCGCCTTGACGAGGTTCAGCACGTAGATGGGAGCACCATACCGTTCAAAGAGGTTGTCGAAATGAAGAGCGGCAGCACTATAGAATGGATCAACGAGATTTAGCTCGATAGGTGGTTTGGGTGTCACGCCCGTGTTGTCCTGTGTCCAATACAGGGGAATGCTTCCTCGGTGCTGGACATATGAAGTATACTGCGGGCTAGAAAACAGCCTGTGTCCTGGGGCATGGAACGAGGTAGTCAAGGCTTCTGAAACCACTTGTTCCGTCTCAACATCGTTCGCAACGTAGCCCTATTCGCAAAATGTCAGCCACATTACTTCTTGGTGTATTAATCGGGGAAGCTCACGAGGTCGTTGGCCCCACGTTTGAGGAATCTTGCACCCGCAAAGAATCGAGATCGCCGAGCAATGATGGTGATGTACGCAGTGCGTCCGTATATTGACAGAGCTTCGATGCACAGTCAGTCGGATATCCCTCTACTTGAGTTCCGGCACTGGATAGTACTCACCAGCTTGATCGATGTAGCCGTGGATGATGGGATGGCACCAGTCAAAGGGATCCTTGAGGGCTTTCATGGCTGGTTGCAAGAGATGACTGTTCCAAACGAACATGCCGTTGAAGTCATTCACTGCCCCTGGAAGCCCACGCGCAAGCGCCTCGCGCTCCCTCGTAAGGTTATGCTGCAGAGTACGTGTGATGTCGTACGAATAGCTGTAATAAAACGACCTGGTGAGGTCCAGGTTGTTCAATATACCTAAGAAGCGGGACTCCTCGGTGTTCCGGACGTCGGCTTTGAATCGGTTCGGAGTCAATGGCACCAGCTCTGTACCGTCAACTTGATATATGTAGTGCCCCCCGATCATGGCCACTGTGCTCTTTTTCGTGATCAGGAGCATATAATATGGGCCAGTGAACTTGATGAAGCCCAGTAAGCCCCAAGCAGTGCAACGCAGTTTAATGCCACCCGTGCCCTTGTTGCCGTCGTCGATCGTATCTAGCAGCTGATTCATCTCCTTTTGGCTGTATATGATCTTGTCGTCCGTGATGCTCAACTCCGAGTCGTCTGTTGTTCGTTCAATCTTGAGGATGCGGTATCGCCGCTCCGTCACGTCTCCCCCAACGATGTAATAACGCGTGGCTGTCTCATACAAGCTAAACTTGTGCATCTTGCGATCGAGGCGGTCGGGACCCTTCTCATCATACGGGTCCGCGGCTCGGGCTGCGGAGTCAGGGCTCGAGGTTCGGGCGAAGGGCTTTGCGACCGCGGGCTCTTCGTCGGCGTCATCTTCGCCGGCATGATTTTGCGTTGCAGCATCTGAGGATAGAGCTTTGGCCGTCTCGTCGTTATTGAGGAGTGGAAATACTGGCGACAGATCTCGGCTTAATTTGCCATTGTCAGCGTCGCCGGTGAAGGGCGTGGGAAGGTTCGAGTCGCGGGATGCCGGTCTTGCGGCCATCGTCCAACCAATTTGGCATCCCGAGCAGAAGTGGTTACAACGAGGTCAGTGGGTCGTCGCGAGCGGCGTTCTGAGTGATCTATAGATCTGGGGGTGATTGAGGGAAAAGAATTTAAGGCAAAGTGACGTCACGAAAACTTACAACAACGAGAAACAAATATTAAAGATTACGCCTTCCTTCTATAAGCAAGGTCTATCGTTCACTAAGGCTCTATTTATTACAAAAATAATTAATATAAATATATTATAAGAAATAAAAAGTTTACGTTATTAAATTACGCTTATTGTTTAATATAATTTTATAATTTATAATAAATTAAAACTCTTTTAAAAATAAATAACGATTTATTACGACTTAATATATATTACTAAACTAAGGCCCTACCTTATAAAACTTATAACGACTACTACACTATATATATAATAATAAAAACCTAAATAACTCTCCTTAAAATTAAAAAATATAAACAAATTATATAATTACGATTATATAATAAAATAAAAACGAATATTTATAAATAAATAAAACGAATAATTATAAAAATATAAAATAAACGACTATTTAATAAATAATTAAATAATAATAATAAAAATATTATAGAAAATATATTTATAATTAAGATTTATATATAAAATAGCCTAAGCTTAATATAAAAATAGACTTTTATAATTTTTTTAATAATTAATTTTATATTAAATTTTATAATCGTTTTTAATTATTTTTATTAAGAACTTATTTAATAAAATTATAATTAATTAATAAAGCTTTATTTATTTTATAATTTATAAATAATAGCTTTTTTAAAACTATTTTTATAATAATTATTATTTATAAATATTATAACCTCGATTTTTATTAATATAAATTTATTATAATTAATTAATTATAATATTTTAATTATTTTTATTTAATAAATCGATTTTATAAAAGGTTATTAAATAATATAAATAATATTTTTTTTATTAATTTTATTAACTTTTTTATTTAATTTTAAAAAAAAACCTATTTTTTAAAATTTAAATAAAAAATAAAAAATATTAAAAATTTTAATAAAAAATCGATTTTATTTTAAAAATCTATTTTAAAATAAAAAAACGTTTTTAAAAAAATAATAAAAATATTATTTAAATATAAAAAATATTTAATAAAATTATAAATAATTTAAAATTAAAAATTAAAAAAGCCGAATATTTAATTAAATAAGTTAATATATTTTAAAAAACTATTAATATTATTATTATTTTTTTTAATAAAAAATTATAAATATTTAAATTTAATATATTTATTATTTTTAATAATATTTTTAAAATTTTAAAAAATAATTTAATTTAAATTAAAAGTTTTTAAAATTTTTATTATAAAAATTTTAATAATAAAATTAAAAAAATTATATATACCGTTAATTTTTTTAAAAAAATAAGTTTTTAAATAATTTAAACTTTTTTAAAAAAAAACTATTTTAAAAAAAAATTTTTTAATAAATATTTTATTAAAATATAAAATATTTATTATAATTTTAATAAATTTAAAAAAGTTTTTAAATCTTTTTTTAAAATTTAAATAAAAAATAATAATTTAAATATAATATAATATAATTTTAATAAATAAAATTAATAAAAAACTATTTAATTAAATTTAAATATTTTAATATTTAATTTAATTTTATTAATAATATTAAAATTTTTATATTTTATTAAAAATTAAAAAATAAAATTAAAAATAAACTTATTAAAATTAATAAATTAAACGATTTTTTTTAATATAATAAACTTATAATTAAAATTAATAACCGCTTTTATAAAAAAGAAATTAATAATAAAAATTTAATTTAAAACGTAAATATTAATAATAATTTTAATAAAATTTTAATTAAAAATATTATTATAATAAAAATAATAATATTTAATAAATTATTATTTATAAATAATATAACGAACTTATAAATTTTAATATAATAAAATAAAAGTAATCTTATTAAAACTAAAATTTAAATATTATAATTATAATAAATTAAAATATATAATTAAAAACTATAAATAGCTTAAATAAATTTAATAACGACTTATTTTTAAAAAATAAATTAATATTATTTTTAAAAAAATACTTTATAAATTATTTTTTTAAATTATATATTATAATAATAATTATTTTATTTACTAAAATAATAAAAAATAATTAAAATAATATTTTAAAAAACTTTTTAATAAAACTTTTATTATAATAAATAAATAAAAAATAATTTAACGTTTTAAGATTATTAAAAACTATAATAAAAAATATATTTAAATATTATTAATAATATATAAAATAATTAAAATATAATTTATTAATTTTTTTTAAATAAATATAAACTTTTATAATAATAAAAAATAAATTAAAAAAAATAAAAATTAAAAATAAAAATGACCTATTTTAATTAAAAAATAAAATTTTAATTTATAAAATACGGATTTTAAATAAAACTATTTATATAATATAATAAATATTTAATAAAATAATTTAATATTATAAATAGCGTTTTTTAATAATAAAAGATTATAATAAAAATTATATTTATATATTAATTAATTATTATAAAGCCGGTCGGTTAATTAGATAATTAAATATAAAAATAATATTTATTTTATTTTAATAATAATTTTAAAAACGATTAAAAATGAAAATAAAAAAAGACTTTTTTTAATTAAAAAATAAAATCGATAAAGAAATAAATTTAATTTACGGATTTTAAATATTAAAAAAACGTTATTAATAATATATTAAAAAACTAAGCGAAGCTTATTATATAATAAATATTTATATTTTTTAATATTTAATTGTAAAAATAATTTTTATTATTTTATAATAGCGAATAGATAAATAGCTTAAAATAATAATAAAAAATAATATACTTTATTTAAAATAAAACTTTTTTATATTTAAAATAATTATAAAATTAAATAATTTAAATAAAGAAATTACCAATAATATATTTAGAAAATTTAATATTAAGGGATTAGATTATAACCCTTTTTTAAATAATATATAAGTATTAAATTATAAATAGTTTATTAATTAATAATCGCTTTATAACTCAAATAAACTTCGTAACGTTGTTTAATAATAAGTTTAATTGAAAATTAATTTTAAAATATTATTTAATATTAACGATTTTATTATTAAAAAAGAAGCCGATTTAAATAGGTAATTAAAGTAATAAGAATTTATAAATTTCTAAAAAAGATTAAATCAACTTATTAAAAATTTAAAAAACTATTTATATAACCGATATATTTTAAATATATAATTTAATATTAAAATATTTAAAAATTATAAATTATTTCTTAAAAGGAGAGAACTTATTAATAAAAAAATAAACAATATTTATAATATTATTAATATATTATATTTATTTATTAAAAAATAAAAGCGTTTTAATTTAATAATTAATTCTAAACGGCTTATAAAAAAAACAAATACTAATTTTTAAAATATTAAAAAATTAAATACGTTATTTATAAAAAAATAATAAAAAATAGTTAAAATAAATAAGTTTTTATATTTTATAATATTTTTAATAAAGAATATTTATAAATTAAATTTTAAATAAATAAATATAATATAAACGTTATTATTAATAATAGTGCTTAAAGAATTTTTATTTTACTGAAATTAGTAAATAAATATAATTTATTATAAATAAAAAAAATAAAACCGTATACTTTACGAATAGTAAAAAAAAAAATTTAAATATAATAATAAATATATTAATTAAAAGACTCTATATTTCACAATATATATTAATAATTAATTAAAATAATTAAAATACGATATTATAAAGATTTAAAATACCGATATTATTTTAAAAATCTCGTAATTATAAAAATATAATTTATAAATAAATTAAAAAACCGGCTAACTTTATTAAATAAACTTAATTATTAAACGACTTAAAAAAAAGGGTTTAAATAAATCTTATATAATACTTAATAAATAAAAATAAATTAAATATATTACTTTTATTAAAATAATAAAACCTATTAAAATATTTATATTCGGTATAGATAATTAAAAATCGGATTTATTTTAGATTATATTTAAAAAATATTGAATTTATATAAAACTATTCATTTTAAAAAAATAGGATTATTAAAATATAATAATTAAGATATAAAAATCGAATTAAAAAAAATAACTTAAATTCTATTTACTATATTTTATAAATTAATTTAAATATAAGGAATTTAATAAGTATATTAATAATAAATTTAAAAAAGGTTATATTAAATTATTATCTTTTTTAATAAAAATATTAATTTTTTTCGTATTTAAAAAAAGTAAAAAAAAGTTTAAATTTATAATTAATTATAAAAAACTTAATAAAATTATTAAAAAAGAATTATTATTTATTATTTTTTATTATAAAATTTAAAAAAATATTATATAGAGCTTAATAATTTACCGTAATAAACCTAAAAAAAATATTTAATTAAATTAAAATTAAAAAAATAAATAAATAAAAAATAGTATTTTAAATTTATAAAAAGCTTTATAAATATTTAATTATACTTTTTAAACTTATTAACGTACTTATTATATTTTAAATAATAATTAATTACGTATTTAAAAAGTATATTAATATTTTCGTAATTATTTATTTTAACAATATTTTTATTTTTTTTTAAAAATTTTAAAATATATAAAAAATATATTTATATAATATTTTAAAAATTTTAAAATATAAAGCTTTTTATTAAGCTTAATAAATATAAATTTTATATATAAAAAATTAGATTTTTTTAATTATATAATTATATTAAAATAAATTTATATATAAATACTTAAAATAATAGTAATTAAAAATTAATTTATATTTATTAATATTAAAAATATATTATTATTTTTAAAATTCGTTAATTTTTATTAATAATTCCTTAAAAACTATATTAATATTATTAAACCCCTTAATAATTTAATAAAGAAAAATATAACTTTTATTTAAAATAAAAAATATAAAAAA